TGGAAGAAGATATATATAGTTTGGAAGTTACAGAAACCGGTACGATAAATGTGCACATCGCTCATTCGCAAACAAAAATGCCCCAAAGTAAAAGAGGTCTCATCCCAGTAAGTAAATAGTGTAGCCATTAACAAGTGTATTTTAAATGCCCCGTTATCTCCCTGTAGGGTTTATTACCTGAACTTTCTCACGGCACATGTTGTAGTGACTGATCAGCAACTTCGATCATCTCTCGACTTTCAAGCTCCGTAAAACATCATTCATTATAAAATGCTAAACACACAGCTTGTTCACAATGAAGACAACATGTTCGATGAAGTGTACGAATGCTTGCTTATTGTCTAGTGCTGTCCCGTAGGGCAACACTGGGCTCTGCTGAGAAGGCAGGAAGAATGTTGGCTGAAATGTTGGCTCCAACATAAGAACAAGGCCTGATAGACCATGGACTGATGGGTAAGCTGTGAGGAAGCCACTGAAACTGATGCCTTCTACCCCTACGGTCATACACGCTGTTCCGCAGCTGGAAACTGGCACTGATTGTGAAAAAACACATGCATGATGTTCGGTGATAAAAATAGGTGTCATCTAACATGGCCTTTGCAGATTCTGAGGCGATCTCGATTATCCGGCCATCTTGTCCAGCTGGTTTCACATAGAATAATTCCCCAAGGATGCTAAGTGCGAAATTCAGCTCCCAGGAAGAGTTGGCTATAGCAATTCAATAGGAGTATGAGACAAAGGGTAAAATGAAGGACACATTCGATGCTGCAAAAGCAGACCTCGAACTGTAAAGAGACAGCGAACTGATGCCTTAATACCTCCTCAAGCCTCAGTGACACTAGAGCGATGCGGTACTGAGAATGACAGTTGCTGTCATCCGTGTCCTACCCAAATCCAAGGTAAAAACTGCAACAGGCCAGTTCTATCGGAATCAGCCAAGTAGTCCCAATAGTGAGTCCCCTACCAGCAGACGACGCAACGTCAACAGCCTAACAACAAGCTGAAGTTGTGAGACTGACTGTCAAATGAATTATAGCAATGTGAGGGGGCTGAGAGGGAAAGTAGATGACCTCAGAAACCTCCAGTCTCGCTTAGACCCTGTAATAATGATATCCACCGAAACCTAGCTAATCCTTACTATAGATATGATAGAGATGAAAGCTTCGCAAATTAACCATCCAGCTCAGAGAACAAAACCGCATCATAATCCTTACTATCGCCGACAACGAAATCACTATAGGTGGCATGGTTCTGGTCAGGGGGAGGGAGTTGCCATATACTTTGACAAGAAACTTACATGCGCATGCGCAATAGAACCACCACTTGTTGAACTGCCACACTCCATATGGTGTCATTTCACCATAGACCAAACCAAACATCTACTGGATGGCATCTACTGATCACCAACCTGTGGGAAAGGGCACAACCAGCTACTGCTCAGCACCATCATAGGGATACGAGACTTTGGCTATGACCAAATCACTACAGTCGGAGATTTCAATGCGCTATCACTGAACTTTGGCTCGGAATATGCAAAGAGAGAATTCGGTCGAAGTCTACTGTAAACCATTCGAGATACAGGACTAATTGAGAATGTCGGAGACGACACAAGGCGTGGCCCTAGTGCAAAGTCATCGAAACTAGATTGTATTCAAAATGGTGACCAACTAGTTATCGAAAATGTCCAGGTCATGACCCCACTAAGAAGTAGTAACCACGCAATCATAAGGATTGATCCACTTCTCCGTCGGCAGTTTCAATGGGACACTACGCAACCATGTCTGTGCTATAGCAAGGCAGATAATGATGAAATGCGGAGACCTTTGTCGGGCGCACAATGGCCCTTAGTATGGGATGAGTTCTCTGTGGATGAACGCTGATAAGTGGTAAAAGATACTGTTCACACAGCGATCCCGGATATCGTCCTTTTTGTCATAACCGTCACAAACCTAGTGGCTACTTCACAGATAAACCCGGGAGTAGTACCAGTGAAGCTACGGAAGCTCACATCTGGAAAGCCCCCAGGTTGTGACGACATCAGGACATCTGTTCGGAAACGGTGCGCTGAAGCCTTCTGTAGGCCCTTCTGTGACTTGTTCCAACACTCGATGGGTTCGAGGAAACTGTCAAGGGAGTGAAAAAGCGTCATCCCTTCTCCGATCTTCAGGAGCAGGGACAGGCAAAATGCCACTAGTTATTGACCAGTGGCACTACTCCCAGTGGTATCCAAAGTACTGGAAATTATTATTGATGATCACATCAAGGAGCCCCTCTATAGGACTAATAGACTCCATGAAGCCCAACACGGTTCCAGGTGAGGTAAATAATGTACAAAAAACCTGCTGTCAACTAGGGACTATTGAACATCTTGCTGGGATAATCGTGTTCAAGTCCATGTGGTCTTCCTAGACTTTCGAGAAGGCATTTGACACAGGTCACCTTGGCCTTCTGCACATAATAAGTCAGGCAGGTGTGGGTGAGCTGCTTTTGTCATAGTTAAAGGACTACCTAGCTAAAGGAAATTCTGAGCTAAGGTCAGTTGAGCCTGATCATTCTGGCACCACTCATCATCAGGAGTGCCTCAGGGCTCTATCTTGGGACCACTGATGTTCTTGATTTTTACCAGTGACCTGCGACGCCAACTAAGCTACCTGACTATATACTCTGATGACGCAAAAATATGGAGTTGAATGGAGTGTTCAAAAGACTCATATAGGCTGCAGGCAGATCTAAAGCTTCTTGAAGACTGGGCGGTGGCCAACGGTATGTCTTTCAACATGAAAAGGTGGAAAGTAGTGAAATCACGCACCGGTAGGCTGCAAAATACAGGTTAAACCCCGTTCAGCGAGAGCTTGTTCTGCACAACGTCGGAGCGCGACTTAGGTCTAGCTCTAACGGAAAAATGGACACAAGCGTGAACTGCACGGAGGGCGTAGCGAGGGCATATGCGGTCGTACAATTTACACGTAGACAGTTAGGTGCACTCACTCCTGAGCTCTTTCTAATGTTGTACAAAACATACGTCAGGCCACACCTTGAGGTGCATAATATTATTGCACCCCCAATGCTGAGAAGAGATGCCAACCTCTTGGAAAGAGTCCAACGACGGGCAACAAAAGGAGTGGTTGGTCTCCGAAACAAACCATATGATGAAAGGCTGAAGAAATTAGGCCTGTTCACACTTAGTTACCGTCGGCTTAGGGGGGATTTGATTACTGCCTACAAAATAACAAATGACCAGAATCACCCAAACAAAGGTGTTCTGTCATTGAGTAGGTATAGGCTTCCACGTGGAAATCCCAGAAGGATAGCTCACCAGAGGGCAAGGACCCGGGTGCGCTCCCACTTCTTTTCACTGCGGGTTTGTCGTCCCTGGAATTCCTTACCGGCAGATGTAGCTATGGCACCGTCTTTGGACGCCTTTAAGCGAAGGCTGGACAACCATGCAGCGATACAAGGACTGCATCCAAATGGCCTATCTCCTTAAAATCGCATTTACCAATCAGGGTAGATAATTAAACTCGTCATTTTACTTCTTTACATTCTCTCCCGTCTTACTCTCCTGACAACTTATTAATATTATAATTACTATTATTATTATTACTATTACTGATATATATATTATTCTTCGAACTTCATGAGCTGACTGTTGTTACGTTTCCTATTTTCGTTTCTGTCTCTTAGTCTGAATAGCTTCACTAATTATATCTATTATTATTATTATTACTATTATTATTACTATTATTATTATTATTACTATCTCTTTTCTCTTGTCGACAATACCGAAGGACTAACTGGCGAAAGGATCAACTCCAATCACAGTAGTAACAGTCTTAACATACCTCATACTACAAACCACATATAATTAATCCCAGCACTACTCCCTTTGGAGTCAACCAAAGCTACGACAGTCGAGTGGCGGGACAAGCTACGCAGAAGTTTACCGAAGATCAAGAACCTATACCTCACAATCAAGAAGCGAGCACAAAGAAATCAAATTGGTTTATACTAGCTCGTAAAAACGATATTGGATATTGGATATTGGAAGCCTATTCATGCTTAGCTGCCGTTGGCTTAGTGGGGATTTGATTACTGCCTGTAAGATAAATGACCAGAATCACCCAAGCAAAGGTGTTCTGCTATTGAGTAGGTATAGGCTTCCTCGTGGAAATCTCAGAAGGATCCCAGAATAATGGTTTGAATAAGGGTTATGATTGGGGCTAGGATTAAAGTTAGGTTTGGTGCTGGGGTTAGGATTAAGCTTATAGTTACGATTTGGGATAGATTTATAGTTGATGTCATTTATTTTAACTTTTTTTATTATCCATGTTTTCCTGGTAAGTAGTCGCCTATCCTCCTGCTGAAAACCATAATAATTCAACTGAGGGCTTTTTTGGAAGAATGTGAGCAGGATGAGAGCGATAAAAGATTCACAAAAACAGTTTATCTGTAGTCATCTCGGTAAATACATGTATAGAAACTAGTCTAACTTAGCAACGGATAATCCTCTTTACAACTAGGGCGGACTTTTAAGCAAGATAAGAGAAAAACAACCTGGTTAATGCGTTTCAAGCATTTTCTTGTCAATACACATCATTTTTCGAGCAAACATTCCTCATTTTTATGATTGGGCAGCTGAAGGTCACTCGTGGGTTCGCACTCCTGGGACGCCATTGTTAATTTTTGCCATTAGAATCACCCAAACAAATGTTTTCTGGCACTTAGTAGGTAATGATTTCCTCGTGTAAGTCCCCGAAGTATAACTCACCAAAGGGCGAGTACCTGGGTGCGCTCCCACTTCTCTTCACTGCGGGTTTTCCGTCCCTGGAACTCCCTACCGGTAGATGTAGCTATGGCATCGTATGTGGACACCTTTAAGCGAAGGCTGGATAATCATTTAGCGACACAAAGATCAGGAACCTTTACTCCACAATCAAGAAGCGAGCACAAAGAGATCAAATTGGTTTATACTAACTCGTAAGAGCGATATTGGATATTGGGGTCATTTGAAGTGAAGGTCAGCTAGCGCTAAACTTAGGAGATATGTATTAGAGGCATGTCTTTATCGAAACTGTAAGATGTTTTTCTGAAATTTACGCACTTACTTTTGAAATGAAAAAATGGCGCATGTGATGCCTTCAAAGGTATCACGGATATATAACTCCTTAATGGATAAGATTTTATTTTGATAAATCACTCAGTGTGACATTTCAACGCAAATTTTTACTGTTCATAATAATATCAAGGCACTACCAACACAAGATTTTGTTTCATTTGTATACACGAGTAAAAAGTGGTTAGACATTTGAATAAAATCAGTATAAGATGAAGTACATTCAGAAATAATATTAGTGTTACCAATAAAATACAATATAAATCTAATTAACCATTCCTAAATGTGACATGAACTTAAGTAATTTCAACAAGTACTAGACAAGGTGGAACAATCCCAGTGAAAATAGATGACTACTGATAACCGACATAGAAGATTTAAGTGATTTTGTCTTCATTTCCTAAACTTTGCAATAAAATTCGGAACTTCCCTATCGAATCCTCCCACTATTTTTTAATATTTGCACCTGATAACCTTAACTGTGTTTCCTTCCATTCATTAAAAGTATCTAGTTTGTACCTCACGCGTTCTATGCCAGTAAATAATAAATAATAATATTAGACGCACATATACGTGGTCTTGGGCACTATTAAACCTCACCTAGTTTACTAGCCGTCAGTAAACCTGGAAAGGAGGGAAGTTTGCATGTGAAGCTGGTACCTCCACACAGCAAAACGAACACCACTTCTACTGAGACTTCAAAAGTTTAAAGCCCCAGTGTTAAACTTAGAGATTGCTCTAAATACGTTTAATCCTACTCCAAAAATATGTTATAGATATGTGGATGACACTTTCACAGTGTTAAAAACAGAACATATCTCTAGCTTCTTGACGCATATAAACTTATCACTAAAGGGAATGGAATTCATATTTCAATCAGAAAGTGAACTAGGAGAATTATCCATCCTAGATTGTAAAATAAAACGAACAGAAGAAGGTAAACTGCACACTAGCGTTTATAAAAAGCCAATCCATTCAGTTAATAGATATTTAGACTTTAATTCATCTTATCCGTTGTTTGTAAAGGCCGGCTTAGTTAAGTGTCTAACGAACCGAGCAATACCATTAAGTAGTACAACAAAAAGCCTAAACAATGAAATGAAACAGATGGAAGAGGCGATAATGTTAAATAAGTATCCTTTGAAATTCATTAGGAATATCAGTAAAGGTCAAAAGCAAAATAAAATTATTTCTGTGACTAATAATGATAACATGAAAAGGGAAAAAGATAAGGCATCTACAGTTTTACCATTCAAGGGGGGGGATATCTGAGACTCTACGAAGGATTCTTAATATAACAGGAATCAGGGTAGCAATTACACCTACAAGCTCACTCAAGGAGGACGGGCTCTGTAGGCTAAAGACCCTGTTGATCCAATTAGACAAAATAATATAATTTATAAAAGACCTTACAGTAACTGTGAGTTAGGTCAAATACATAGGTCAAAATAGTGGATCAGTATTAGTGAGACTGTTAGAACATAAGAATTCAGCTAAGGTTAAAATGACTGATCCCATGAAGATAAGTAATTTATAAAGAACTCAGCAATTGCACTGCATGCACTAACACACAATGCTGTGGAACAGATTCAAAATTTTAAAAAGTAATATAGGTAGGTGGAGAGGGAGACAGACTGATTACTGGATCCTGGTTCATCGCGTCTACACCCAAAACATGCATTAGAAATGACTCAACGTAAATACTAGAGATATGGAAGATGCTATTACCAGTCAAATCAGAGGATAATAAATAGTGCTATAATGTATTCAGTTTACATTATAACATTCTAACAAGTTACTTATTTTTACTATAGAAACATCTTATTTCCCATGCTACTGTACTTTATTGATAGCACTAATGTTATTTCTGAATGTACTTTATCTTATGCTGATTTTATTCAAATGTCTAATCACTTTTTACTCGTGTATACAAATGAAGCGAAATCTTGTGTGACTAGTGCCTTTATGTGATTACGAGCAGCAATAAATTCTGCTCGAAAGGTTATCATCAGTAAATTTTACCGTATAACACTGATTTATCAAAATAAAATCTTATCCATAATGGAGTTATACTCTACCACAGTGCCCAAGTTATATATATATATATATATATATATATATATATATATATATATATATATACATATATACATATATATATATATATAGGGGGGAGGGAACAGTGTTAAAGGTCTATGTTCTTATCATGATCATTATAGCAATTTAAGACTCAACCTTTAAATCCCTAATGGATCTATCAGAAAGAAGTTATTTTCTCTCACTATTATGTATAGGTGGTGAACATCAATCTAACATTTTGGTATTGATCTCAATTTTCTTTACCTGCAGGCAAATACATATATGTATATATAAAAATTTGTACTAAAGAATACAAATTGTATCAGGTATTAAAATTGCTCAGCAATTATACTATGCCCCTGAACTTGTCTGTTAGCCATGGATAATATCATTCTAATCGTTTATTTGAACTAACAAAGATCATATTGTTTCATCCACTTCAGATGTCCACTTACAATATTTCCTAGTTGTGACCATTATGTTACTGCATTCAGAAAGTTCCTCCTCGGTATGCAGATGTTCATTATATTTTACTATTTTGCTGATAGTTACTAGCGAGTATGAGGTATGTTGTACTGTTTAACTTTTTGATTTAATTTACATGGTGTTGCTTATTTGGTTTGCCGGTACAAGATAAATGAGGCTATTATCACATGTCCCGACAGTTTGATCTAAAATTCACACCAAATACTGATCTGCTACTTGGATTTAAGAGTATTTATTTGACTCAAACTGTAATCTTTATCAGAGGTTTTCAGACAGCTTCCGAAAATCTTAGTTGTCACAAATAGTATTATGTTTATTGGTAGTGAAATTTTTCTTTTTTCATGATTTCTGATTAGTTCTTTCTAGTTAAATTCAAAATATCACAGTTTCCGCGGTTGACTTACTTAAAACGAGCTACTCATAGTTTGTAAAATGCTATATATATATATATATATATATATATATACGTAGTGGAGGGTCAATCCGGTTGTGTGAGTTTCATTGATCGAAAATGTTAAGTTGAAATATGAACAGTTTGATATTCACTATCAAATCAAATGCTCAAAAGGACTGGATTCATTGATGTTTGTAGCGAGGTTACTTTAAGGGCAACCAGTAGTATGGCATAAGACGGCTTTCGATAACAACTAGTGAAAATAGGCCGAGGCGTCTCATTAATTGTTTAAGGAAATGGATTAAATCTCTACGAAAATGTTTATTTATTCTTTTTCGAATTTTATTTCGTTTTGATAAAATTTTCAACTAATCACTTATTTTGAATGTTTAAAACTAGGTGCTAGTTGGATCTAATCAGCATTTTTCAAATGATCATGTGAAGAAACAGTTAGAAAAGGCGTTTATTCGATTGGCTAGGGATGAAATGGGTGTTATAGCCATGCAAACAGCCTTTGATGGATTGAAATATGAAAAGCTGTCAACTGTAAACTTAACACAGAGTTTAGATATAGTAAGTATTAAGATAGGCAAAAATATCATAAAACTAATATGTGTTATTAGCCTTATAATATGTATTCATGATTTTTTTCCTTCACGTTCCCAGTGGAACATATGGCTTCAAGCTAGAGGCTTGAAGTGTCTGTAGCAGTGTTTATTTTTTACAGGATGGTGTTGCTAGCCTCATGCCCAACCTTTCCCCTTTATCACCTTTATCACTGGCTTATAGAGGTAAAGGAGTGCGTCGGCTGGGGATAGAACCCCGGACCATGTGCATGACCGGCGAGCGTCCTAACCGCTGTGCTACTGACGCTCTCTACTCATGATGTATCATTTATATTGTTTGACCAGATGATTAAATTGTTTGTTAGAATTCTCGTATAGAAAATTATTCAATTTGGATAGTAGTCAATCCCTAGTAATAGTTCTAGGTATACTTGAGTTTTCAACTGAAGTGCTGAACTCGTTGTTTCACACTCAATTAACTTCCTATATATATATATATATATATATATATATATATATATATATATATATATATATTCTACTGAGTGGTAAAACTGGGGTAATTGATCAGCTGCTGAGACTATTTGCATATATATGTATATGAGTGTGGGTGGTGGTGCTTAAATCTATGGACTGCTGTGTGTTCAGGCTTCATAGTTTGTGCACAAAATATGAGGATATTTGTGTAACCCATCTGTTAGTGTTCACAGTGTACGCAGTCTGTGTTTTTATAATGAATAATATAATCCTCAGAAACTAATTGTGAGTCTAAAAGGAATAAATACACTTCTCTGATTTATGTTGACCGTTAATAGTCATTCTATGCTTCTGTTTTTTCGGTTTTATTCGTTTATGATTGACTTTTTGCACGATCCTCGGATTTGTTAGACCATCTTCTATAGTAGTGCATATCTTTATATAATCCTACTCTTGTCTACTAATTTTAACCCTAGGTTAGGTATTTTTATTAATTGAAAAAAAACAAATGACATATCCGAATCGTTTTATTGTACTGTGTTTGTCATGTTTTCTTTTCTTTTCTTTTAAACAGCTCACATCACAGTTAACTCGACGGCTTCGAGACTATACGCACATAGTAACGAGTACACGAAATATGGCTGTTCGTTTATATAGATCACATAAAGATACACCTCTTACACCACGTTTTGATTGTTGCAACTTGTTTGAAAGAGATTTAAGGTTAGTAAATTATGTTCCAGTATTCTATGTAATTCTTATTAGTAATATTATTTGATAAACATGTATATAAATATATATTATGTAAAACAACTAGTTCAACCGAGGAAATTCTTTCTCAACTAATCGATTTTCAAGAACTTAACACATACACATGAATATGATAAACACGTTGTTATGACAAGTCGAAAAAATTCAGTTTTTATATAACTGTATAACATTTTAAGAGAAATTAGTTGAAAAAAGATTTCAAATTTTGAAGTACTTGTTCTACAATTTATAATAGGTATATTTAGTAATTTCCAGATACCCGTTTACGTATTTAGAAAAGAAACAACAGAATGAGCGAAGAAATATACATTCCTTTACAATTAGTTCCTCATTATAGTCTGGCTGGCTGGTTGGCGCTACTCTTGTATATGGTTGTTTTTACATCAAAATTTTACCAATCACGTAGTTATTTTAGTTAATCTGTTTTAGATATAGGAGGTAGGGGTTAAAAATTAGGAGGTTAAAAGTCATCAAAACAATTAATTGATAAATTTTAGTAACAGGATATTTGAGTTTTGAAGGTGGGGTGAAAATTAATTACGCAATGCGACGTAAGTTAATTCGTAGGCGCTAGCAACAAGTTGTTATTACATAATCAAGAAATTTGTAAAATAATGATGACTCAGAAGAATTACGTAAAATACAAACAGGTTAATAGAATTAGCCAGAATTGTAAAAATTAACAGAGTCAAAAGAGAGAGAGAGGTAATAAATAAACAGAAATGTGAATGAGGCAACAAGAATAGTAATATAGAAAAACAACAGAGTTTTATGCATCTGTGCCAGCCATTGAGGATGGTCTTCATTGGTTCTTACCATCTCGAGGACCCAAACCAATCAGTCAGGGCGTCTACACCTCCCGGCGTGGCTGGTTATGGATTTCATTGACTGATGAAGCCATGTTTTAGTTTGACAACTGCCGGTTCTTTTCCAACCCGATTGATCCTATGTCAATCAGCTGATATTGCCCATCGAGGAAGGCGATGGCTAGAGATGCAGCATGAGTCCTGACAATCTCAATCGGTGTGACTTCACAACCTCGTCTATTGATTTCTCCTCCTTACCCTGCACTTACTCAACGCATAACCCCAGTATCATGTATCAGTTTATCCCTTCATATTACTATTATTACTATCTTTATTTTTCATATCCCAGGTTAGATCTTGTATATGGTTGTCGTATCTCACGACGAGAATGCTGTGATTTAATCCCACGAAGTTTACCAGCTACAGCTTTTAATCCTGGTCATAATTTAACACGAAGATTTCAACAACAATTAGATTATTGGCCAAATGTGAAATGGTTCTTTTTCATCACATCGGATGGTTTGCATACTGAATATCCAGCACACAATTTTCAGTGTACAACTCCACATCATAAGGATTACACGACAGATAATCGGCCAATAGATGTATCATATTATGGTGATAACAGTATCTTTGGTGCTAATGGGCGTTCTAGTGGAGCAAGTAGTCTTAATTCAAGGTTATATCAACAAAAACATCCCCACCACCACCACCAACAACAACTAAAACAATCAATTTCATTTTCTTCAGTTACAAATCCTTTTCACTGTCATAATCTACATCAGTTCAGGCATAGGTATGCAGTTGCTTACTTTTGTTTTTTACATAATTTCCTTTTAAGTTGCTCAGAAATAAATATATCAGTATACACTGACGGAAAAATATAATATATAGATTATATGGCATCTAAATCTCAGGAGGTGGTTTTTTCATTTCTTGTGTTCCTGGTGGAACATAGGACTTGAAGCTTCTGAAGTCTCAGTAGCAGTGACTGGCTGGCAAACTGGGCAGTCTGTAGTCGAGCCCGATCTATGCGCTTGGCTGACGAGCAGCATTCCATTACTGTGGACTACCGACGCACCTATAAGAAACGCATTTGAAGTTGATTTCAATAGGTTGATTGATGTATCACTTTTCACTGAAGTCTACACATTTAACGATAAAAGACAGGAAAACACCGAATAACAAGATGCAGTCCAAGGCATGACAATTTTGATGTTGTGTATTAATCTAATCACTCTTCACTTCTTCAGAGTTATGATCCTATGGTAGCCGAAATTGCTTATTGGGATAAATGCTTCGATCATGCTTATCCAGCATATTGCTGTCATTAGTTGTTACTCCTGAATTCACAAATGCATTCAAATTCGCCTGCGTCTACCGTCTAGCTCTCAGTATCTAGCTAGCCTTTACAGATTGTTAACTTTGTGATTCTCCCTCAGATTGAAGACACATGTGACGATAGACCTGTAGTTAACTCACATAGTCATCAATCTTTAGCCACTGGGAATGAGCTTTGACTGACTCAGAAGCTTGGAGGTGCACTGTTTGCTTGAGTTATTCGCTGGCTGTTATTTATTTTTAACACAAACTGTCTTATTCTCAACATCTCATGACTGATATTCACTTTAGCATAGAGGTTATATTCAAACCATTTCAGGTGCTTGAATTCTACTCCTGTACGTCGGTGGCACAGCAATTAGTACACTCCCCAACCATGCACATGGTCCTGGGTTTGATCTCCGGCCGAAGCAGCCTGCTAAATTTAGGCTACCGATATCACATGCTGAAAATTCTATATCTGTATAAAAAAATGAAAAAAAGTGATTTGCTACTTATGCAGATAATCAGTAGTATAAGGGATTACTGCTTATCATATTTTACTATTCTTTATATGCTTTTTGGATGTTCACTATCGTATTTTAGAAGTGCATTTATTCGTTCAATTCTTCCGAAACCAATATGGATGACAATTATATTAGATCAAGGTGAAGCTAGTCAAACTCAATTACTTCTTGGTCAGCGTGTTGCACGTATTCTTTTAGCATCATTAAGCGAAAAAGATTATATTAATGTTCTACTTGTCTCAGATAATGTTTTATACGGTTTAGAGTACAATTCAAACAATGACTTTAATAATAAAAGTGATGCATCAAAATTACTGAATGCTACAATACAAACCATTCAAAATAGACACTTATTCAATATATCAAGTGATGAATTTGTGTTCAATTACCAAGAAAAGAATCAAACACTTGGATATGCTTATAAAGCTACCGAAGAAATGAAAGCGGTAATTTTTGTTTGAAAAAACTTGTATCTCATTTGTATTTCTGTTTCTGATTGGTAATTTTCCACTAAACTGAACTTATTTACGTAGTTCTTCTATTAATTCCGTGTAAGTTAAGCACATCGATGAAATCAATACACAATCATGTGTCTAGTGGTCTTTTAAAGGATAGCTGCTACCTTGACGTGGTGGTCGCCGGGCTTGCACATCGCGATGACCCAACAAGCCACACTGGCTGGAACAAATGATCCTGCAGGTCCTACCATGCCAGGAAGGTTTTTAGGATAGCGACTAGACTGAAAGCAGTTACCGGCTTAGTGTAAGAGTTTTTCTTACACTATGCTGGAGGTCTGTGGGCGAAGTCGTACTGCTGGGGAGAAGGGGTGTAACAGCAGTGAGGTGTTTTCTTCAGATGACCAGCATGCCGGCCAGCTATGCTGTCTCTCCACTATATAGAGAGAGGGTTAGAAATTGTCGACCGCCAAATTTGTACATCCCGACTTACCTTATGGTGGTCCGTAACCGACGGTAAGTTTACTAATACGGAACCAAACCAAGAAACCAGTTCATACAGGCCGTGTATGACCGGCTTCAAGCAGTTGTCCCCTAGGCTTTGCGGTCACGCAACACTAACCCTAACCCTGTCTCTGTTTCATGTACCCGGAGAATCAATCAACTTCCACGGTGTGGGCAGCCGGGAAGTAACAACCGCCCACACACTTACATTTATTTAAAGGAAGTGGTGATTAATATGTTGAATAATCAACAGATCATGGGTGTCGACGATAGACATTCCATATTGAAATGACACACCTGAACAGCTTCAAAGAGTACTTGCTTCATTCAATAATAAATTCTATTTCAAGCCCTTTAATCCTCTAGAGAAAGCTTTGGTGAATGTTAAGTATATGGTTCCCAAAACGTCACAAACACAATTGTGTCCATTGGATAAAGTGTTCAGAATGTGAAGTTTGGTTTATAGGGGAGAGCATTAGATAGGTAAAGGTCAGAGTGGATGAACATGGGCTGTGCACGAAACGTCAGCCTAGAAGTCAAATACAATTAAAAAGTCTAGGAAAAATATCAGCTATAGCAATGCATGCTATAAACAGCGGACACAAGATTGATTTCGACAATGCTGATCCATTTCTGGATATTTTTCTTGCAAAAAGAACAGACGGTACCTTCAAAAGAAACATCTATAGGAAAGCGACGTGGAACGGACAATACACCCACTTCCATAGCTTCATACCTAAACAATATAAGCGCAACCTAAGTCGTTGTCTTAGTCATAGAATTGGACGCATATGTACCGAGAATTGTATTGAAGATGAAATAAGAAATCTTACAAACGTCTTGCTACAAAACGACTATCCTACCAACTTTGTAAAGAAGTATATCTACGAAACTACACATAAAACCAAGTGAGACACAGTAAGTAAGAAAAAGCTTTACTTAAATGTACAATTCAAAGGCGATATAGCCAGTGATATATTAAACCCTAGATTAACGAGATCAATTGAAAGAACTTTTAATGCCGCAGAACTGCATGTCAGTTTCTCAACCAACCCGATATTGACACTGTCCATTAAAGATAGATTGCCCAAAATGGCGACATCAATATGTGTATATAAATTGAACTGCTCCTGTGGACCTACTTATATAGGTCGTACTCAAAGGAATTTATCATTACACACTCGTGAACATATTCCTGTTTTTGGCTTGGGAAAAGAGCAACCAAATCATTAAATAGTGCAATTCTGTCTCATCTAGCGGATAGCAAACACAGCATCAAAGTAGATGAGTCATTTACAGTTGTGCATCGAGTACCGAACAATCTCCCCAAAGGTACACGATTACGCCTCCTAGCCATAGCTGAGGCTTTAGAGATTAGTGGAGAGAGACCAGACCTATGTGTACAGAAAAAACTTATTCACTCTCTTTGTCTACCCTGGCCCACTATAAGGTCACCAGGATCATAATTTTTCGTATTATTATTATCACTATTACCATTTTGTGATACCATGTCTTTATTATCCATTTCTCCACCCAGTTTATTTCACCTCATTGTTACCCTTACTTCTTGTCAACCTTCATGATTTTATACTAAGCCTACCAATTCTGTAGCATCTTATTACAATTTAGCCTCTTTATTTTATCATTAGACATTATCGGTTAGCCCTCACATTCAGTGCCTCCTTTGTTAATGTGTGTCTGTATGTATTTTGTGGTTATCGCGTATCTCTAACCCCAAGGTCACTTGTATTCTGTTGACTATAAAACAACACTATATCACCCAATTGTTTATTCACACTTCATCACATTTTTCTGACCAAACACCCTAAACACATTTAATTGACTATGCTAACTAATAGACTCCCACCTCAACTTACACATGCACCCCAATACAGTTTCTGATATTATTTTCATTTGCCTCCATTGGCTATATGTACTCTATTATTCATGGATTTATAACTGTAGAGCCTGAAGAAGAAGTTATCGAAAACAATTGTTCGACTAAAGTTTTGTTTTAAATGCCGAAATTATGGGATAAGGCTTTCATTCACCACATAAGGAATTGCTCATCTCTGAAGCCTTGCATATTTTAACCAAATCGAATACAGTAAATAGGAGAGAAGGGGTAGACTTATCACCAACTGTATGGCAGATTCAAATGAAGAAAGATAGATGAGGAATAAAAACAAATTCAATCCTATATTATGACTATGTTGAAATAGTTTCATGTTTCGACGTGTTTCGCATACAACAAATACCATGCTCACACACTCGCACAGACAAATACGCATAACTGACAATTTGACATTAGTCATTACAAATATGTGATGACTGTTTACATTTTTCCATTGGTACAAATGTCTACCGACAAGTGACCTTCACAAAGGAACTGACTTAAATTTATTTAATTTTTTGACTATGTATTCTGATGGTTAATAAAATCCGAGTAATTCTGTTGCTGCTGAAGAAGCTGTGGTGGTTACACAGCGAAGTGTTCAGAAAAGTAATCTTGTCTTTATTTTTTCGTTAGACACTCTGGGATTACTTTTAAATAAATTTATAATGCTGAATAATCTCCTAGAGGCTTAATCAATGGAAATTCATACTGTTTCTTTGGCAACACTTATAAGTTTGTTAATATTCAACCTAGTAGTGTTCACTGCTGTGGTTCTTTTTGTATGTTTTATGGACATATAATCTATAATATTTTAAGAGTTGACTTTTTGCAATGAATGGATATGGATACCTTTTTGTCTAAGGAACAAGGAGACTGTGTTTAAAAAAATCTTGATCGATAGTGATTTGCAGTGGAATCCAGGATGCGCATTTCATTCTAGTCATTTGGATGAACCAGTGCCCCTAGTAAGTGATGGTGTGTTCCCACTGAGGTTTGAATTCTGCACTCATCGTGTGCAACTGCATACAGTGCATCTTCCACTAGGTCATTAGGGCTATTGGAGAAACTATCTTTAGTCCAGTGAGTTAATTGGCATTCCCCAGGAATGCTCCACCTCCACGATATTGACATGGGAACACCAACACTCACTGGGAATGCAAGTACATCCAGTTAACGGGTTTCAAATAAGATCAAATGCACTTCCTGGATTCTACCGCCAGTCACTCTCCTCAGACATCACTGAAGCGTCTCTACTAAGAATTGACATGTCAACAGAAGAGACCTGGCATTTCGATATGATGTAATCAATCAACGGGAAATATAAAAGTAACTCTTCAAAAAAGAGAATGATTACTGTCTTTCTTATTATAAAATCATTTGAATGTTTGTGTTTACAGGTGGGCGGCGATGAAATGGATTTATTGTTGAGAAAACAAGTCAGTGATTCTTTCCCTCACAGCAAATTTTCTAGTCATCAAACTTACATCGTCTAGAATATTCTTAGAGTGAAACTAAGGTATCATACATTTCTCTGAATTTATAACAGTTGAAATCTTGATTCATCTGTTTGATGATGAATTAATTCAGTGTTTTATTTCAAGGATTCAATAGAACTGTTTCATAAAGATGTAATCACAATGGACGATATAATAAATTGTTATTCAAGTATTGGTTTGTAGGGATTTGGTTGATTGGTTACAGGATTTCATCATGAGTTGACATTGGTTAGGCAACCATTGGAAAACCTGTCCAGTACTCCCAGGTTTTCCAATGGTTCTCTAATCAATGTCAACTCATGATGAAATCCTGTAACCAATAATAAATTGTCCTGTATAACGCATTATAGGATGAATGCAGGCTATTGCATAACCGTGCTACAAATACACATCTCACTGTTTTTGTTTTTATACGTTACAGGTAGCATTTTGACACTGTTGTTAGATTGTTAGAAGCAGTCGGCAAGAAGCCCTGGATCTGAATTTTGTGCTTATTGGCTTTCTTTTCAACAGGGTATATGCACAATCTCGAAAGAAATCATGTCCCATATGAGACTGGAACCTGAATCACTCAGCTCTTCAGTCAGAGATGTTATCACTGAGCTATTCGGGCTTTCGATTGACTCACCTCTTGTAGGACTGTAATGGGCACTTTGATTGGACATTGGATAGTAAATAATATCATGCGTCAAGTCATTTGTTTGCTTTAAACTGAATTCTATCAGAAAGGATATTAGTTGCTTCAGGTTTTCAAATATGCCTTGCTGACAAGCAGGAAATGTAGTTCGAAGGCCTCTTACCGACTGTCTGTGAAAACCAACTGCAAACAACAATTTAAAGTGCACTATGATGATGAGCCACCTATGAAGGTGGTAAAATCCTACCTTGACTGGTAGAATTCAGTTGCCATCAAAAAAAAGAACTAAACACATGATACTAGTTACTATCCTAGTGTCTAATCAAGTGAATTAACATGCTGTATAATGTCTGCTATTGGCGAAAATTGTAATTGTATACTGGTGACATCTGCAAGAATCCTGAATAGCGAAGAGTTTGATTAAGTTGTAAAGAGAAGAAATGAAGATTATAGGGAAAAAATATATAAAAAGCATAAAATGAAAACAAACTATGTAGAATATTCAAACGGCCATATAATGTACACCTTATCTTCAACGCACCGTTTGCACAGATCTTCCGTGTTGTCCTTGCTGCTTCTGGCCTTCGTATTATGTTTCTTTGTTTCCCCCCCACGTCTCCCATGTATCTCCGCAACGCCGTATCATTTTCTTTCTCTGACATCAAATCTATCTCGCTGCTATTTGTTGTTTTTATGTCGATGAACATCTTTGTATACATATATACTACTGACAAACCTTATCAGTAATACAAGCCACAAAATGAGTAGCTTCTTCAAATTGAATTGTCAATAAATAGTTCCCACATTTTACCACCACCGTAAAAAATTCAGCCATCAAGTAACAGGGTGATTTAACATGGTATTTTAAAAATCTTGGTTTTTAATTTGAGACATTGTGCTTGATTGTTATTATGGCCGGCTATTACACACAGCTGTTGTTACTCTGAGTTCTCTTTTCTTTCTTTCTACATGACTTACCATCTTCAAATGACATTAATTTTGTTAAATATGCTGACGACCTGACTGTATCAAAGTGAATGCTTTAAACTAAATGACTTTTTATCAGAAATCAGCCAGTGGTCCAAAGAAAATGGTCTAACCTTAAATCCCTCTAAATGTCAAACAGTCAATTTCACCTTTAGGCATAAATCTGACCTAAACAAACTGGTTAGCACTCACGAGGTGTGCAACGTAGATGACACTGAAATAAAGACCAAGTCGAAAATTAAATATCTTGGCGTCATACTATCTGCTAGTCTTTCCTGGTCGTCTCATATCTTGATGATTTCTAAGAAAATATTCCGTCTTAACTTCTACATGAGGAAGTTAAGACATTCTGGATTAACCCAACCCTTACTCCTACGATTCGTTAACTCTTGCATCCTGCCTATCATTCTCTATTGTTTCCCTTTAGTTTTTCCTGGGCTACTGAAGAAAGACTATACCTTATTACGCAGGATGTTAAAGGTTGTCAGCAGGGTAAGCAGTTTGCCACTTAGCCAGCTTGTTAATATTCTGGTCAACAGGGACATGGACTCACGTGAAAAATGGGCGAAATCCATTTTATCTGACTCACAACACCCTCTACATTCACAACTCTCCCCTTGTATCTCATCAGGGAAAACCAGAAGCCTATATAGAAAACTATATGCTCGCACGAGCAAGTACAAAAACTCAACCATGCCCTACTTAGCTCGTGTTCTGTGCGATAAAGAAAGCATTAGACGTGATACCTTTAACTTATTAAATAGTCAGTAGAACAACTGGATCTCGTCTTTCCAACTCATATCATTTATAGTTACGTTTACTTTCTTTCTTTTCCTTTTCTCTTTTCTTTTCTGTTATGTGCTGCTTTGTTTCTTTCTTCCTTACAAACTATATTTAAAACATTCTTCTTCGTCCTTTCACACTCTGTATATCTCGACCTTTTTGTTACAGCTTACGCCAGTAAATATGCTAGCATCTACTTTTTTAACACCTTCAAACGCTCTGTTCAATTTTGGCTTTGCTACCGGTATGCCAATATATTGTTGTCAAAACTAACTTAGATTACCCTTAATCTATGTAGAATTTTATTTATTGTTAATGCACCAACTGGATGCAATACTGTAGTAAAATACTGAGAATTGCATTCTATATCACAAGTACTGTTTTAGAATAAAGCTGTTATTATTATTTTTACGAGTTGATCACGGATTGATATCAGTAAGAGAACCCTTGAAAACCAGGGAGTACTGGACAGCTGCTGTTTCATCCTAATTTGGGAATCATCGCCAGTACGCACCCACTGGGATTCGAACCAAGGACCTTCCGGTTACAAGGCAAACTCGTATACCATTCAGCCACTGGGACCCGATTCAGTGGCTCATGAATTCTAACTTCTACCCATTCGTGATTTAGGTAAAGACATAACAAACCCTTACAAACCAAACTATAGAAAATTAATCTGATGCTCGCTAGTGACTTGCTACAGGTTGGAGTTTCCTGAGTTCTAGTGAGAAGTCGTGACCAGTGAGGTCCAATTAGATGTCACGTGTGTGGATGGATGTCCCACCAATGACAATGGTTGGGGTTGTGCTAAATCCCGAATTGGTAGAAGTTAGAATTCATGAGCCATTGAACCGGGCCCCAGTGGCTGAATGGTATACGAGCTTGCCTTGTAACCGGAAGGTCCTTGGTTCGAATCCCAGTGGGGGCGTACTGGCGATGATTCCCAAATTAGAATGAAACAGCAGCTGTCCAGTACTCCCTGGTTTTCAAGGGTTCTCTTACTGACATCAATCCATGATCAACTCTTAAAAACATAACAAACCCTTACAAACCAAACTATAGAAAATTATTATTATTATTACAAAAAAGATACAAAATAATCACATAACTAGTTTACTATCATATTCTTAAAAGAATAAAACACGTTTCATAGTTAACTGTTTATTCCTCTTAACATTCGCTTCTCATCTTGTCTTTTAGTACTTGGATCGATTCATTCATAGTGTCAATCGACCTTTACCAGTTAAAACAAATCATATAAAAGCATTCTATTATGCATTTCAAACAATCATTTCAAATATGAAACGATTTCAAAGTGAAAAGAATCAATTCAACCCTATAGAAATTCCAGGTATTTTTGGATTTTTAACACGGCTTAGTTCTTATATTTTAAAGTTTTGGTTTGCGGGGATTATTAGATTAAGTTTTCAACTTAGATCACGGGGGACTGACATCTTGTTATGTACTCGTCGACAAATTATTGCTATGTACTGGTCGAGAAACTAATAGTCCTGACGCAAGAAGGCGGAAATCAGAAGACCACTAGGTTTGCGATGATACTTCTATTTCCCAAACACAAGGAGAAGCAATAAGTGGTATCACACCAAAGTGTCACACAAGATTGTGAGAGCGAAATATATATGAATGTCCAGATAAGTGTGTGAACAAATCAATAGACAGTCTTAACATGAATGGCTAATTATAATCGAGTGTCGATCCAAATATACATAGCAAAATATAGCAGATATGTCAACAACCACACATATAATATGGATATATGTCACCAAGCGACGGACTGTCAACAAACACTCATATTATGTATAATATAAGGGGAATATACATTGTTAAAGGAGACAGGTTCATCAAAGTGAAATGGTCACAGACTAAGAGAGCAACAGAAAGAGAGACCACCATACACACATATATATATATATATATATATGGATATATATCACATCTGTTAGGTGGATCCTTAAAAATCAAAGAGTGCTGGACGGATGTTTTATGATAGCTTCAAAATTTTCATGGGTGTCTACTGCTGTGAATAGTGTTGAACTCGGTAGAAACAGCTGTCCACCACCCCCTGATTTTCAGTGGTTACTCTAACTGATTTGTGAGCAAACTTAGCCCTTCCGTCTTTCAGACCTAAAGTCGACATGTCGACAGACAAATGAAAACATTTTCCCTGTTATTCTTCAAGGCAGAAAAATATATTTGGTAAAAAAGCATGGAAAAGGGGTACAAAAGATGTTAATACCCTGATCAAATGACCGAATGTTAAATTTGACGTCATTACGTTCAAATATTTGCTAATTGTCACTTTAAATATTAACTTGTATAATTATATAACTGGTATTAGGTGCGTCGGTGACACAATGGTAGGGATGCTCGCCAACTACGCATGTGATTCGGGGTTCGATCCCCTGTCGACAAGGCACTCTTTTACCTGGCTAAGCCAGTAATTAGACTGATAAAGAGGGAAGGTTGTACATGAAGCTAGCAACTTCATCCTGTAGAAATAAGCACACTACTGCTAACGAAATTTCAAAGCTCTAGCTTGAAGTCCTATGTTCCGGTTGGAATGTAAAGAAATAAAATAATAATGAATTAAGCGCAGTTGAAACGATACAGCTTTTACTCTCAGTGACTCTGTTGTGCTGATGCATGTCTGAGTGTTACTGTCATGTGAAAAGAAAAGAATAAAAATAAATTTTTATTTCGTTGTCTCGACTTTTTTTGCTCTAAGTTATAATGAGAATTACTGCTAACTGTGGAACTGATTAACAGTTTTGTTTTGGGTTTCTAAATGTTTCTGTTTGTGCACTTTTAGAGCATATCATGTTAGCCTACATTAGTCGAGGCTATCTGACTGATTTAACAGAAGCGTCAACAACTCTACGTCTTGTCTCCACCTATCAAGCTTATTTGAATAATTCTGTGCATATTTGTACGTATATGCCAACTGAAGAGAAGAGTACTACAGTGCTATTTGAACAAACATTTATGAAAGATTTAGCTACAAGGTAAGTTTTTGATGATTTCCTCTTCATGTTTATATATATATATATATATATATATATATATATATATATATGCTACAAGCCCATAAAGTGGCTTCTTAGGAGTTCTTTCTACACATGGTATAAGTCAGTGAAATCCACAACAGTTTGTTTAATCCGGCCAGTCACGTAGGGAGGTGTAGACTTCCTGACTGGATAGGGTCCTGGGGATGGCAAAACCCAATGGCTGGAGACAGTCGAAGATATGGCTAGCTCAAAATCATCGTTCTTAATGGTTGTCGCAGACGCATTCACTCTTTGTGATTTATCATAACTCTACTGTTCTTCCATATTACTACTCTTTTTCCCTCATTCACACTTCTGTTTATCATCTGTCTTTTAGAACTCTTTTTACTCTCTTCTTTTGCTTTGTGTGCTAAAACGAGGGAATGTGGCAACTCGAAGTGATGCACATCTGTGCAAAGTTCTACATTAAAGCCAGTTAGTCAGTCTTTCTACACACACCCATCCGTCATTTTTCGATAGACGTAAGAGTGTAACCGGTCTTTCTTTTTCTCCACGTAATACGGCCTGTTAAGTTAGGCACTCTTTTCATTTCCCGCCATACCAGAATATAAAGCTACGGCATTGTGCATATTAGCCTCCGTACCTTCTTAATAAGCATATAAAAAGGACGACGATTAAGGAAAAGAGATTCCGAATATCAGTATCACATTTGTGTTTATGATTATTCTCAGTTTAATAGGATGACTTATGTTTAATATCACACAGACTCGAAGACTTGCATGCGAAAACCGACAAACCAGCAGAAGAGGTGAGCAGGGAAGACTGAACTTCAGGAGAACATATAGATAACAGAAGTGATAAAGATAACCAACGAACCACACCAGCAAAACGACCAGCACCAATCACCATCAACGGGAGAAATGTGGCAGAGGTTACTTCGTGAATTCGTTTATCCAAGAAGCAGGTTTTCAACTACAGGTGGAACGGATGAAGATGTCAAAGCCAGCCAGCCAGCCAGCCAGAATTGGAAAGACAAGATACACCTTCGTCAATCTGAATTCAGCTTGGAAATCTTCTGCACTCTACAACATAAAGACGCAGAGTCGGATTTTCAACAAAAATGTCAAGCCGGTTTTTCTATACAGGTCAGAAACTTGACACTCGCGTCAGGAAATATCTGTTCCAACAGGCGACTGCGGACTTTTATCAACAACTGACTTCGCTGGCTTCAGACTGAAGATAAAGTGGCCGGATGGTCAGAAAGAATCAACAACAAGAAACTCCGGTAACAAACCAACAGGTGACAGCGGATTGCTCAACAAATATGTAGGCGAAATTGGAGATGGATTGGGCAGATGTTGAGGAGGTAGTTGAATGACATCGCATGGAATGCAGTCTGTCGCTTGAATAGAATCCGAATGGGAAACGACGAGTGGGTCGTTGGTGTGATGTTGACATGGAGGAGATTTTGCGATATAATTAGGAGGTAAGATTTTATGGGCAATCGTGGACCCAGGTGAAAAGAACAGCAGAAAATAGATGAAAGTTCAGATGTGTTGTTGAACCCCTATGTTCCATTCGGAACCCGAGCAGACAATAATACTAAATGACAGATTTATATATATCAATATTTGAATTTCTTAACGGCTATAAAATCAAAGGGCAAATTATTTTTTTTTACTGATTTTCTGCTTTATCATGCTAGTGCTTTCACATTGAACCGTGAACTGACATTGATTAGGCAACGATTGGAAATCAGACAGCACTGTATAGTTGAAAGCTTCCATTTGTCCGATAATCTCTTTTTCCTAATCGTCTTCTAACTGATATCAGTTAGTCATCTACCTTAAAATCAATCATATCCCCGCAAAGCAACATTTTTTGAAAGCTAATAGTTTCGTCAAATTTATGCTTATTCAAAGGTCTGTAATATTTGAATTTATATGTGGTAGAACTTGCTTTGTGTAGATCACTTCTTTTTCGTTAATCTATCCAAAAATCAGTGGCGAACACTAACAAACGTACATGTTAGATATAAGGAATAGTATACGAATTGCAAGCTTAATTTTACGTGCCTATCTCAATTTATTTGTTTCCATACTTGCGTTGATAAAGTTAATTTAAAACCTAATTTTCAACTAATATCCTACCGTCTCAATGGTGTCAGACGGAGGTTTCATATTGGCTTCTGCGTCTCAAGCCACTAATACGTGATTAATAACCTCTCGCCTGTTTCACCTGACAAGACTGCTTACTATCATTGATGATTTTCCTGATTGTAATGGACTGGATATTGCAACAGATCTTGGAGGGGGTTGAGAAGATGGAAATACAGAAAGGCTCTGGAAAATATAGGTTTCGCAGACGATTCATGTCGCACAAACCTGAAGGTTTACAGGCGAAATCCAACAAACTGGTAGAAAACGAAGCGAAGATACGACTTCAAGTGAACAAGGAGAAGACATCGGTGATGAAGCTACCTAATCAATAACAACAGCAAGCACGCACTGCCATCAACGGGAGAAATTCGAAAGAAGTTGCTTCTGTAACTTACCTAGACAGTATCACTTCAACTACAACTAGCACAGATGAGGATATCAAAGCCAGCATCGGAAAGGCAAAACAAACCTTCATTAATCTGAAATCGGTCTAGGCATCTGCTGCACGTAGCCTAAATAACAAGATCCGGATTCTCAACACAAAGATCATGTCATCTGTATATGGTTCAGAGTTTGGGATGTCACGTACAGAATTTCATCAACAGCTGCCTTCTGTGGCTGTCAAGAAAGAATTAGCTATGAGGCACTCTAACAACGAACCAACTAAGAACCCTATTGATCAACAGATATGCAGAAGGGAATGGAGGCAGACTAGATAAACGCTAGGGAATTCGTTGAATGACATCACACGCTGGTTAGTTGAGCTGGACCCGAATGGGAAGTGATGAGTTAGGTGTCCGAAGGAGACGTGGAGGAGATCGTGTGAGGAGAAGATGGAAGCTAAGGAGCAGGTGTGGAGCCAGCCGAAAGGACTTCAGAGAACAGAGTGAAATGGAGATGTGCTGCTGAAGCCCTATGCTCCACACAAAAACAATGCGAATAATTTGTTTGACAATTTTTATATTTACGGCGTATGCTACTAACAAGACTTGTCAGTAGTATATAAATGCAGTTTGGTAGGAATTAGTCAAAATTGAAAACAACTTTTGAAGTCAGTGACACCAGAAGTGGGAGCATTTATTCCCCTAATCTGGATTCAGTTTACGTTGTGGTCAGGAAATAATCTCATTGGGCAGCTTTTCGTTCGATGGTTTAACCTTCAGAAAATTAACAACCAATCAGAACAGTGTATTATTATCTGCTAACGCAGCCAACCTTAAAAGGTATACAATTGGTGGATGGTGGCTAGCAGTGGAATCCAGGATGCGCATTTCGTCCTATTTGGGACTCGTCATCTGGATGTACCTGCATTTCTCAGTGAGTGATGATGTTCCCACCGAGGCTCGAACCCAGTACCCATAGTTTCAAACGCCAAAGCGTTATCCACTAGACCACTTGGGCCACGAGAGCCACCTCTTGTTTGAGCCTCGGTGGGAACATCATCACTCACTGAGAAATGCAGGTACATCCAGATGACGAGTCCCAAATAGGACGAAATGCGCATCCTGGATTCCACTGCTAGCCACCATCCACCAATTGTATACTAATTAAATACCCAGACATCGTCGAAGCATCTGCACAAGAAGCCGACATGTCAACCTGAGACCGAGCACTTCGGTCCAATCAATCGACGGAAAATCAAAAATTCAATTCAACAACCTTAAAAGGGACTAAAAATATAAATATGGTCTGTTTTTCCTTAAAAATAAGAAATTCCGTTACCAAATCTCTTGTCATCTCCCCCGTTACAATATCAATTGTTTTAATTTCTTTTTTGATAGATGGTCATTTTACTCAACATCGAATACTTCAATCGAGTTGAATAAATTATGTTCTCCAAAACAAGGCCATTTCTTCCCCATAAATCGTACTACTGACCTGTCAAATACAGTTGGAAAATTTTATGAAATTTTTCTTAAACCAACTACAATAAATATTTCAGATTATCAAATGGTTACCAAGTCTACTGGAAACATTATTAAACCGCTGATTATATCTTCTGCTACAGAGGATGTGACTATTGAAATAGAACAGGATATAAGTGATACTACAGCTTCACATGATGAAAATGAGAAAATAAAGCCTGTTGAGTCCAATGTGTCATCGTCTTCGCATGAGCACTCTCCTGAAATTAATGATATGAAGAGTGAACGTTTACCTGAAAGTTTTCCTGTCCAGTATTCTCTTCCATATTTTGATTTAGAAGGTGGAGATTTAGTGGTAACAATAAGTCAAGCGTTTACTGATCAGGTAACCATATTGTTTTATAGTTTTTATACTGCATTTAGAAGAGTTTATTATTTCTAATCAGAAGAACCATCGTAGGTCATATTTTGTTGCTGATAATATACACGGAAGTGAAGTGACCCGCACCCATTAATAGCTAGGTTTTTTTGTATGCATGTGCGTCGGTGGCACAGTTGTTAGGACTCTCGCCGACCATATACATGGTCCGAGGTTCGATCCCCTGCCGACGCACACCTGATATCTATGGTTGACCTGCAAAATTTGGGCTACCGATATCCATGCTGAAAATTCCATACTTGTACCAAAAATACAGTGTGGAATCAAGCTGTAATCAAAAAAATTTTTTATTAACATGTTTTACACTACAGTGTCGTTTCTTTCCTTAATAATAATAATAATAATGATTTACTTTATTCCAAAAACAGTACTTGTGATACAGAATGGAATTCTCAGCACTAATCGAAATATTGCATTTAATTTCCTCAAATTATAATTAAAATTAATCACACAGAAAATTTTCCACATTTACAATAGAGGTGTCAAAAACATGCAGCATATAAAATGGAGATAATAATAATAATGATAACAGCTAAGGTAATAATAACAATACAAGTGAAAATTGCTGTGGGCTTGTTTCACACAGTATTGTCGATTCAGTATAGAAATCCTACCATGTTTAAAAATATTGAATATAATGTTGTCTTTACATGATATAGTGAGGGGAAAAACAAAGATTACAGCAGTCATAGAGATAAGTTGGTGTTTGCAATTATGAAAGTAAAACAAACAAAGAAGCATCAGGACCATAAATATAATAGAAGTAATAAAAGTAAAACTTGAAGGTATATAAGGATGGATGGAGGAAATTGTTTATTTACTAGATGAAAAAAGGTTAGTTAATTGCTGCCTGACACTATTTTCATCACATAAAATACGTGCCAAGTATGGTATCATAGAATTTATATACTTAGACGTGCGAGCATACAGTTTTCTGAAGTTACTTCTTGTTCTACCTGGGGAGGAGATGCAAGGTGAAAGCTGAGGGTAAAGCGGATGCTCCAAGTCAGACAAAATCCCTTTAGCAAATTTATTGCACGAAGTCAAGTGCCTATCGATAACAACATTAACTATGTGGCCCACTGGGACACCACTCACCCTACTGACTGTCTTCAGCATTTTACGTATTGTGACATAGTTACAGTTAACAGTGGAATTCATTTATGTCTTATGGATGGAATGTCGGCTACTAGAATGTGTTTACATGACCTGTTAACTGAAGATATTGCGTTTGGCTGTGAAAATGACTAGATTACTGTATTGATGTTTATTTTTAGTTAAAGAAAACTATTGACTGCATTCAGTAGTAAGGTGCAGTTTTCTCTGTGTGCTCATTCCCACTTAAATTTATTGTAGTGATACTGAATGAAGTAACTGCGTTTAAATTTGGATGTCTCAGATGGGAATTAACTTTCTACCTGGGGGTAGAACGAAGTCTATATGGCCCTTTTGATTGAAGACACTGAAAGAATTCAACGTCTTCTGAATACTATCGGAAAATGTATAAATATTTTCTACATGTAGTTCCCCTCGGTGATATATAAGATGTTAATGCCACAGGCCTATTGTGCGTTAATTCTTAATTTAAGAATAGGAAGTGGACTAGCTGAGTGCACCAGTCAATCAAACAGTTTGGTTAGGTTTAATAAATATAGGGATCCTCCCCCATATATACATCAAGTTTGACAACAGATTGATATCAGTTACGGAACCATTGAAGACAAGAAAGGAGTACTGAAAAACTGTTTCGTTCTAGTCTGGGACTCATCATCAGCAGGTAGCCACCGGGTTTCGAACGCTGGACCTTCCAGTTACAAGGTGAGCTCGTATACCCGACTTACTGGCCCATGAATTCAAACTTCTACCAGTTCGTGATTTCTTAGCGCGACCCCCAGCCAATGTCATCGGCGAGAAATCCATCCTCACTCCCGACTGGATAGACCCCACTGGTCACGACTTCCCACCAGAACTCCCGGAAACTCCTTCCTTACAAATCAAATTTTGAAAAATTAATCTGATGTTCATTAGTTACTGTCTACAGGACGGAGTTTCCTGGGGTTCTAGTTAGAAGTAGTGTCCAGTGGAGTCCATCCTATTGGGAGTGAGGACAAATGCTCGCCTTGGATGACATTCACTGGCGGTCACGCTAAAAATTCATGAATTGGCAAGAGCTAGAATTCATCGGCTGGCCATTGAATGGGCTCCCAGTGACTGAATAGTCTACAAGATTGCCTTGTAATCGGAAGGTCCTGGGTTCAAAACCCGGTGGGTGCGTATTACCGGTGAGTCGTAAACTAGGATGAAGTAGCTGTCCAGTACTCTCAGCTGGTTATAAATGGTTGTCTAAATGATATCAAACCGTGGTCAAACTTGCAATATATATGAATTGTATATTATCAGTTGTGGTTGATAAACACAGGATACTTTCAATGAAGCAATGTAATAGACTATGAATTTTGTCTGTGTTATTGGTTATCATCAGTATACAGTTCATTCCATTTTGAAGTAAATTAAAAAATGTTCACCCGGTGTATATATGTCTCAGTGTTTTGAGTTCGAATTTGAATCATTACCGTTAATATTGTTTAAAGATCTGATTAGTATCGCTTTCTTTTGCTTGACTTATATGGCTATTGCCGTTAACATTTGACCTAGATTAGTTAAGTCACTTGGTTGAATTCCTTCTAATTGTGATAGATAATTTGACCAAGAATGGAGTGGTTAATCAGCTTATACATTTTTAGCTTCAAACTATTTCACTTTTCATGATCGAATCCAGTGGAGCTGTGGCTCATTGGCCCCTAGGTCATAGATTTCTAATCACCACCTAACAAGGACTGATTATCTTTAGTTCTCGTAGAATTATTATTATTATTATTGTTCCTTTGGGTTCCTAGTGGAACATAGGGCTTCAACTGCACGTCTCCACTTGCTTCTGTCTTGCTTCTGCTGTACTTTTCACCTGCATCCATGCTAGTCCATACTGTTTCAACTCCTCTTCATACGATCTCCTCCACGTCACCCTTGCACTGACGTCCCACTCACCGCTTCCCTTTCCGGTTCAACTCAAGGGCCTGACGCACGGTGTCACCCAGTGGCGGCCTCCTCAGTCAGTGTCCAATCCATCTCCACTTTCTCCTGCATACTTGTTCGGCGATTGGTTCTTGTTTTTTTTCTTCACATAGTTTCTTGTTGGTGATTCTTTCCGGCCAGGCCATCTGATCTTCAGTATAAAGCCAGCGAAGACACTTGTTGGTAAAGGTCTGAGTTAGCCTGTTGGAAATATCCTTTGTGACCCACCCGCCAAGTTTCTGATCCGTATAGAAGAACTGACTGACTTGACGTTTGTATTGAAAATCCGACCGAATTTTGTTGTTGATGCTGGCTGAGTGACGAAGATTTCCAGATTGGTTTCAGGTTGATAAATGTGTTTCTCGCCTTCCCAATTCTCACTTGATTTGACATCCTGGTCCGTTCCTCCTGTATTTGAGACAATGCTCCCTAGGTAAGTGAATGAAGTAACCTCTTCCAAATCCCTCCCGTTGATGGTGATTGGCGCTGGATGTTGCTTCTGCGGTTGTTGTTGTTATCGGTTGGTTATTTTCATAACCTCCGTCTTGTCTATGTTCACCTGGAGTCCTGTCTTCGCCGGCTGCTACTTCGACCAGTTTGTCGGTCGGTTTTCGCTTGTAAATCTTCGACTTTGTGTGACATGAAACATAAATCATCCACGCGCGAAATCCTGGTCTTCTATGTTCTTCACGTCGGTCCAGGATATCCCTGTCTTCTCGTATTCCCACTGTCTGATGCATAATCCAGTCCACCACAATTAGGAATATCATTGGTGATAATAAGCCAGCACCCTTGTCTGACTCCTGTGTTTACTCCAAACGCCTCGCTGAGTTTTCGGTAGTGGATCACTTGACACGCACCGTTGTCGTACAGCTTTTGAATAAGGTTGATGAATATTTGGGGTACGCCGTAGTACTCGAGTAGTTTCCAAATTACTTCACGGTCAACGCTGTCGAAGGCCTTCTCAAAGTCTACAAAGTTGAGATTAGAGTTTTGATTGCCATTCCACGCTTTGTTCTGTGATGATGATGCGTAGAGTTGCAATTTGGTCAGTACATGATTTGTCTTTCCTGAATCCAGCTTGTTCCGGCAGGCGGAGTTCTGTCTCCAGTGCGTCCTAAATTCTCTCCAGGATGATGCGACTGGGGATTTTACTTGGCGTCGACAGGAGCATGATTCCTCGCGAGTTTTTCCAGAGTCCTGAGTCGCCCTTCTTTGGTAGCTTCACAAGGTAACCTTTCCTCCAGTCAGTAGGCACCTTAGTCCTCGTAGAATGAATGTGGCTAATTGCTGACTAGAGAGAAATGCAAGTGGAAGGTAGTTGATAGTTACGAAGAGACTAGCTGGCGTTAACCTCAGCTGTTTGCGTTCCATCTTCCGTGCCAACTGGTACAATCTGGTGAGCAGGAATACTGAGGTTAGGCGTAGAGTGTTAGACAAGGAAAGGAAACCAATCGATGGTTTTGTGAAGCTACATCGGTTGGGATGGCTAGGACACATGTTGTGCATGCTGAGTCATTGCCTTTCTCGACGAAAAGTGTTATCTGACATAGGATTCGGTTGGAAAGGTATTTTGGGTTGTCAAGACATAACCTGGTATCAGTTTTTGATAGTTATTTTGAGCCATGCTACCTCGTTGGGATCCTCAGGATTCTAAGAACCAATGGATGGAGATAACTTGAGAGTTTTTCAATGGCGCATATATGCATCTGTGATCTTAGCCATATTCGCCCATAAATTCTCCCTCACACTTTTTTTCGACCTTTGTGTGTGAGCTACATGGAATGTTGCAACGTCAATTGCTGCGCTTTTATGCAAAGTTCTATGTTGAAAAATGGGTTGTTGAATCGGGTTTTCCTTTTTTTTGTTGTTGTTGCCATTTTCGAATGTTCACTCATTAATTGGAGGTTTGAAAAGCAAACTTTACTACTTACTATTTGTCTGTTCTTTTTAATTTTCTTTTTTTATCGACCATTTGTTATGCAATAAGTACACTGATTGATACTCACTGCTTGTTATATTTCTTATTTCCTTTCTAGGATAATTTAATCGGTGTTATGGGTATTGATGTACATTTATTAGATTTAGTCGATAATTTTGTGCATTTCACGACATCAGGTGCAATAGACGGTGGTTCGGATAGTTCAATTGCCTTTCTGTTACAATCCCCTGATGGTTATACACTTTCTCATCCAACTTTAACTGATACATTGATAAAACACTATCATTTACGTCGTCGACATTATGAACAAAATGTATACACTGATGATAGGCATGCAGTTTATTCATCTAATAATCATAGAAATCAATGGATGAATCGTAGAAATCGTCGACACTTCGGCGAGACACGTAATCCATCATCTTATCAAACAGTTTTTACCTCTGGTAGTGCTATTGATTCTAGGAGCCGCAGCGGCAACAGCCGTAACTGTTTATTGAGTGCGAGAAATATTCCAAATTTCAAAGAGTCTAGACAACAACAAGAGCCTATTTTAAATCCAGATATCAGTAGGCTGGAATGGGTTCCTGGTTTTCAATCGCTTGTGAGACAGCGTTTATTAAATGAATTGTCTGGTGAAGTTGGTCTTTTGGTGAAACTTGTAAGTTAATTACTTCCTGCTTTTCTTTTATTTCATTAGATCTTATATTATATTTTGTTGACTTATAGCCGTACTAATAGAAATTACCCTGACTAATCTTAACGGTTTTTCGAATTGACTCGTTACCAGGGGACATTTTTGTGAAAATAGATTATGCGGGTGAGAGCGCCCTCCTGAGTGAAGACTCTGATAAAATACACAGTCTTATGGACACTTTGAATAATAATGTTCGAATGTTTGGCATGCTATTCACTGCCATCAAAGGTAAGATGATGCTGCAGGACTTGACTGCGCCGACGCCTGGCTTAAAGATAGGGAATGAAGTGGTTGAGCGTGTTGGCCGTTTCACTTACCACTGGGAAGTTGCATCAACCCTAATGGACCGGTTAATGCCGATATTAAAGGCTCTTGTGGTATTTGTCAACTAATGGCATCTGTTGCGTAGACTTGATATCGGCCTATCGTTTAAAGTACGTGTGTGCTGAGCAGCATTTCGCTTTTTGTGATTGTGATACATGGCCATTGAAAGTTAAAGATATGATAACTGACGTAAGCTTCCTATCAACTGTGTCAATTAGCATAATATGGTTAATAATATTAGGTTTAGTCGTCGAGAGTTACGTAAGGAGGGTGAGCCAACCGATGGGGTTGAAAAGATGCATCGACTGAGATGATTAGGTCATGTGTTGCACATTTCAAATCGCCACCCTTCTAGACGAGCAATGTTAGGGGATACAGAATCAGGTTGGATAAGAATTAGAGGTAGTAAATTCAAAACTTGGAAGCAATTCACGTAGTCTTTGACATAATAAGCTGTCCGGTTGGAATCCAGAGGATGTTAGGAACTTTAAACAGTGCACACTTTCCAAGGTTACTATCTCCACTTATCTAAGAAGCTTTGTTTCAACCGCAGGCAGTTGGAACGGCTGAAGATATGAAAGCTAGCCAGAATACGAAAAGTAAGTCAGCACACCTTTCATCCATCTGAAGCCAGTCTGGAAATCTTCTGCACTCCGCAGCAATAAGAACAATATTTGGATTTTTAACACCAATGTTAAGCTAGGCATTGCTTGTATATGGGTTTGAAACTTGGCCAACGTGTCATGGAAAGTATTTCCAACAAGTTACAAACTTTTATCAACAACTGCCTTCTCTGGCTTCATACTGAAGATCAAATGGCTGGCCGGACAAAAAGAAGTAGGAACAAGGAACTCTGGCTGAGAACAAACCAACAGGCGAGAGCCGATCGCTCAACAAATATGTTGGAGGAAATGGAGATGAGTTGGGCACACGTTTAGGAGGCAGTCGAGCGACATCGCGAGCCAGGCCTTCGAGTGGATGCTGCCTGGGAAGCGATGAGTGGGTCGTTGTTGGTGCTGTGTTGACGTGGAGGAGATCGTGCGATGCGTGTAGGCGTTGTGAGATTATGCGCAATCGTGGGCCTAGATGAAGACGGCAACAGGAAATCGAAGAAAGTATAGATGTGTTGTGGAAGCCCACTGTTCCACTGGGAAGTCAAAATAATCATCATCACAATAATAATTCTCTCCAAGCTATTGTGAATCTCATGCAGACACATATGCATTCCACATAACTTTCAATCTTCTAAGATATTGACAATCTTACGTTTACCAAGTAGAAATTTACTGGTAACCGAAAAAGCTTTATGTACAGTTTGTGCTATATTTCAAATAGAAGATTAGTTTACTGCAAATATGGTTAACTACTCATAGGCAGAAAAAGCAAGTTATCTAACAATCCATTTTGCCTGTCATACTAATCATTGAAAAATCACAAGCTCTTCTGGTAGTATCTAGTATGCATATATTTCTGCTTTGTAAATGTTTCTTTATTTTTAAGAAGCAATATATATATGGTATAGATACACAGAAGTTCTCACTGCATTTGATTTTGTGCTTTTATATATTGCATAATATCTTCATAATCCTCTTTCTTTTATACTGTTTAGACAAGAAGTGAAATGGAAGTTTATGGGCTAACTGGTATCATAAACAAATGTTTTAACACCACTCGGACAACTGCTGACAGTAACAGGGATAAATTACCAATTCATGTTGTTTATCGTTGGAAACGTATTCATGAGTTAAATACGCCTTATATTGTCGTTGTAAGATCTGTTCAATCATTATGCTCTGAATATCGTCAGCTCTCACCGTTAGGTAGGTTGAATACATAAGTATTTTCTCTATGTAATTTATTATAATGATAATATTATAATTATACAGAAACCGATGCAAATTAGAGGAATTATGGTAGAGTAATGTACATTGCACAGGCTTCTTATTTGCAACCCTTCACCACCTTCATTTATGATCACTGCAGTCGGGGTGGGGTGGGAACTTTGGGTTTTCAATTCATCAGGTGTGTGTGTGTGTGCACCGTTGAATATTCTTGAGGAAGAGGAAAGCAATGGGTTTTTTTGTTCTCTTTTGGTTTTTGTCTGACTGATGCCACTTTATTTCGAATTTTACCAATTAATCAACCAAGATCCTAATAAATACAACTTTATACATTTATTCCCCTTAATGAATTTGAACAAAACAAGAACTACAGTTTTAGCAGAATAAACTGGTATCATCTTTTATTTCGTTGCCTTCTCGTCAGCTGCTCACAGGGAAAAGACATCATTCAATATATCTACAACAACAATTTTAACATACTTGCACAGAATTCGTTTTAAACAAAAATCAATCAATCGATCAATATATGCATACAGTAATAATATATACATATATATGTAGTATTGAACACTATTTCGAACAATGATGATCATACACAAAAGAAACTTTTCAGCATTTCGCATTCAGATGAAAGACAGATGAAAGATATCCAGTCACTAGGTCAAAGAAAGACTGATAACCGCTTCTTTCTGGACACATAAATCAGGTTTCAGGCGCTTGATGGGAATGGCTTCAGCAAACTTAAGGAGAATTGAGCTCTTTTGTCTATTGATAATTTTGAACGACTTTTCGACGTCCACCTCATGACCCGTGTCGAGGAGATGCCTGGCGATGGCACTTTCTAAAGCATTTGTTCCCTTTAAACGTAAGCTTTTTGCTACATGTTCAGAAAATCGTAGATATGCCCTTCTTTCTGTCCTTCCAATGTAACTGCTCCCATGGATACACGTAAATTTGTATATACAGTTGGAGTTAACATGAGAAGGATATCTATCGATTTTTGATTGCACCAAAGAGCAAGTTGTTCGACAGACGGGGACGAGTTTAGCTGCTCTGGTAACTGGATATTTTTCATCCGTCTTTCATCTGAATGCGAAATGCTGAAAAGTTTCTTTTGTGTATGATCATCATTGTTCGAAATAGTGTTCAATACTACATATATATGTATATATTATTACTGTATGCATATATTGATCGATTGATTGATTTTTGTTTAAAACGAATTCTGTGCAAGTATGTTAAAATTGTTGTTGTAAATATATTGAATGATGTCTTTTCCCTGTGAGCAGCTGACGAGAAGGCAACGAAATAAAAGATGATACCAGTTTATTCTGCTAAAACTGTAGTTTATGCTTTGTTCAAATACAGCCTTCAAATATTATGTATAATTAATAATGATAATACGACTCAGTTACTCGTTTAATGTGTTTCTTTTGTCTTTTGATTGATGAGCCACAATAACTGTACAATTTTGAAAATGCTACTCATTTATAGTGGAAAAGGCGTTCAGCGAAGAACTACTGCTCTTTTCGATGAAATCGCTCTCAAGCTCTACAATCGCATATATATATAGCTAATTGTCTTAGCAACAAAAAGGAATATTTCCGGAGATGTGTCATTAGAATTGTAAATTTTCAGGTAACAAATTACTTGATGTAGAAAGCGTTAGTCGGATAGAAACTTGTAATACAATTGACAGGGTTGACTGTAATTCAACTAAAACTGGACGACAGTCAAGTTAATAACAGTGATAATAAGGGGGTACCGATTTAATAGGGAGTGGGGGTGGGAGAAAATAATACGATGAAGGAACATAGATAAGGTCCATTGTAGATTTAATGACTAGGCAAACTTCTTTTGTATGCAGGGTTAAGGATTTAACATGCGAATTGCCGTCATTGCTTCTGCGGTTTGTAGAAGTTTGATTCGTACTCTTTTAGCAAGACTCCGTGTTCCGGGATAGAGCAACTGTAGAGGAATCTTTTTTTCTCCATATAGAACGATGACTGTAGATATGTGTTCGATAATACGTTTGGATAGCAAACGCTGGGTACGGCCGACATACCTAGCTCCACAGATGGAGCAGGTGAATTGGTAGATGCAAAATAATGAGGCTTACAGTGGTAGCTTATCAGTAATGTTCGTGCAAATCATTGGTTTCTTAGAGAAAGTTTTTCGCATTCCAGCCTCGAAGAAAGTTTTCTTCAGTGAGTTGGATAGACAGTTTCTCAGTATTTCTGATGATGAGTCTCCGTTGAATTGTAAATTCAAGTATAGGCGTTTTCGGGGATCAGCAATTGTGGGTGGTTTAAGTGGTTTAGGTTTCATGGATTTCATGATGATGAAACGTTCTGAATAGCTATTTCCGACAAGGATTCTTTTTAGAGTGTTCAGCTCTATAGTGTCAGGGCTACTCAACTTCTTAAATCAAAGAAGTTGGAGTGAGATTTAATGACTGCATTCCCTGGCTGAATACGTGGCATTTATTGTCGAGTTGAATGTAAATGATCTTCTTAATAACTTTTATGCGTTGCCCTTCCGTTTTTATCTGAACTCACAGAATTTAACCTAATCGATAGAATGAAATAGGGTAGCTGGTAAGTCGGAAAAAGCTAACCATATTACTGATACCTTTTAACCTGTACAAATATAACCGGATTACTGGAATACATGGCAAGCACATAAGTGTTGAATCAAAATGTATTGACTTGTGATTCATCACTTATACCATACAATATTGAAGTCAAACAGTGACATCAAACAATAGCTATCACTGAACTTAACTTGATTTGTCACACTATTTATGATATATCATTAGAATTTCGTGCTATCTGTCTCCGAGACTATTCAGAAGGTATTTATCAGTAAGAGCTGAATGTGAGTAAATTCTTGCATGATTCTAACTTGTGTCACTCAGCCTCATAGTCAGTGAATTTAACGCTGACCTATCTATTCAATTCACAAACGATCCTCGGTATATTTTTATACTGTAAGCAAGAATGAGCAGTAGTTAAATGGTAGTCAGTTTATTTGTCTCGTATTTAGCGTGTCTAGTGGGATCCGTGAACTCCGTCATCTCATCTCACTGTCTAATGAAACCCTATTCCTAGACCATGAAATTTGCCTATCTTATATCCCCTATGTCACTGGTTTCTTTTATTTTTATTGGTTTTTAGTTCCAGAATTCGATTTTCATTATCATCGTCTAGACTTATTGAAAGAACCTCAGAAATGCCTTTTCCTTAATCAACTTATATCATTCAGTGAGTTTATCAAACAAAAGATAAAATAAATATTAATTTCAATCATTTGTTTTCGCTTATACATTTTATTATGCCCATGTATTGACAGTCAGAAGGTGCGTAAATAGAAGGCAGATATCATTTGCATTTCTACTCTGTACTTTAATTTCACTGAGGTTTATACTGTTAGTAAGATAGAGGTAATGAGAAGATTGTTTTAAGTGTTGGTTTTGTAGGGATTTGGAGTGTTTGATTGCTTGGAGGATTTCATCATGAACTGACATCGGTTAGAAAACCATTCGATAACCAGCTTGGAGTACTGGACAGCTGTTTCTCCCTAGCTAGGAAGTCTTCATCAGTAGGCACCCAGGACCAGTCAAGTCAAAATCACTACAAACCAACACTTGATTATCAGTTTGATACCCACTAGCGACTGGCCCCATTCAGGTAGGTAGTTACCTGAGTTCCAGTGGGATATCGTGACCAGTGGAGTACAGCCGGTCGGGTGTGAGGACGGATGCTCGCCAGTGAAGACGTTGGCAGAAGTTGGAATTCATGGGCTGGTCATTGGATTGGTTCCCAGTGGCCGATGAATGGTCTATTAGCCAGTTTCACTTGGTAACTGGATGGTCCTGTTTTCGAAGCCTGGAGGTGGGTGTATAATGCTGAAGAGTCTCCAGTTAGTATGAAACAGCGGTACAGTACTCCTGGCTGGTTTTCTAATGATCCTCTAACCGATTTGCGCTAATGATAAAATCCCGAAAACCAATACTTAAATAATAAAAACAGTTTTATTCTAGAGAGTATGTTAACACAAAGTAAGGAATTTTCAGGGTATTTATATTTGTGGTATATTTACTATTGTACGGAATTTTCAAATAAAACAATGCTCGACATTGTTTGAGGTGATGCTGTGGATTATGTAATGTAGGTGTTTAGCTTAAGCATTCGCCTACAAGCAATAGGTGACAGATTTGGTTCCTGTTCCATCCACTTCAGTCTGGCAAACTTGATAGTATCACCAGGCCTCACATTTAGCCTAGAACGCGAAGATCCATCATGGATAACTGAGTGCAAAAAACAATGTCTCTGTTCTCTTATGATTTCGCAACTGTTTGATTACATCACGACCTGAATAGATATTTGAATGGTGATTGGTTGATAAAGTCTCTTTCAGTTGTCTGTATTCTGTACAAGTACAAAAATTAGAATTAAAATTTTACTGGCGATCGGTTGATTATAATTTCACTGTCTACATTGCCAGTTTAATCGTAATTATCACAACACAGTGGTAACTTAACTTTCGTCAAAATACGCTATCAGTCGGAATATCAATTAAAACTAAAAAGCATTGAACAACTTTCTCCATTTAAGTGTTGGTTTGCGGCTATTTGATTAGTTACATGATTCCATCATGAGCTGACATTGGTTAGATAACCATTAGAAAACCTGGGAGTACTCTGACAACTGTTTCGTCCTAGCTTGCGACTCTTCAGTTCTCGATTCCTCAATAGTTTACACCTTCGACTCACAAGTGTTTACTGTCAAATGTGACAAAATAGCTGATTCAATCAAGCGCAGATCGTATATTACCCTGTGGAAGATGCATACAGCTAGGAAGCTGATATAGTTATACGAAACTAAATAACATGTTATGGCTGTCCAATGTGAATAAGTTCCCGTCTCATTTCATCGTCAGTTATGTCTGTCGGTGCAACTGGTCATACTGAAGCGCGGATATTTTAAAGCTAGAGTGGAAAGTTTTTGTTTGCATTCTTATTCATATACTGACTAAGGGATCCTAACCTACGTAAATACCAAACTTTTACACTTGTTGTCCTTACCATATTCAAGGTTAATAATAGGGTGAGGTATAGAGTTACTTCGCTTATTTGCTTTTTATTCTCTAGTTTTTGTTGGCTTCATGTTGACTCATTTAATCTCTCTTAATACTTTCCAAGGTTTTGGAACTGTTTACTTATCTCCACGTGCATTCGCCCGACCATTTACTCGTTTAACTCAAGGCTATTCAGAAGACATAAATGATATTCGCCATCTTGTCGCCTATCTATTCGATCATACGGTGCTGATCTCAGATCCTGGACTAGCTGGTAGTAGTACCAGTGGAAGCAGCACTAGTAGCAGTGCAAGTACTGGCAGTAGTCCATCGATTCGATCCTCTGTAGCCATTGTCGAAAGAATTGGAAAATTTTGGATGCATCGAAGTCATGTTAGTGAATTGAGAGACTTCATCATTAGACGGTATGTTTCTGATTGATCAAGTGTTACTACATTTACTGTTTGTTTCCTTATCGATTTCACTTTGTTGTTGCTTTTGCTGGTGGATGGTCTGTTTTCCTCTTCTTTTTGCTTTTCTGTTTCCTCCCAGGAGAAACACCTCTTAGTCAAGAGTGTTTTGAAGCACTTTGCAATCCTTTTGCTTATTAAGTTTTCCTCCTTAATTTACTGTCCACATGTACACTTTGGGAAATGATATTACTATAAGTTACGCTTACCAAATTGATTTGTGCTGTGTTGTTAGTATTACTTCAATATACTGGTCTTAATATTATTACCAAGTCACTCAGGGCTTATGTATGATTCAGAAACAAGTCTCTGAACCTTCGCTGCTCCTGTACTAGAGATCTGATAGCTGGCCAGAATGCACAAGCAACACACAACTCTGACAACGAACCAATCAAGGACCTTTTACCCAACAACAAGAAAAATTGAAATGGATTAATTGGACGTACGCTAAGCAAGTTACACTATAGTGATAACTGCTTCCAGTCTAGATCCTAAGCAAATGATCTTTTGGGCATAATAAGACCTACGGGAATATTGAAACCAGTGTAGGTCATTGGATCATTGTGATATGGAACCTCCTGATCGTTGTTCTACTTTTTTAAATTACTAGACGAATATACGATGAGTACCAGAAGTGGTGCATTTCCAAGTTTTGGCTTACAGAGAATTGATTTCCTTCAAGTTAGATTACGGAATGACATCGGTTAGAAATTTGTTCAAAACTGAAGACTACTGGAAAACTGTTTTGTCCTAATCTGGAATTCTTCATTAGCGGCGGTGTCACTATGTGTCGTGAATCTATGGAGATTGGAATTCATAAGCCCATTGGATGCCATCCCAGTGGCTGAATGACCAATGGGCCAGCCTGATAACTTGCAGCTCCTGAGTTCCATCCCCAGTTGGCTCCTGAATGCGTCCTGCGGAGGAGTCTCAAATCGGAACGAAGAAACTTTCGAGTGCCACCTGGTGTTCATTAGTTCTTTAACTGACGTCATTCCGTTGATGTGACTTTAAAAGTGATGTGCATATTTAAGCCATTTCAGCATAATTATTTAGATCTGATACGCGGTTAGTCGTGCACTGACATCTTAATACATTTGGATGACTGTGTACTTCTAGTTCTGTTTTCCTAAGAGTTCTAGAAATGACCTCCGACGTAGGATTAATTCTTGTATGAAACATGTCAACATTGAAGAGATTGGTCATTATATTATGAGAAGAAATTATATTGATTGGTCGATAGTGGCGCTTAGCCAGTCAATTGTGAAACTCTGAAGTACTGAATCAAATTATTGTTCACCGGTTTGGCTCGAATCCAATTGTTTTTATTGTACAGGTCTGATCAAGAGCTGAACATTGGGAAACCAAGGAGTACTGGAGAGCTGTTTGATCATAGCTATAGACTCTTCAGCAGTGCACACCTACCATCAGGGTTCGAACCCAGGACCTTCCGGTTGCAAGGTGGACTCTTAGATCATTCAGTCACTGGGACTAGACCCTATGGTCGGTTGATAATAGTTAAATTCATAATCCTGTTGTAGAGATTTGTATGAATGACTTTATGGTTTGTATATACCTAAGGTGTGTATCAACCGGCATCAGTTTCTAGCCTTGAAGCTCGAAAAATTCATCTTTTTACCTATGGATGTCTTGAAATGTCAACTCTAGTGTTAACTACTTCTCTCTGCATTGTAATAAAACTTTCTGAATATATTTCCTTTTCTAAATATAATATACATTATTAATTTGTTATATTTAATTTAAGATTCCGTTTACATACACACATACATACATGTTTTATCGTAGATATGTGGCTACAAATACAGGCGCTATGCTTGTCTACCCTGGCACATTGTTATCACATACCTATGATCCAAGCAATCGAATTTGGTATAAACGTGCTCTAGCAATGCCTGGACGATTGGTAGCGACTGGCCCTTATCTAGATGATGGTGGTGCTGGTTATATAATCACACTAAGTCGTACAATCTTTGAAGGAAAGTAAGTTACAGTATAAATCAATGTTGTTGTTATTATCATTGATATTAATTTTGAATTGTCAATTAAAATGCTTAGCTTCTTACAGGGGTTTATCAGTTTAATTTGTAAGACTGACTAACTAGTTTCAGTGTAGAACTCTGCGTAGACGTGCAGCACAGTCCATGTGCCACACTAAGCAAGAGAAGAGAGTAAAGAGAGATTCCTCAAAAGAGATAATAAACAGAAGTGTGAGGCAAAAAGAAGAGTTATATGGAAAAACAATGGAGCTTTACTGGATATGATAAACCACGAAGTGAATGCATCTGCGCCAGCTATTGACAACGACGATTTTGAGCTAGCCATATCACCAATTGTTTCCAGTCTTCATTAGTTTTTACCATCACAAGGACCCCGACCAGGTAGGAAGGAAGTTTACATCTCCCTTCATGGCTGGCTTAAACTAACTGTTTGGATTTTATTGACTGATGAAGCCATGTTTTGGCTTACCACCACTAGCTCTTTCTCTTTGCAACCTAATCCATCCTATGTCAGTCAGCTGACATTGCTCCTCGAGAAAGGCGGTGGTTATGGATTCATGCATAATACATGTCCTAACCATCTCTCTCAGTCGACACAGCTGCTTCACAACCGCGTCGATTGATTTCGCCGAGGCACTAGGCATCCAAAAGCTCAAACCTACACTATTTATCCAAAAGAAATACGTCCAACCCCTGTCCCTGCCTTGGCTATCATTAACAGGTAATACTTTTAATAGTGACTGTCGCATTACCTTTCTTATCTAAACTCCCTGTTTATTCATGTTATTTTTAAGTCTTTCTTAATCCCTGTTTACACTACTATGTTTTCAAATTCGAACTTCCTGTCTATTTTGTTATTTTATTATTTCTACATATTTAATCCCTAATTGCATAAATAATTATTCGTCACATTAGTTGTGATCCCACTAGATTTTTTATCCAAACATCCTATCTATTTTTGTTATTTCTGCATTTCTAACCCCTGATTGCACAATATGTCAGTCTTCTCAGTAATTATGATGCTACTTTGTCTGATTTTTATCCGCCCCCCCTACCTGTTTATTATGGCATTTTAATTTCTGATTGTAATTCTAATAATTTGACCCTTGACCGGAAATTATTCTGGGACTTCCCCACCCGTTCATCTTGAATACACCAATGTGCAGTCTAATTGATGATTTCGTGGAGAAGAAAATTTTCTCCGCTGCAACCATCTTTTTATTATTCCCTATGATCAAATGTGTATATTCTGTGATTTCCCCTCCTTGACTATGCACTCACTGGACGCTTAACCTCAATATTGCTCATTCTATTCTTCCACCTAACACAAATAGGAAATAGAGAACACAGACACCTGTGGTCAAAGACAGCTAGCCGGTATTTTCTTATCTTCCACCTTGAATGGCCATGTCATACAACCATAAAGGAGGACGTAGCGAACTGCTGGGCAGGACACACGTCCTTTGTTCGACAGCCAGTCGGATATCACGTCTGCTAAGTCAGAGAATGCGTATGTTGGCAAATGCCATACGAATCTTCTGTATCCCTGGTGAGATTTCGTGAGCTATCAATCCTCTGGAGTTGGCAGATGCAACTTCCCAAGTAAATGAAGCGGTCAATACACCCTAGCACTTCGCTGCCAATCTTTAAGCTGGGAGTCAATGTAGTCCAGTCCTATAGCCTCATCATCTTTCATTTGACGGGAGCGAATCGCATTTCAATCATTCGAAGATTGCTGCTCAAGAACTTGAGAAAATTAGTTTAGTGCTCATGATTGATTGAATACAGGATAAAGTTCCCTGGAATTCTAGTGATGGCTATCGGAGCTCACCAAGCTGGTTGTGCAAGGGCAGATATTCACTTATCACAATAGCTGTTGGTCGTGTCTTGTAACTTGATGCATTCAGCTGTATTGATCAATTTCTTTAAAACTCCTGCAAATAGTGAAGACTAACAGTCGTCACCTACGCAATTAAATATTAGTGCAATCGCTCAGCTGTTTTTGGTGTTTAACAGTGGTATAAAATCCTTACCGTGGGTTGTAAGATTTTTTTACTGTTGTTAAGCTTAAGCTCTATTTCTACGTTACTTTACTAGAAGTCTTCACGTATCTGTGAGATAGGATCAGTCACTGATTTGATGACGTTTTCTGTTATATTGAAGCATATATAAAGCCGAAGTACACTATGTCGTATATGTCGTCAAGTAGATAAAGATGGTGTCGGTCAAGGCTTTTACTATAGTCCAACTTACCAAATTTACTAGAACTTCTCTAGTAAGAAGTATAGTCAATAAATTCAACCAAATTATTGTTTTTCGCCATACTACGTATCGTTATAATTTGGTTATGAAGAATTCTTATTCTAAAATTGTAATGTGTCAACCACCTTTTCATAAATCCTTTGATTTTCCGAGTACTTTATACTACTGATTGGTTGATATGAGTAGCTGGGAACAGTAGATGTGCGTTTTGTTCCTTCGGAGCATTGCTCATCAATGGTGTGCAGTGGAAGTCATCCAGGATTCTCATTTCATCCTAACTGAGACTCTTCGGTCGGATGTATCTGCACTGTACAATGTGTCATTGTGTTTCTACTGTGACCCGAACTCAGAATCGGTCGTTTAGATGGCCGTGGCGTTATTCAGTGGGTATCCACATGTGTGAATGAACGAATTAGATGAAACAACACTGTTTCTTAAAGTGGTAGTTCAAATGACCTGTGATACGTTTATGTAAGAATATTCGGATGTCACACGCTTATGCATATATTATTTTGCATTGTTTAACTTTTGCTCTTGACAATCTGATTTCACAAAGATATTTGTGAATATTATTTTGTATGAGGTTATTATTTACGAACGATATTTTTTTCAAGTATTGGTTTGTATGGATTTGATTGATTGGTTACAGGATTTCATCATGAGCTGACATCAGTTAGAGAACCATTGGAAAACCTGCAAGGAGTACTGGACAGCTGTTTTGCCCTAGATTGGGATTCTTCATCAGTACACACCCACCGGGGTTCCAGCCCAGGACCTACCGGTTACAAGGTGGGCTCGTATACCATTAGGCCACTGGGACCCGATCCAATAGCCCATGAATTCTAACTTCTGCCAATTCACGACATAGCGCGACCCCTAGCCAATGTCTTCGGCGAGTATTTATCCTCACACCCGACCGGCTGCACCCTACTGGTCACGACTTCCCACTGAAACCCCAGGTAACTACCTATCTGAATAGGGCCAGTCGCCAGTGAGCATCTCATAGATATTCAAGTATTGATTAGTAGGGATACTTTTTTTACCAACATTCATACAAGAATAGTCATTGGGCACTATGGTAGAGCATGATTCCACTATGGAGAAAATTTATTGTGGTAAAGTCACACACTGCTAAACAGTAATATAAGTATAAAACTTGGGCACTGTGGTAGAGTATAACTCCATTATGAATAAGATTTTATTTTGATAAGTCGCACAGTGTTGTACAGTTATATTTATTGATGACCATATTTCGACCACAGTTTATTGCTTGTAGTCACCATATCAATACAATACTCACACGACTTTCTAACTTCATTTAAATAATTCCATTATTTTTCATCTCCTAATTTGATTGGTAGTAATATTTCCCATATTTTTGGTATTGGTGATGAGTCGTCATGTCTATTGCATGTGTTGATTGTAGATTCTATGAACAAAGATTCAGTAATCAACCTCCCTCTGCACGAAACTATATTAATTTTTAGAATTTTAACTTTGTCCGAACGTCTTGTGTGGTTGTGAATGGTGAAACTAATAATGACAACATAAATTAGAAAGAAGATAAGGCATCTACAGTTTTACCATTGAAGGAGGGGATATCTGAGACCCTACGTAGGATTCTTAATATAGCAGAAATTAGGGTGGCAATTATACCTACAAACTCACTCAAGTAGGACAGGCTCTGCTGGTTAAAGGAGCCTGTAGGTTGACCCAATTAGACCAGTAGGGTACAGCAGGTTGAAGATGAGGCAGTAACTCATGGAAGAAGACATTGCGAAGTGGTCGCGCTATGTCGTGAATTGGCAGAAGTTAGAATTCAAGGACCATTGGATCGGGTCCCAGTGACTCAATGGTCTACGAGCTCGCCTTGTAACCAGAAGGTCCTGGGTTCGAATCCCGGTGGGTGCGTACTGCTGAAGAGTTCCAAACTAGGACGAAACAGCTGTCCAGTACTCCCAGGTTTTCCAGTGGTTCTCTAACTGATGTCAGCTCATGATTAAATCCTCCATGCAAAATAATATAACTCATGGAAAATCCCCATTGTAACATGTAGAAAATCAAAACAAGTGATTCAGAGAAGAGACTCTTTTCAACGAATTGAATCATAGGTGTGAATGCATAAGATAATAATAATATTATGAAATGCAATAAAAACTAAAATGTGATTATAATCATAGTAAAATGTCAAGTGGCAAAGCAAATTAATGTCATATATCGAATAATTCATAGGATGGATAGAACTTGAAAAAGGGTCTGCAATTATAGGATTAGTAGGCAAATCGAATAAAATAAATATAAAAACCTTACGTAATATTGTGTGAAATTTAATAGCATAGAATTTAACGTTGTAAAAAGGAATTGATTTAGAATGACAAATGGAACAATTGAAATGATACCGGGGACAGTTCAAAATGAGTGGTAATAGCAACAATTGACGTAATAAGGAAGAGACTACAAATTGAATAGACAAAATGAAAAAAATTGGTAGAGCCTAGATATGATTGGGGATTACCATACTTAAGCATAGAGGGATTAAGACCATGAAAGTTGGAGGGGTTGAACGAACTTTTTCTGTACACAGAGATCTGGCTTTTCCACACTGTACCACAAGTACTGTTTCTGGAATAAAGCGAAAAATTGTTATTGTTTCGATAGCCAAAGCTTCAGCAATACAGATGTGTCGGGTACGTAGGGATTTGGGTAAATTACTCTTTGCCTTGTAGATGACTTCAAAGGCGGAGGCTATAGAGATAGGGTGATCATTATCGACCAGATGTTCAATGATCGCGCTTCTTATTGCTCCACTTCCACCTATCCGTAATGACCAGGCAGGATAGTGTTCTTGCACCCCCTTAGACAAAGCTCGAGTCGAACGACCGATATACCTAGCTCCACACGAGCAGGTGAATTGATAAACACACACAGATTCGGTCAACAGCGGGATCTTGTCTACTAGTAAAGGCTATTCTCAGAGATGCAGCAGGGATAATAATATAACTTACAAAATACCTTGCAATGACTGAGTTGAGTCAACTACATACGTCATACCAGAAGTAGATCGGGGGAAGTTAACTAAGGTTAGAATGATTGACCTCATGATGAAAAGGAGTTTAGGAAAAGTGCTCAACAATTCCACTGCATGCACCAACACACAACCACACATTAGGATGGGAGAGAGTTGAAATTGTAAACAGTAATACAGATGGGTGGGTGCAGAGAGAAGTTGATCACTGATCGAATCCTTGTTCACATAGAATCTACACCCAACACATGCAGTTGGAATAATGACACATCGCTGATACCAGAGATAGGAAAACTAATGGAATTATATAACCGGACTTGGAAAGTTGTGTGAGTATTGCTTTGATATGATGACTATGCGCTGCAATAAATTGTGCTTGAAGGGTGGTCATCCGTAAGTAGTATTACTGTTTAACACTGTGAGACTTTTGAAAAATAAAATAACAATGGAATTTTTACTAAGTTTGTTTGCCTAATATATATCTAGCAGTTTATCTTAATTTTTGTTTTAATTTTTTTTGAATTTAAACTTGTATTTATTCTAGTTATACGGGTGTACGTGTCCATGGAAGTGATAAAGTTGCTGCTGTTATCGGCATGGATGTAACATATCGTTTTCTAAGCCTTATGCTATCTAATTGGTTACCAGAGTGTGAAATGTTTTTAAAACAAGAAAATCTATTCTCTTCAACAACGTCAGCCTCCAATAATCCATCTTTAATACTGGAACAACAGATAGAGAAAGTAATGAATAAACTAGCCATTTTTTTGAATGGTGATTCATCAGATTCTACATCTTCGACAAAAGATGATCTTCATATACTGGACAACTGGAAGAGGAAGAAGAAGAAGAAGGTGTCTGTTCAACAGTCTAATCTCAGCAGTAATAACATGAGTCATGATGGCGATGTTGTTGATGATGGTGATATGAATGCACAGGCGAAGAATCCAATTCACTCCAGATGTTTGCTGATGGATGATCGAGGATACCTACTTGCACATCCTAGTTTTTATGAACCCAAAGTTGGTGGACCGTTAGAACAAAATCATTTAAGCTATCAGTAAGTTGTGACTATAGAAGTTTGATTTCTGTTAAATCTCTTTGTATTACATATGGATCTTTTTCATGTAAGCAGTAATAGTCCTAGTTGAGATGAGCGGTGAAAATCTGTAATTATACTGTTACCAGTAGGTAATCTGTTGATACAGCGGTGTATTTCGTGGCTGTGGAATCCTGAACTGCTTATAGACTTCAGGGTGAAGTATCCAGCCTTAGGCTCAACCGTCCCTTTTTTCCGTTTAGCGAACTAGACGAATTTGCGGTGTGTGCATCGGTCAGCTATGAAATTGGTGTGATTGATGAATATACTGCTATTGAACCACTGACGCACAAGCGTATCATATCACCCTCTGTGTTCTTGCATATATGTGGGTAGATTACTGTAATTCTTAATAAATTTTGCCATTCAGGTGACGGAGGTACTCGTTCAGAAGTTGACAATGACTTACTCTCCGTTGATGCCATTTGCTGATATCATAATAGTCACACCTGTTCAAGGTGTCGTATAGTGAAGAGAATGGTAATAATTTCAAAGTGTGTATTGTTACGAATCGTGATTTTGCAGTGCTGGATATTTCCGAGACCACTTTCCATTACTACGTGGCTTTCTGAAGTAATTTTGTCAAGAAGTGTAGCAAATGATGTTGTATATAATTGGTAGGTAACATCTGTGAATTTCTTCCAAAAGAAATTCGGAACGACAATCGAACGATTATCAAAACCACAGGTAGAATGACGCCTAAAATCCAAATACACAGGATTTGTCGCTGTCTGTCTGGATTCAACATAGAACGTGGCACCCAAGTGCAGCAGTTCCAAATAGCACACAAAGGTAGACAAGAAGATGAGTGAAGAGAATCAATAGAGCTTGACAAATATAAGAGTGAAACAGAATGGGTAATGGTAGAAAGAAATATGAAAGATTACAGAGACTGAATACATCTGCGCCATTGACAACGATTTTGAGCCATATCACCTATTGTCTCCAGCCATTGATTCCTAGAGTCCCGAGGGCCCCAACCCGGAAGTCTGCATCTCCCTACCTGATGACTCAGTTTAACTGTCAAGGATTTCACGGATTGATGACATGTTTTTGTTTGGCCACCGCTTACTTTTTTCCAACTTGCACCTATATCAGCTAGTAATGCCCGTCGTCGGGGGAGGAGGTGGTTAGGCATGCACAGCACGTGACCTAGCCATCTCAATCTTTGTAACTTTATAGCCTCGTCGAATGATTTTCCCTCTTTGCCCAACACTCTACGCCTAACGTCAACATTACTTACCTTGTGAAACCACCTAATGTGAGAAAGAGATCGTAGACATCTATGATCAAAAACAGTCAGCCTTTTCGTATCTTCAGCTCGTATTGGCCATGTTTCAGAGCCATAGAGAACTGATGAACAGTACACACGTCCCTTGGTTGATAACCGTATTTCACGCCTACGCCAGATATGGTGTAAGTTGGCGAAAGCAGCTCAAACTTTTTGGTTCCGTGCTGAGATTTCGTCGCCAATCAGTCCATTGGTGCTGATACAACTTCCCAAATAGGTGAAGTGATCAACATGTTCTATCACTTCACTCCCTATCACTAAGCTAGGAGTTGACGTAGTCTAGTCCTGTAGCAACATGTTACATTTTACAGGGGCGAATCGCATGCCAAACATACGAAGATTGTTGCTGAAGGTGTTCAGAAGACTCTGCATTTTGTCAGCATCCTCCCCTAACAGGACCATGTCATCTGCATATTCTAAGTCCATAAGACTATACCCTGGTAACAAGTCGATTCTTAAGTCGTCAAGTTCAGTTAAGGATACTTCCATTAGCGTATGTATGATGAAGTTAAACAGAAATGGGGAAAGTGGACATCCCTGTCGGACACCACTGGTTGTTATCAATTCAGATGACAATCCCCCATAAGCCCTTACACGGCTACGTGAGTTTGAATAGAGTGCCTTGATTAGTGTAATGTACTTTCTTGGCACTCCCTTCACAGTCAGACATTGTCATAGTACCTTTCGATCCACACAGTGTTTGTGTAAAATACGGTACTGTCTTCAACATCAAGTATGAAATATAATATAACAACCTCATTTATGGGGCGTCTGTGGCTGAATACCATTAAAAAGCATCGTCAAAGCATAGCATGTACGTCAATAAATGAAAACAGCAGGGCTGTGTCAAAAGGCGATCCACTTACTATTTCAATAGCACACGAATGCCGGACACAGAATGCAGAAATACGGATGAACAATGTTCAACAGTAATGGGTACACAAATAAAGCATATACAGCACAAAATATTAGGCTGTGAGGAAATTATTATACATATGATAGATTAGTAATATTGAGTTGAACTTCAATAGCAAATAAAGTAATGGTTAAGAGATAACAACAACTACTGACACCACTTACTAGAAATAAAAACAAAATTTAAAGCGAACAATTGTTTTCGATAACTTCTTCTTCAGGTTCTACAGTTATAAATCCATGAATAATAGAGTACATATAGCCAGCCAATAAAGGCAAATGAAAATAATATCAGAAACTGTATTGGGGTGCATGTGTAAGTTGAGGTGGGAGTCTATTAGTTAGCATAATCAATTAAATGTGTTTAGGGTGTATAGTCAGAGAAAATGTGATGAAGTGTGAATGAACAATTGGGTGATATAGTGTTGTTTTATAGTCAACAGAATACAAGTGACCTTGGGGTTAGAGATACGCGATAACCACAAAATACATACAGACACACATTAACAAAGGAGGCACTGAATGTGGGGGCTAACCGATAATGTCTAATGTTAAAATAAAGAGGCTAAATTGTAATAAGATGCTACAGAATTGGTAGGCCTAGTATAAAATCATGAAGGTTGACAAAAAGTAAGGGTAACAATGAGGTGAAATAAACTGGGTGGAGAAATGGATAATAAAGACATGGTATCACAAAATGGTAATAGTGATAATAATAATACGAAAAATTATGATCCTGGTGACCTTATAGTGGGCCAGGGTAGACAAAGAGAGTGAATAAGTTTTTTCTGTACACATAGGTCTGGTCTCTCTCCATTAATTTCTAAAGCCTCAGCTATGGCTAGGAGGCGTAATCGTGTACCTTTGGGGAGATTGTTCGGTACTCGATGCACAACTGTAAATGACTCATCTACTTTGATGTTGTGTTCGCTATGTACTAGATGAGACAGAATTGCACTATTTAATGATTTGGTTGCTCTTTTCCCAAGCCAAACAGGAATATGTTCACGAGTGCGTAAAGATAAATTCCTTTGAGTACGACCTATATAACTAGGTCCACAGGAGCAGTTCAATTTATATACACACATTGATGTCGCCATTTTGGGCAATCTATCTTTAATGGACAGTGTCAATATCGGTTTGGTTGAGAAACTGACATGTAGTTCTGCGACATTAAAAGTTCTTTCAATTGATCTCGTTAATCTAGGGTTTAATATATCACTGGCTATATCGCCTTTGAATTGTACATTTAAGTAAAGCTTTTTCTTACTTACTGTGTGTCGCTTGGTTTTATGTGTAGTTTCGTAGATATACTTCTTTACAAAGTTGGTAGGATAGTCGTTTTGTAGCAAGACGTTTGTAAGATTTCTTATTTCATCTTCAATACAATCCTCAGTACATATGCGTCTAATTCTATGACTAAGACAACGACTTAGGTTGCGCTTATATTGTTTAGGTATGAAGCTATGGAAGTGGGTGTATTGTCCGTTCCACGTCGCTTTCCTATAGATGTTTCTGCCTAAGGTACTGTCTGTTTACTAGAAATAAGTAGTATACATCTAACACAAAAAAATTAATGACAAGGGGATAATAGAATAGAAATTAGCAATATCTTTATATTCAAATTGCACGAATTCAATTGCAGTCAAGTTTGATCACAGCTTGATATCACTTAGAAAACCATTAATAACCAAGAAGTACTACAGGGCTGCTTTGTTCTAGTTCACGACTTGTTTTATTTATTGTTTATTTTTTAGTGAACCAATAGTCGCATCAGATTTATTGAATAATGAAAATGTTTTTCAAAAGACCGTTTGTTTAAATTACAATAAACGTACATTACAACGACAATATAAATTCAACTTATCTATAACTGATCCAATTAAGAATAGTATGTCCGGTGAACAATGCGTAGAATATCAGGTAAGAATTTATAGCAGTGTGTTGTTCGTTTTTTCCTCTGCCATGTATCATTTATGCGTTGATCATTGGAAGGTGAATAACAGGAAGAGAGACTACTTATTTCTGTGTTGTTCGTTTCTTACATGCACACGTCTATATGGATTAATCCGCCTAATTTACAAAAGAAAGGCATTACTGTAGACTGTACATATTGGTTCCCCATGATTCAGCCAGTAGTTTCTAATTTGTGGTGTTCGTTGGTGTGATTTAAAATTAGGATTATTGCTTCTGATACCTATTCCTCCATTGCCTACCTAAACTTGACCTGTAGAATACTTTCACTTGTTGTTTTGCATATAAGGATGGGACTTGGGCACTCTGGTAGAGTATAATTCCATTATGGAGAAAATTTATTGTGATAAAGTTACACAGCGTTAAACAGTAATATTTACTGATGACCAAGTTTCAACCACAATGTATTGTTTGTAGTCACCGTATCAATACAATACTCACACGACTTTCTAACTTCATTTAAATAATTCCATTATTTTTCATCTCTTAATTTGATTGGTAGTAATATTTCCCATATTTTTGGTATCGGTGATGAGTCATTATTTGTATTGCATGTGTTGGGTGTAGATTCTATGTGGACAAAGATTGCATCAATGATCAACTTCTCTCTGCACCCACCCACCTGTATTACTGTTTACAATTTCAACTCTCTTCCACCGTAGAAAATAGCTCAGCAATTGCAATACATGCATTAACACACAACCACACAATAGGGTGGGTGGGACAGAGTTAAAATTCTAAAAAGTAATCCAGGTAAGTGGAGAAAGAGGTCGATTACTGAATCCTTGTTCATCGAGTCTACACCCAACACATGCAATAAGAATGATTCATCACTCATACCCGAAATATGGAAAATACTATTACCAATCAAATCAAGCGAAAATCAAGGGAAAAATAATGGAACTATATAAACGAAGTTAGGAAGTCCTGTCAGTACCTTGATACGATTATGAGCAATAAATTGTGCTCGAAACGTCATCAGTAAACATTACTGTATAACACTGTGAGACTTTATTAAAACAAAATTTGCCCATAATATTTATGCCTTATCTTCTTTCCTATCCGTGTTGTCATTATTAGTTACACCATTAATTTTATTTTGTTTTTGACCTTTTTTTATATTCCTAATGAATTTTATAGGATAGTTATTTAACACCATCACCTCTTCTATCTGTTTCATTTCATTGCTTAGGCTTTTTGTTGTACTACTTAATGGGATTGCTCGGTTCGTTAGACACTTAACTAAGCCGGCCTTTACAAACAACTGATAGGATGAATTAAAGTCTAAATATCTATTAACTGAATGGATTGGCTTTTTATAAACGCTAGTGTGCAGTTTACCTTCTTTTGTTCATTTTATTGTATCATCTAACATTGCTAATTCTCCTAGTTCCATTTCTGATGCAAATGTGAATTCCACTCCCTTTACTAATAAGTTTATATACGCCAAGAGGCTAGAGATATGTTCTGTTTTTAACACTGTGAAAGTGTCATCTACATATCTCCAACATATTCTCCGAGTAGGATTAAATGTATTAAGAGCTATATTTTCCCAGCTTTCCATAAAGATATCTGCTAAGATAGGGGATATTCGTAATCCCATTGCTACACCTTCTGTTTTTCTTAAATATTTCGCCCTGAAATTTAAAGATAGTAGATGGGAGGAATAATTAAATTCCTTAAATAATTTTCTCAATGAGCAGCTTTGTCGTATGTGTAAATTCGGGATGAGCAGTTAGTTCCATTTTAACCGCTTCTAAGGCTATATCGATTGGTATATTAGTGTGTAGACTAGTTATATCAAAACTAACCATTTTTAAATCATTCATTTCGTATGAATAAGTTTGCCTAGAGTTTCAATGATTTCTAATGGGACATAGTATTAGAGCCAAGTGTTTTGATAATTCATAAGTAGGCGTGTTTCTGAAATCTAGTATTGAGGTCGTATGAGGTAACGTGGCTTATGCATTTTTTACGGTATCTGATATGTATCCATATATATATATATATATATATATATATATATATATATATATATATATAGTCTGTGACCATTTCACTTGTATGAACTTGTCTCCTTTAACAACGTATATTCTCCTTATATTATATATAATATAATATGAGTGTTTGTTGACAGTCCGTTGCTTGGTGACATGTATCCATATATGGTGGTTGTTGACATGTCTGTTATATTTCGCTATGTATATATGGATCGATACTTCATTATAATTAGCCATTCATGTTAAGACTGTCTAATGATTGTTCACACCCTTGTCATATATATTTCGTTCTCACAATCTTGTGACTTACTTTACTTTGGTGTGATACCACTTATTGCTTCTCCTTGTGTTTGGAAAATAGAAGTATCATCGAAAACCTAGTGGTCTTCTGATTTCCACCTTCTTGCGTCAGGACTATTAAATTCTCGACCAGTCCATAACAATAATTTGTCGACGAGTACATAACAATTTGGCGACGGGGAAAACTAGTACATAACAGTATCATATATTATTTTTTGTATTATTATTATTATTATCATCATTAGTTTTGGCATTAAATTAAACCATATTGATTCAAATGAACTGTAGTCAAGATTTGATAGAATAGTTCTATAATATTTGGGCGCCGAGTGAGAAGTAGATATTTGTAAAAAATTGTATTTATAAAATCTCAGCGATATTGAAATGAATAATTCCAACTTTTCGTTCGTCAATCTAGTCCGAACTTCTTCAGGGAAATTAATCGAAATTAACATAACAGGTTTATATATAAAAGGAACGTTTCTTGTTTTTAAAAAACTTTGTCCAATCATCATTCATAAAACAAATATTAACAAGTATAATAAACAAAGTTGTATGAGCTATGATCAAAATTTGACCTCGGACTTACAAATATTGATCTACCTTTGTTAAACACTCTAAACACAGTGTGTATGTGTGTGTATGCGGATAAACAGTTGTAAAACAATTTCTTAACGTCTCCATAAGTAGACATAAACAGTCGGGAACTTTGACCAAATATTATTAGTTAGTGATACTGTTATTTACTGGTCGAGAATTTAATCGTCCTGACGTAAGGAAGATGGAAATCAGAAGACCACTAGGTTTGCGATGATACTTCTATTTTCCAAACACAAGGAGAATCAATATGTCAGACAAGTGTGTGAGAGCAAAATATATGAATGTCCGAACAAGTGTTTGTACACAAGTGTGTGAGCGAATATTCAAAATGAACAAATCAATAGACAGTCCTAACATGATTGGCTAATCATAATGGAATATCGATCCATATATACATAGCAAAATGTATCAGACTGTCAAACAAACACACATATTATATGGATACATATCACCAAGATCAGGCTGTCAAACAAAACACACATATTTTATGGATACATGTCAGATACATATCCATTCTTATTCATTAATCAGGATTTCCTATGCGTCAGCTAACATCATACCTTCATGTCTGTTCAAACTGTTAGTATCTAGAATTTTTTTATTCGGATTGCCGAACGAAACGTTGGAATTATTCATTTCAGTATGGCTGAGATTTCACAAATATAATTTTTAAACCATTTTGACCTACGCAGTGCTGTGGTAGCTTTGTTCTGCGTATTAAATCCGCTATAGATTTCTCAATCTTATTGATCATTGTATCCTACAGGCTTTTAATTCACTCATATGGACCTGTCAAGTTTCCCTTGGTAGTCTTTGCGATGACAATGTTTCTGATCCTATTTTAGACTAATTAGAGCTAATTCTTGCCGATTTTGTTAAGTGAACTGTGCTTTCTTTTGCTTTTTCAAAGTTCACTTAGTCTTGAACCCTCTTTAAAGCCTTTCAACGACCCCAACCAGTTTGCCTATAAACATAGTAGGTGTACGTTAGATGCCGCTGTTGTCCTACATCATAGTATAGTCTCTAGTTTAGATAAAGGAGCTAAATACGTTCGCTGTGCCTTCCTTGATTACACATCTGCATTTGACTCTGTTCCCAGGTCTCTCTTGCTAAGTAAGCTTGCTGCAACACAGGCTGAGAGCTGGACAAATAAGTGGTTGCATTCCTAGTTTTCTGATAGAAAGCAGTACACCGTCTACAATGGAAAGTCCTCCACTACCTCACTTACTTTAGCTGGTGTTCCTCAAGGTGCTGTTCTTCCTCCCTTTCTGTTTTCGTTTTTCTTACATGACTTGCCTCATTCTGATGTAGCCACTTTTGTTAATTATGCTTGCCGATGACCTCTCGGTTTTTATGCCTGTCAACTCTCAGTCAGATTGTTCCAAACTAAATAACTTTCCGTCGGAAATTAGTCAGTGGTCCTCTTCAAACGGACTTAAGCTTAATCCGTCTAAATGTCAGGTAGTCAATTTCACTTTCAGACGTAAATGTGACTTACAGCAACTAGTTAGCTCACATGGTCCCACTATCATTGACGGCACAGAGGTTGAAAATACATCTAATGTCAAGAACCTTGGGCTGAGTTTTTCCACCGATCTTTCCTGGTCCTCCCACATCTTGCTAGTTATTGGAAAGATGTTTTGCTTAGCGTTCTACATTAGGAAATTTAGGCAGTCTGGTATAAAGCAGTCTTTGCTTTCTCAGTTTGTAAATTCTTGTATTCTACCCATCCCTCTTTACTGCTCCCCATTAGTCTTTCCTGGACTACTTAAGAAAGACTTTGCTTTGCTGAGAAGGGCACTAAAAGCCGTTATTAGGGCAAGTGAGGTATCGTTAAACCAACTGGTTAACACTATTGTGGATAGACATATTATATCATGTAAGAAACTAGCGAATACAATATTGTCGGACCCCGAGCATCCTCTCTATACGCAGCTGTCTCCTTGCATTTCATCTGGTAGAACTAGAAGCAGCTATAGGGGGTTGTATGCTAGGACTACCAAATACCAAAACTCCACAATACCATATCTGGCACAGCTGTTATGTGATGAGGAATCCGTTAGGTATGACACGATCAGCTTACTGCGGCACTCTAACAAATAGTCCCATTGGTTTTTGTTTTCCTTTCCTCGTTACTATTACACTGTTGTTCTCATCTTCTATCACACATCAACTTTATATTTCATATCCTGTGGTGCATTGTTTGAAATGTAAACTCTACGCTGTTTGTTTTTTATTTTTTTATTTTATTTTATTTTGGCGTTGGTTTTGACTTATTTATTTTTTGATTTTAAAACTCTTATACAATTTATGAGGTAATTAGATGCAATATACTGTAATGCACGCTGAAAATCCCATACCTATACTACAAATACTGTTTGGAATAAAGCTGTTATTATTATTATTGATGCACATTGTGCTCGCACCGTTTATTCTCTCGTCTTATCTATTGAACTTAATGCTAATCCTCTGTTTTTAACTCACTAACTGTTACGTTGAAATTTCATCCTTTCTGAAGTATCTGACTAGAGCTTAGTTCTCCTGATTGAAAGTTTGATCATCCGCTGATAAATATATCAGCTGAGGACTACTGTCACCATTTGATGAATTCATTAAATTCTGCGTCTTACTTACCTTTCAAATCTTTAAATATTCCCATTTTTAATATTAGAACAAGACATATATAAGCGAACAATATTGTTTTCAATTAGATCTTAATCAGGCTTTACTCTAATTTACATAGACTTATATATATATATATATATAATATTAACCAATGACGGTGATTTTATGGATCAAATAATTATAATAATGTGGTAAATGTTTTGAACGTTCCGTGGATATCCATTCTTTTGGAACGTAGTTAATAACGATGATTATAATGATAACAAAATATTGATAATAAGGTTTATGCAGGTGGCGATGAGAATAACAAAGGTAGTAATATGTGTATATGTAGACAATTCAATAAATAAATTAGGTCAAATCTTAAAAGTTACGTAATACTAAGGGCAGGTGAAGTGGACAGATAATCAGAGTTTAAATAAATATCATAAAAATACGAAAGACATGGAAAATATGAAAGGGCGGGAGGGTTCTGAATAGAATTCACCTAGGCCAAGGGAGAAACAAAGGTAGAACAAACTTCTTTTGTATGCAAAGACTAGGATTGTTCTCTCGAATTAATTCCCACAGCTTCTTCGGCTATATGTAAAAGGCTGGTTCTAATTTCGTTCGAAAAGCTCGATGGAATGCGACAGATAACTTTGAAGACACTACTTCTGTCCACTTGGTGAACGCTATCATCAGTCAAATGAGCCAAAATAGAACTTTTTATAGATTTTAATTGACCTTTTGCAGATCATGAAGCAAGATGCTCATTAATGCGTTTGTTAAGCTGTCTAGTTTTTCGCCCTATGTAGCTGTCTCCGCAGGAGCAACTTAATTTATAGATACACATCGAAGTGGCATAGTTAGCTAGGTAGCTTATCTTCCACTTAAGCAATCATAATTGGCCGGCTGGAAAATGACAAACAAAGGATGGCGGCAGTATAAGTCCGTTTTATCGCTCTCGATAATCTCTGATGTAAGACTTCACTAGCCACGTCCCCATTAAATTGCAATTTCATAAACAGTTATTTCTTTTCAACTGTTGTTAGTTTCTCTTTATTGTGCCTGGTATTCATGTGTCTCCTTACAAATCTAATAGGATAACCCATTTGGATCAGTGTATTTTGAATGTATCTATCCTAACTCATTTTGTAGGGAGTCATCTGTACACATACATCTTGCTGTATTCGTTCATTAATTGTTTTAAGCTTATCTCATACACTGCACCATATACTTTTACTTTATAGTTATCAGTTATTCCAGAGACAAATATAATTTTTGGCCTGATCAAAGAGCATCATCGATTCGGTTGTAGTCCACGTACAGGTTTCTGTCCATGTTCTACTAAAAATCGTCTATGCCTAAATTGTGGTCGAATTGAACCACGTGAATGTGAGTGTCCATGTCAATGCCCTATTGAATTAGATCAGAATTATTGGGTAAATTATCCAATTCAACAGCACAATGAAGATATCTACGCGTATCAGACAGTTTTACAGACTACTAATCTCAATCATACTGTTTACTCAGTTGAGAAGAAGTTAAGATTTACTACTACTAAGAAATATGCCAATAAAACTGGTAGTCTGTTGGATGAAAGTCAACCGGAAACTTCAGCATTTAAAACAGTATATTCTTATCCTCCATGTTTACAAACCTTGGTAAGTGAGAAAGCGTTTAATTACACCCCGTTTTTATTACTGTTACTATTATTTTCAGTAGTAGAAACCAATTGAATCAGACTTTGGTTAACTGATGTCACTTATCTGTTGACAATCATCAGTAGTGAAACAGGCGTATTTGTAGCTGTAATGAAATTCATCTCCCGTTTTAGATCCTACTCATATCACTTAGTTACGCAGATAAATTGTAATCACATTGTATACGTTATGTATAGATTTCGATCAATTTAACTATACTTACATTGGTTCCTGTTCTTTGACCTTTTCACATTGTAGTTGCAAGCTAAGATTTCATTGCTATCACTTTCTTTTTACACAACTATGGGTTATTTCGTGATTGGTGGTTCACTGGTGGTTATTACATAGCCTCGTCGGTTGGTTTTCCCTCCTTACCTAGCACTCGACGCCTAACCTCAACATTGATCACCTTACTATCTCCCGTGTGAAGCGGTATAATAAGGTGAGCAATATTGAGGTTAGGCCTCAGTCGAGTGCTAGGTAGGTGGGAGGGGAAATCAATCGACAAGGCTGTGAAATAACATCGATTTAGATGGTTAGGACATGTGTTACGTATGCCTAGTCATCGCCTTCCTCAGCAGTGGGCAATGTTAGCTGATATAGCGTCAGACTGGAAAAAAGTTAGCGGAGGTCAAACCAAAAGATGGCACCAGTCAATGAAATCTACAACAGTTAGTCTAAGCCACGTAGGAAGGTGTAAACTTCCAGGTTGGGGTCCTCGGGACGGTAAAAACCAATGGTTGGAAATAATTGGTGATATGGCTCAAAATCGTTCTCAATGGCCGGCTGGCGCAGATGCATCCACTCCTTGTGACTTATGATTTCCAATGAAACTGTTTTGTTCTTCGTTACTTCTATTTCTTTGTCTCACACTTCTGTTTACTGTCTGTATTATGCATTTCTTCTACTTACTTCTATTGCTTTGCGTGCTACATGGAATGTGGCGACTTGAACTGGTGCACATATGTGCAAAGTTCTATTTCGAAAACAGACAGACAGACAGGTGGTTATTACGCCAGCCATACGAGAAATTCAGGTTCCATTCTTTTCTGGTTCACTTCTAAACGCCGCCTAGGTTTGGTAGCTGACATTAACCCCGGGAAAGTTAGGCGTAAGGCTAGCAAAGCTACCCGGAAAAAGCAAAACCGCCCACTACTATAACTACCAAAAAAGGGAAAAATTGAAGCTATGTTCCACTCGGAACGCATGGAAGGAAAAGGGTCATGCAAAGCTTGTTTTAAACTTCACTATTTTATTGTGTATTTATTTGTGCTCAAAAATTTACGCCACAGCATTTTTGGATTGATTATCTACTTGTTGAAATGTTGATGCTGCTGGGGCGGTAGATTATCAGGCTTTGAAACTGTGAAATATTCTCATTTCATCATTTAAAAGTCTGTCTGAATGAAGAGTATTCCTTTTAATAGAACCACTTTCTGTTCTTACAGTTATAAAATACAATATCCGATGATTAGAGGCAATTGGCAAGAAGGCTTGGACGTAGGTTTTGTGCTGGTTGGCACTCACCAGTCAGCATCGCGTGCCTTGACACTTGAAGGAAATCATTTCTAATTTGAGATTCCAATCTTCGTCACCCAGTGCTGCAGTCAGAGACGTTACCACTGAGCTATTCGGGCTCGTTATTGATCTCGTGTGGGATTGTATTAGATGCTTTGTGGACTTGGCTAATAGAACTCAGTCTGCACCAAACAAACGACTACATGCATAACTCAAGTTACTAACTGATATCCAATCAGAGTATAGTATTCATCCATTTTGCTTCCTCAAAGTGTATAAACCTATTATATCCAGTTGTCATCATCGTTTCTTTCGTATTTAACAATATGTTGTAATTCCACTCATCCCAGCACGTTTGTCACACAAACATTATTAATTTTGTCACTGTATAACTAACCTGTTATTGTAGGTAAAGACGTATCTACTGCATAACGGACAACCATACTAATAATAAACGTTTTCAAGTGTTGGTTTGTAGAGATTTGATTGGTTTCAGGATTTCATCATGAAGTGACAGTAGTTAGAGAACCATTGGAAAACCTGGGAGTATTGGACACCTGTTTCGTCCTAGTTTGGGACTCTTCAGCAGTAGGGTGCATCTGGTCGGGTGTGAGGACAAATACTCGCCGAAGAGATTGGCTAGCGGTCGCGCTATGTCATGAATTGGCAGAAGTTAGAATTCAAGGACCATTGGATCGGGTCCCAGTGGCTTAATGGTATACGAGCTCGCCTTGTAACCGGAGGGTCCTGGGTTCGAACCTTGGCGGTGGGTGCGTACTGCTGAAGGTTCCCAAACTAGGGCGAAACAGCTGTCCAGTACTCCCAGCTGGTTTTCCAATGGTTCTCTAACTACTGTCAGTTCATGATGAAATCCTGAAATAAACGTTTTATTTTATAACTGTAAGAACATGGAGAAAATTTATGGAAAAGAACAATCTTCGTCACGGGTGACTTTTATTTTATGAAGGCTTGATATTTCGTTACAGGATTTCATCATGAGCTGGAAGTACTGGGAAGCAGCTTCGTCCTACCTACGGATTCTTCATCAGCACGCACCCACTTCCGAGCTTCGTAAACTGAACCTTTCGGTCAGAAGGTGAGCTAACCCAGAGACGATTAAGCCACTGGAACCCAATCCATTGGCCAGCCCATGGATTCCAACTTCTGCCTATTCGCCATAGAGCACGACAACTGGTGAGCATCTGCCCTCACACCCGACTTAATGTAACCCACTGGTCACGATGTCCCACTGGAACCCAGGTAACTACCAACCTGAATAGGGCCAGTCGCTAGTGGGTATCAGACTGATATTCAAGTGTTGGTTTGTGGTGATTTTGATTTGAATGGTATTGGAAGGTCTGAACTCCACGATGTGGATGCCCTCTGTGAAGAGTCTCTAGCTAGGACGAAGCAGCTTTCGAGTACTGCTAGATGGTTTTTCCGATCGTTCTCTATCCATTGTCAGATAATAATGAAATTTGATCAATAATATTTTTATTTTGTTGTTAAAAATTATGATTTAGGAAATGGAACCTATCAGTGCTGTGTCGTATCATTTTGATCCGTATATCTTTACCACTTCATCAGTGTCTTCATTTCATAAAATCAATGAGGTGCCACCATGTCCTATAAATAATGAACACTTAATGTCTAATGAACATTTTATATCTGATCAAAATCAATTGGATCATCAACGACAACACCAACTTCACGAATCTATGGAGGAAATTAATCCTGAACACACTGATCATGCATATATTAATCAACAGATCAGTTACGGTGCAAATAATAATAATTATCATAAACAACATGCTAATGATGAACAGCCCTTATCGCGTTGTTCACAGCGTTCACGTTTAACATGTTCATCAACTGTTGGCTGTGAATGGTGTATGATGACATTGAATAATGAACAGCTGTTGGAGCATCCATTTTGTGCTCCAATCTCAGTTTGTTTCAATGGAGTAGTCGGTGTGAATACGCCGAATTCGAATTATGGTCCCTATGAAAGTGGTTAGTTGAATATTTGGTATATTGCAGTTTTATTTGAAATATTTTGAATCATATGACTAGTTGGGTTCGCTGTTAGTTTATGCTGTTATTTATATGTTGAGTTAGGGCGCTCCTTCGTTTACATGACTTTATTTTATGGAAACAGCTGATATTTAATTTGAATAACACTAATGCTGTCAACTGTCCATTGGTGGTGGTGACGGTTCATTGGTAGCAGATTCGCCAACCATGTACGTACTCCAAGTACGATTGTCAGACGACTCACTCTTAAACCTGACTAACTTAACCAGAATTAGGCCCAATGAAGTGGGAATGTTAGGCTGGTTATATATCACCCCATAAGAAAAATACATCATCGGTACCTAAACTTCAAAGCTCAAGCTTGAAGCCTTATGTTCGACTAGGAATGAATACACAGAATTCCAACTTCTGGGCCATTGGATCAGGTCCCAGTGGCATAATGATCTAGGAGTTCGCCTTGTAACCAGTAGGTCCCGAGTTTAATCTCCGGCAGAGGGGGTACGTACTGCTGAAGAGTCCCAAACCATGCTGATCAGGACGCTGTCCAGTACTTCTACCCATTTGGTTTCGCAATAGTTCTCTAACCGATGTCAGCTCCTGATGAAATTAAGAAATAATTCACCTACAAATGAAATGTCCGTATTTACTGTTTCCTTTCTACTGCGGCTTTTTCTTAATAGTAGACTGCCAATTTTTCCATTCAGCGTTACTATATATTTCGTACTTTCAGTAATTCAACAGAAAAATTCAGTCGTATTATGAACAGCGATTACTGTCATTCTCCAGCTAATTAGCATGCCCTTATTGGTTTGTAGCAATTTGGCTGACTTCAAATTTATTCACTCACTTACATTGGTTAGCGAATAATTGAGAACTTGCTTCTTATTGAACAGCTCAAAAGGTAGGTAGCCTGATGGTTTTTGGGGTCATAAGTCAGTACTGACGAAGAGTCTCAAAATAGTACAAAACAGTTGCATGGTAACCCCCTCCCCCCTTGGTTCACAGCTATTGACTTACATTTTTCGTCTGGTTGTATGCATATATTATTTTTATAGTGTAGATTAGTAGGATTTTTTTCGAATTATATATTAGTAGTAATTCTCCGTGGAACTATCATCAATTGCTGATATTTTTCAATTTTTATTCTTTCTTTTTTCCCCCAAAGACTGGTCATCATTTGATAATAATGTGAACAATCTTAATAGTTATACCTATGCTATACGAAGTCGTCAGGAATCTTTAGAGTTGAAAAAATTCTCTGAATTTCAAAGCAAAATTTCATCTTCATCCAAACCTGAGGTATTAGAAGATAGTTCAACGTTTAGCGATGGAAGAGTATTGCCAGCTTCTCTACCGATTTTGCGTAGTCACTCATCATCATCATCATCAGTAGCCGAAACTTCACATTCAATGTCCAATAGTCCAATCAGTGTATACAATCGAAAAGTGTCACATGATTTACTAGCATTATTTTCAAGACATTCAGAGAAAATGTCTAGTCGAAAAATTATTTCAGCTGATTTTTATCCAGATTTGTATAATTCGTTAAAATTATTTTCTTCATCCAGCAACAACAATCATAATAATAATAATGGTGTTGATGAGAATGATGAATTTCTCCGCCAATATCCACATTCATTCATTATAACAAATCCTGTCGGTTCAGTGATTGGTGGAGTATTAGTTACATTTATAATTTTTCTGCTGATCATTTATACTATTAAACATCGTCGACGTCTACGTGAACGTTTTATGCCAAATTGTTTAAATGCAGGGAATCGTGTAGTGAATGTTTTACCACCAATGGAGAGTGAAGCTGAGGCGGTTAGTTTAAATACTTCATCGGTTAATTCACATGTAAGTGGTCTTTTCATGAATTACATTCTAGTGACACACTCATGCTAATCGTTAAAGGGTCAGACAAGTAGATGTTTCTTTTTTAAACTATTGATACATATCGTGAAAGTCTTATCCCAATCCCTTGTTTCGTTGTCATAAAGATTTCTGTTCAGGTAAATCGGATAGAAAAGTCACTCAAATACTATATTGGAGGAAGATTTGTCCACTGAAATATAATATTAACTGTCTTAAGCGGATAGATATCTGTTAAAATAAAATGGAATTTTACTTTCACTTACATCGATGTAAAATTAGTCAATAAGCGTCGTCGATGGCCTAGCGGTGGAATGCTCTCCAATCACTCATGTGGTTCGGGGTTCGATCCCCTACCGACAGGACACTCCTTTACCTTACTCAGTCGGTATTTAGATCGATAAAGAAGGGAGGTTGGGCTTGAGGCTAGCGCAAACCCATCCCGGGGAAATAAACACACGACTGCTATCGAAACTTCAAGGCTCTAACCTGAAACCTTTTGTTCCACTGGAAACATTAAGGAATAAAATAAATAATAAAATGGTCAATAAGCAAGACAAGTAAATCAAAAAATATAAGAAGCCATCTTCAAAATCTGTAAAAATGAAAATAAGTTATTAGAAGTAAGATTTAAGTGGGTCTAAGATTTGATAAATTTAATCCACTAATACTGTCTACTGAACCTGTACTACGCCAAATATCAAAAACTGGAATTTTGTGTGTACTCACGATTAATTGTGATTATGCGCCAGTCACCATCAACGGGAGGGATTTGAAAGAGGTTACTTCATTCACTTATCATCTAGGGAGAATTGTCTCAACTACACGAGGAACGGACGAGAGTCGGGAAGGCGAGGAACACATTCATCAACCTGAAACCAATCTGGAAATCTTCGTCACTCAGCATCAACAACAAAATTCGGTCGGATTTTCAATACAAACGAAGTCAAGTCAGTCAGTTCTTCTATACGGATCAGAAACTTGGCGGGTGGGTCACAAAGGATATTTCCAACAGGCTAACTCAGATCTTTACCAACAAGTGTCTTCGCTGGCTTTATACTGAAGATCAGATGGCCTGGCCGGAAAGAATCATCAACAAGAAACTATGGGAGCAAACAAAACAAGAACCAATCGCCGAACAAATATGCAGGAGAAAGTGGAGGTGGATTGGACACTGGCTGAGAAGGCCGTCGGGCGACATCGCGTATCAGGCCCTTGAGTTGAATCGAAAAGGGAAGCGGTGAGTAGGACGTTCAAGGGTGACATAGAAGAGATCGTGTGAAGAGGAGTTGAAACAGTATGGACTAGCATGGATGCAGGTGAAAAGTACATCAGAAGACAAAAGTAAGTGGAGACGTGCAGTTGAAGCCCTATGTTCCACTAGGAACCCAAGAGAGCAATAATAATAATAGTGCTTGACAATGTTGACGATTGTTCAATAGATTCTTGTTGTTTTAAAGTCATGATTTTATCAAATTACTTATGTCTATGGAACGCATCATTTCTAATGATGGAACACCGGACATTCTTATTTCTGAATGACCAATATCTATTATATATTAGCACTACTACACAGATCCCCTAAATTGTTAGACTTAACAATCCATAATATGCATGGCAGAGATTGATAAGCACTTGAAAAATGAAGAAATCAGTAAATCAAATCAGTAAACTCGCACAAATAACATTGAATAGTAAATTAGAATTGAAGTACATTAGTTTCATTGTACAGTGTTCAGGGTTAACTTAACTATCGGAAGGAAAAAGCTATTGTATGCTTTATTAGTATATATTTCAGCATAATAAGTTGTTTTCTGTCATAATACCTTTATGAACATATTAATGAGTTTACTAGGATAGTTAACAATTATGAAACCATCTTTTAAGTATAATGGAGAAGATTTGTAACCTCAGGTAAATGATTTTGATGTAGTCGTGTCCTTTGAGCTGGATAGTTCACTTGTGAAGCTTTCATTGCCGTACTGGGTAACATCTTCAGTACATACTTCAATTTGAAGTGAACTTTTCAATATTCCCATGGGTTTATTAGTCATCTCCCCCTAGTGGGTAACCTTGAATGTGACTGGTTGCTCTTGTCTGTCTTCACACCCTCTAGTCTACTTGCATCGGTTTTGGTTATTTCGTTGACCTTAAACACAAAGAACGCCAGAGAATTCTTGGAATCCTGGTATTCCAGGTAGGCTAAAGGGTGTGAAAATGAACAAAAGCATTCATTCACATTCAAGGTCACTGGGAGCGATACCTAATAAACTCGTTGATATATTTAAAAGCTCACTTCCAATTGAAGTATGCACTAAAGATGTCGCCTAATAAGGCAATGAAAGCTTCGCAAGTATTTATTTAATGTGGACGATCCAGTCCTAAATTTCTCTCCAGAAATCATTCAACCTGGCATAGACTACTATGATACAAGCAATATTGCCTTCTTGTTCCCTTGCACTGTGCATATATTTTTCGAATAATATTCAAGAGTTTGCCTTATTTTCACTTTCACAATCAAATCAAGTAATCGTCAAAGCTGTGTTAGAATTGAGTTTGTAGAGATTGGGGGATACTACACATGATGATAGAGTGTCTCACATACGTATTTAAGATAATGCGTAAAGATGGGTTCGTAAGTTATACTATAGAGCACTAATTATGCTTGACTATGAATATGACACTGTTGTATGTGTGTTGTGAATTAGCGCCAATGAAAAATACCCGTCCAGACACTAAACAGAGAACAAGAAATTCAGCTAAGGCATCTCGGTGATTTTATTCTCAGTAGCTGTAAAATAAGTGGTTGGTTTTTTTTTAATTTTCGTAGAGGAGATTTTCTTTCCCCAACTATCGAAAATAGGAATAAAATAGCGTTTATATGTCCTTTATCCATCTGTCGGCGGATTTATTTATCAACAATCTTTAACTCTGATTGGTCTACTTGTATAACATAATTTTATCAAGTGTTGGTTTGTAGGGATTTGATTGGTTTCAGGATTTCATCATGAGCTGACATTAGTTAGAGAACCATTGGAAAACCAGCTGGGAGTACTGGACAGCTGTTTCGCCCTAGTTTGGGATTCGTCATCAGTACACACCCACCGCGATTCGAACCCAGGACCTTCTGATTACAAGGCGAGCTCGTATACCATTAAGCCACTGGGACCCGATCCAATGGTCCTTGAATTCTAACTTCTGCCAATTCACGACATAGCGCGACCCCTAGCCAATGTCTTCGGCGAGTATTTGTCCTCACACCCGACCGGCTGCACCCTACTGGTCACGACTTCCCACTGGAACCCGGGTAACTACCTATCTGAATAGGGCCAGTCGCCAGTGAGCATCTCGTTTGTATTCAAGTGAATTGGCAGAAGTTAGAACTGAAGGACCATTGGATCGGGTCACAGTGCCTTAATGGTCTACTAGCTAGCTCGCCTTGTAACCGGAAGGTCCTGGGTTCGAACCTTGGCGGTGGGTGCGCACTGATTAAGAGTCCCAAACTAGAACGAAACAGCTGTCCAGTACTCCCAACTGGTTTTCCAATGGTTCTCTAACTAATGTCAGCTCATGATGAAATAATTTTATCAGTTTTTGCCTGTAATATCTCTTTTCTACTCTGTAGAAGTATAAATCCCCTCAGTAACCACTATTGATATGCATATGTATGCATTTCTTCTTTTTGTTCACATCTTTGCAATCAGTGTGATAAGTATTCATCAAATAATCAACAAAATTCAAATCCTACCGATCAATGTCCACGTTTCAATCATCATTTAGACGGCAATAATAATCAATCTCAACCACCGCCACCACCACCGCCGCCCACAGCATCTGCTTTAGTCTGCATTTCCAATGAATCAGTCGATGATGGAGATAATGACGAAGAAGGAACAACCTGTGCCAATTCCTGTGATGAACAACCTTCATCAACTGGTATTGGTCCAAGTGATACAGAGAGTACAAGTCAGGTGTATGAAAATCAACAATTAAGTAATAGTACTAATGAATCTACTACTATTGCCGTTGCTCCCGTTGCTGCTGCTTCTTCTTCTTCTAGTATCACTACTAATAATACTACTGATACTATCGAAATGAGTAGTATAAATAAATATTCCGAATCAACAATACTATCACCCTATTGGATTGTAGAGAATTGTTTACAAAAGGTTAAATATTTAATGAATACTTATGAAATGCATACTATGAACCATCAAACAATGTTCGGTAGTGAAGTAAGTGCCTCTGTCCTGGTGATTATGATCACCTTTTACATCCATTTTTGCATAATGTATTTGTGTGTGTGTCTGTGTCTTATTTTGTATAAAAATAAGTCGTTGAATTGACAGCGATTTAGCTTTTTAGTGTTGTACAGTTTGAAATGTAAACACTAAGCTATGAGTACAATCATTCTATTTCGTGACCTAAAGGCGGAATTCGATTCTGTCGACCGAGAGGTTCTCTGGCGATGCTTAGCCCCTACCAACCAATGGTTGGAAACAATTGGTGACATGGCTCAAAATCGTTCTCAATGGCCGGCTGTCGCAGATGCATCCATTGCTTGTGACTTATGATTTCTAATGAAACTGTTTTGTTCTTCGTTATTACTCTTCCTTTGTCTCACACCTCTGCTTACTGTCTCTATTATTCATTTCTTCTACTTTCTTCTGTTGCTTTATGTTCTACATGGAGTGTGGCGACTTGAACTACCGCACATATGTGCAAAGTTCTATGTCGAAAACAGACAGACAGAAGCTATGAGTACAGTGTATTGTGTTGAATGCTAGGCGTTAAATTTGTTCGATACCAATTTTAAATTTTTATTTTCTTCTAAGTTTATCCTGCAAGTTTCTGTAAAGATTAGATTGATTTTCCGGAGTGAGTTTGCTAGCCCTACGGCCTTATAAAGCCTCAATTTCATGATAGCGATAAACCTTCTGTTTTTGCAACCTTTTATTTATATTACAAGAACTCATATGTAAGCTGGTTTATCTAAGCGAAACGAAAGCTGTAGGGAAATCCCTAAATATTTCACAGCTATCAAAGACGCCTTATTGAAGTCAGCTGAGTAGTGATATAGTACAAATGCAGTAAACAAATAGTAACTTCCTCCTGGAGTAAGCATATTTTTGGGAATATATATATATATATATATTCAAGTATTGGTTTGTAGGGATTTTCTTTGATTGGTTGGAGGATTTTATTATAAGCTGACATCAGTTTAAGAACTATTGGAAAGCCGCCAAGGAGTACTAGACAGATGGGCGAAGCTTAAGAATAGCGTCCCAAAACCTTCAACGCTCAATGACCTTGAACGCATGCTAGTCATCGGTTGTGGAACCTTTCCATTATTCTAGCGCGAAAATGACGCCTGTTCATCTGCTCCGATGCAAATTTCAACCAGAGCACGTTTTTCAGTACTGCTTAGACAATGGATTAATAGGACATACTCGGATTTGCAGTTGTGGTGCTTCTATGAAACTGCAGCCGTATACCCAGGTCATTGATGGATATATATTTAGATGTACACAGTGTAGGAAGCGAACAAGTGTTCGCACTGGTAAGTAACACTCTCAGTTGATTATCTTTTAGGAAATTTCTTCGAAAAATCAAAACTTTCGTTGACGAATATCCTGTTTCTATGTCATTACTGGATTTTGAAGACCGGAGTGAGATCAACTGCAGTCCAGACAGACAATACCTTAACGTCTACTGTGCACTGGTTCCAGTTTTGCAGAGATTTAGCGTCGTGGAAGATAAATAACATCACGCAAGTGCTAGGCGGAGTGGGTGTCATTGTTCACATCGACGAAACTGTGCTTATAAAAAAGAAGTATAACCGGGGACGTGCTAGGGCTAATAACGTTTGGGTTCTTGGTATTTACGACACGCAGATTCGCAAAGGTTTCATCGAAATCATTCCGGATAGGAGTGCGGATACACTACTACCCATTATTCAAAGACTGGTGTTGCCAGGCACAATCATTCATACGGATGAATGGGCAGGATATAATCGTTTATCTACTTTGGGATATATACACCATCGAGTAAACCATTCAGATGACTTCGTAGACCCTAGAACCGGTACCCATACCAATTCAATCGAAGGTTTCTGGGGAAGACTAAAAAATAGAATCAGAGCTATAAACGGCTCTCAAAAGGAAGTCATTTTTAGTCATATGGACGAATATATGTATAGAAATTGGTTTAATTTAAAAACTGATACTCCTCAATATAACTGGGAGACTTTTTATCTCATATTAGACAGAAATATCCTGTATAATGTTTTTTTCATGCTTTTTTGTGTAAATAGACTTAAAATCTTATGCAAAAATCCCGCTATTTTCTGATTGGTCGGCTCAAGGTCATTGTGCGTTCGCATCCCTTGGGACGCTATTGTTGAACTTTGCCAGATGTTCCGTCCTGGTTTGGAAATCTTAAGGCACTGGGACCCGATCCAATGGCATGTATATTCTAACTTCTGTAAATTCACAGCATAGCACCAACGCTGAGCAATGTATTCTGTGAGTGACTGCCCTCACCTCCCTGCTGTACCCTACTGGTAATGGCTTCCAGATAGAAACCCAGGTTGATGCCTGAATAGGGCCAGTCGCTAGTGAGCATCAGATCAATTTTGAAGTATTGATTAGTATTGTTATTTTTATTATTATTATTATTAAGATAATATTATCTTCTGTGTGATGGTTCCTGACACATCATTTAATCGTCAAGTGCTCATTATTACTCTAAACAAAGTCATCTTCACAACCTTCATAAGTTTTCTTTCAAAGTTATGGATACCGACTGACTTTAATGATTGTGTCTAATTGTGTCACATACTTTTATCTTTCTCAAGCTTTCAAAACTACATAGTGAACTGTTACTCTCAAAGGATAGACTGTGTGCTACAGCTACGAATTGTGCAATCCCACCAAATCCATATCATACAAATTCACTAACCAATAGTGCTTCAACAGTTCAGGTTGGCAGTGGTGGTGGGGATCGATTATCGACAACACAATTGACACCCGGTGGATGCTGTAATATATTATTAACATCACAGCACACTGAATCACTACCATATGATCAACCGAGTGAATTTGGAGATTCTGCTGTCGGTAGTGATTGTGCTACAGCTGCATCCTGTGCATCTTCATCATCCTCATCGAATATGAAACATGCTTGTTCTAAAACAACGAAAAACACCTTTGAAAATGACTGTTGTCTACATGAACAATACCACCACAACCACCAACACCATCAACAGCAAGAAAAATCGCAACATCATCGTATTGGTGCCAGTGGAAAAGTCTATATCGATTCTGTTCTGCATGGATCAGATAGGCTTATAAAATAAATAAGGCGAGTTTTAAGCTGATGCATTTTTGAAGTATAGAAAAATCTTTTATATTAACGTGTGACTTTTGTGGTTAGAGAAAGGGTAGAGAACGCTCACCGATCACGCACAATGATCGGGATTCGACTCTCTGCTGACTCACTTCTCTAAACCTTTCCTAGCCGTTAGCAAGTTTGGTAAACAGTGACAGTTAGGCATAAGACTATAAACCGCACTCCGTAAAAATATACCACTACTACTGAAACGTCAAATCTCTTAAGCTTTTAACCCTATGTCCCATTTGGAATGCAAAGAATGGAGACAAAAGCTGATACCTGCCTTTCACTACAAAATGACATAATCATGCCTTTACTTGTTCAGCTTATCTCTTCACTTACCGGTGAGGTTCATAAGCCGATATAGTTAATTATGCTCATCAGCCTAATTAATTATTAACCACCAATTGTGATAACCCCTGCTTTCTAGGTGATCCAATCGCATGAGAATTTTGTAGTATATTCAATGACTTCTTCAGTCGACGAACTTTTAAAGGCTGTGAAAAATCAAATCTGAATATTTAAATAGCTCAATACTCGACAGACGGTAGGGTGTTCATTAAGTCCAGAAATTCTGGACTTACTACTACTACTTCCTCTGGCGTCGTGAACACGCATTTCTGTGCAGAGAACCTCTAGTAAAAATGATGAGTTGCTGAGGTTCACCTTTGTTTTCGTAATGAAATTTCCACTCGAGACACATCACATCCGCGTCACTAGGTGTCTGTATTCAACAACTTCTCCAGCATTTTGCCAAACCAAGCGACAATCTACAAGAAGGTCACTGATTGTTTTCATTGTAATAATTTGATCATATCCAACTTTTTCTCAACCTGGTGGTGACTTCAGCTAAGAAGGTTACGACATGATGTTGTCAAACTTATGCTGTCAAATATGGCATTCAACGATCACCTGTCTATCTTTATAGCAGACTATATTGCTTACTAAGAATTTAGTTCATACATACATTACTTAATACCTGTTGTAAGCGCCAATATCGCTTGAAATTAAGTCACGCGTGGATAAAGGCTATCCCGGTCCACAACAAACAAGAAGCCGGCCACTGTTTCTACGGTACTATTAATAAACAAATCAATAATTATATATACAACAAACCTTAACGGTTCCAAGAGTACAAAGCACAACGCTTAACAGAAAGCAAGGTACCGCTATCAGAGCGGAATAACGTTAAAGCCAGAATTGTGGACTAGCCGGAATCAGACACGACCGTTCAGGTAAGCAGTTAGTAGAAGAATAAACCCAAATAAGGCAGGTTAAGAGATAGACAGAGCATAAGCACAAAAATAGAATTTAATTGGCTTCTTAACCAGGTAGGCTGATACAGATGAAGATCAGTAAATAAGATAAACTCGACAGAATAGTACGAAGTAAGACAGGGTCAACAAAAAATAACAGTTCACAAAATACTCTGATTGGGTCATGAGTTCAACTGTCCGACTAAACGGATAGAGGTAAAAGCACATACACACAGTCCATTAAACAAGGGGGGATAGACACGTTAGGCATGAATAATTGGATTGCAACAACGCTAGAATGATCCGGGACAGGTTGACTTGATTCAAGGATGGGAATTGAATAGATCTTACACCTGTCTTAGTTACTTTTGTACTAAATGTTTTTTTTTTTTGAGAAAAGCTTGACTATTTGTTGATGTTCGTTGTCTTTCTACCTTAATCGCACAAAAAGAAATCCTCTTGTTGGTAGCATTAAAAAAATGAAACCTTCTCAATAGCTAAGTGCCATACACATTTTGATTATCTGCTGCAATTGATGACAAAGTGAAGACAAACTGAAAACTCTTCTTAGTCGTAGGAGTTGAATTAGTCGCCTTCTAATTACACCAGTTCACAGTGAACTAAGCACTAAGTTTTCATTTCATCTTTAACCTTGATTTTATCACATCAACTAACATCAGTCTGCCCCAAACAGACAGACTGCTTTTTGGATGAAGATAAAGTGTAACAACGACCAAATGACAATGAAAAAGAAAACAATCCGAATAAAGAACTGTGAAAATCCGTAACTCCTTACTCTTACCTAAGCGTTAAGCGTAACCCTAGATAGCAAAAGTAGAGAAGATTAGACAGAACTCTTTTCGAGACCAAACTAACACTACATTCATGACTAGAGACATGATTGTTTCCTCAATATTATTTTATGACTGTCATAGTTTATCTTCACTGTATTTCTGTACACTAACATAAGGTTCAAAGTCATAGTTCGTCTTTATGATCTTAAGTTGTTACATTTTTTTAAAGGAAGGTAAGTCTGATCACTAGAATCTCGTGGTATGAATGAATTGTACTGTGTAATATGGCCGTTGATACACAATTGGTAGTTGCGCTAACGAATCTCCTACCTAGTCGATTCGGGAGCCTATTGCGCTAACCATTATTAGTGACGACAACGCCAACAGCCCTATACGACACCACGGAAAACGCTACTTTAGAAGACAAGAAGCGAAGACACACTGTGAACGTGGAGAGCTTTTACTGTCTAGTATCGAAAGCGAAAATGATTGACAGTGCTTGCACATATATATATATATATATATATAGAAAAGAAAAAGTGTTCAGCAAAGAGTTACTCTTTTCGGCGATATCATTCTCAAGCTGTACAAATCGCAAATTTATAGTAATTTGTCTTGGCAACAAAAGGAATATTTCCAAAGATGTGTTAATGCAATTGTTAGTTTTTGACAAACAGATTACGTAATTTTGAAGGCGTTAATCGGTTAGAAACTAAAATAAAGTTACAAAAGTAGGTTGGGTGACGTAATCTAATTGGTAGGGTTCAATGAAAAAATGAATGAGAGTCAAGTTAATAATCTGAGTAGAATTCACTTGAAAATGAATGAGAGTTAAGTTAATAAGCTGAGTAGAATTCACTTAAAAATAAACGAAAATCGAGTTAGCAACAGTCGTCATGAGCGTAGAGATTTAATAGAGGGTGGGGGTAGAAAATAATGCAATTAAGAAATAGACAAACAAAGAAGAAAGAGGTAAGACAAAATTACGTATTTGGTGTTAAGATAGATCAGGACCATTGTAGATTTAGTGACTGAACAAACTTCTTTTGTATGCAGAGTTCAGGATTCAATATGTGAATTGCCATTGCTTCTGCAGTTTGAAGAAGTTTAATTCGTACTCTTTTGGCAAGATTTCCACGTATTGTGTAGATAACTGAGAAGTTGTTTTGTGGGTTTGCTTGGTGTCCGGATTCGATCAAGTGTTCTAGGATAGAGCTGTGGCGGGGGGATCTTCTTTCTCCTTTATAAAACCATGAAGGTAAGTGTTCGCTGATTCGTTTGGATAGCAAACGCTGGGTACGGCCGACATACCTAGCTCCACATGAGCAGGTGAATTGGTAGATGCACATTGATGAGGCCCCCAGTGGAAGCTTATCCTTCACGTTCGTGCGAATCATTGGTTTCGTAGAGAAAGTTAGTCTGAGTTCCGCTGCGAAGAAGGTTTTCTTCAGTGAACGGCACAGGCGGTTTCTAAGTATTTCTGCTGAAGAATCTCCGTTGAATTGTAGATTCAAATAGAGAAGTTTCTTGGGAGCAGTAAGCATGGATGGTTTTTGTGTTTTCGGCTTCATAGCTTTTGTGATGAAACGTTCCGGGTAACCGTTTTCAAGAAGGATTCTTTTCAGGGTCTTCAGCTCTTCTTCTATAGTTTCCGGACTGCAAATGTTGTGGATTCTGTGAGTCAGTGAGCGGATCAGATTTCGTTTTGTATATATAGGCACCCAACTGTGAAAGCTGATGAGTTGTCCATTCCATGTCGGTTTTCTGTGAATGGATCTTTTGAGTGTCCCATCTTGTTCGCGTCTTGCTAGTTGCACGTCCAGAAAAGATATTGTTGCGTTGGACTCCTTCTCTAGTGTGAACTGGATTGCTGGATGGCAACTGTTGAAAAAGTCCAATATGTTCTCCAAATTTTCCTCATTATTGGCGATAATAAAAGTATCGTCCACGTATCTCTTGTAGAATCCGAAGTTATCTATTATCTTCTTTAGGTGTGTATTTTCTAGTTTTGACATGAAAATATCTGCAAGCAGCGGGCCGAGTGGTGAGCCCATAGCTATACCATCTTTTTGTCTATATATTTCATTATTGAAAGTGAATTGGACGTTTAGAGTACATCTTAATAGGAGTTCCTTCAAATAGTCAGTGGGGATACCAATGTTCATCTCCTTTGAATCAATATATTCACATATATAGCATATTGTTTCGGTTAGTGGGACGTTTGTAAACAGTGATACCACATCTAGTGAGAACATGGTTTGATTGGAAACGCTGACGTTTTCAATGGAATTGACAAAATCGAAGGAGTCTCGAAGTGAGTGGCGGGAGATTTGCTTTCTGACTGGTTCTAGTATGTTTACTAGCCATTGTGCGGTACTGTGATAAGGTGAATTAGTCATATCGAGAATGGGTCGAAGAGGTACGTTTTTCTTGTGCACTTTTGGTAGTCCATATAGCCGGGGTATATTTGAGCCCGACGGTTTCAACGATTCGAAGGTTTCGAGATCGATGAATGATTCAGTCTTTAGTTTTCGGAGAAGGTTCGTTAGTTTTTGTTCAGTTTGTTCCGTCATGTTCTTTTCCTTTGCTGGTTTTATGAATTTAGATTCGTCGGATAGGATGGTCAGCATTTTACTTACGTAGTCTTCACGATTCATGACTACGATTCCCCCACCTTTATCCGGGCGTAACAGAATAATCTCTTTGTTGTTTATTAATTCCTTGAGCTCTTTATAGTGTTTTTTGGTCAGTATTGACTTTCCATTTGGTTTGGTATTCATAAATTTATGGCAACTGTCGAGTACTACCGACCTGAACTGTTGCAGGTTTTCTTCGGAAGTTGGTGATAGATCATGTGTTTGGTTTATCAGGTTTTCGAACTGGACTTGGGATTGAAGTTTTTGGATTTTTGATGGTTTTGTGCAGAACTTTGGACCGAGGGACAGTGCTTCTAGTTGAAGTTCTGACAGCTCAATGTTTGACAGGTTAAATACGTATTTTTCTGGATTGCTTGGGAATGGACGTTCAGGGTCACTCGTCGGCTTCAGGCTTTTAATAAGGTTTGACTTGGCATTCTCACATTGTTTCTGTGCAACTTCTTCGACATATTCTTCGAACGATTGGCGTAGTTCTTGGTCTAAATCGTGAACTGCGTGAGCTCGTAAGTCAACATTTCGTTCTAGTTCAGGGATACGTGATTGGATGGAGTCAATGTTGTTTAGTGTGTGTCGCCTGAGCGTTCTGGTATTCGGATGGATGTGGTTTCGTCTGAGGGACTTCCAGTACATCTTTGGATATTCGTGCCGATCTAAACATTCTCTCAAGAACTGAATCTCTGCCTTCGCCACTGCAAGCTTGACGGAGTAACGCAGGAAACGGTCCAGCTCCTTCACTATGACTGAATGGGAATTTTCAAAAAAAAATATATATATATATATATATCAATTAATAAATGTCTAAAACTCGGTCACTGTGGTAGTAAGTAATTCCATATTTGTTTGTTTATTAGATGTATCACACAGTGAAACAGTATTATTTACTGGATAACGTTTCGAAGAAAATTCATTGTTCATAATCATTTCATCAATTATAGTCACATGACTTCGAAACCTGAGTTTTATAGTTTTCTTTATTCTTTCCTATTCGCCGTCGTAGGGGTAGTGGAATTTTCCGGATGTCCCGGTGGACAGGTGTTGAATCATTTCTTTCACATGTATTTGCAGTTGATTTGATAAACAAAGTTTCAGTCAGTTATCAATCTCTCCCTATACCCTGTGACATTAGATTTTAAAACTGTCATCCTATCTCATCCAGCCTATTGTATGGTTGTGTGTAATTGCATGTGATGAGTGCTATAGCTGAACTGTTCTCTAGATTTCTTATCTTATTCGGGTCAACCAATCTAGATTTTGTTGGGTTTGTATGTTCGGCTAGTCTGACTGCCCCTGTTCTACTAGTTTGACCTATGTATTTGACTTGAAAATCATCGCAAGGAGGGTATTCGATAAACTAAATTGTTTTGTTTTAAAGGCTCCACAGTATTGATCCTTTAACCGACAAAGCTTGTTTCTAATTTAATTTGTGGGTTTGAATGCCACTTTTATTCCTGCCTTCTTAAGAATTCTGCGTGAGGTTTCCGAGGTTCCTTCCTTGCATAGAATTACTGTTGATGATTCAGATTCCTTATTGTTGGTGTTGTCTTGCGCCTTCTTTTACGTGTATCACTTCCTGACTTATATTTTCCTTGGTACTACTTAGTTTTCGTGCTCTGTCACTTAGACATTTCACCAATCCTATTTTTACTGACATATGATGGGACAATGTGAAATCTAATATCGGATTGACTGTGTGGGATTCCTGTAAACACGTCCCATCTTCGTTCCTTTTTACGCTACAATCTAACATTGGAAGTTCCCCTTCCTGACTTTCCAATTCATAAGTGAATTGAATCGCCTGCACCTTCGAGTTGATGTGTCCGCAAAATCTGTTTATCTCTTGTGTTCTAAGTGCGGTGAATGTGTCATCTACATACCTACACCATAATTTTGGGGTGGGGTTGAACGTTTCAATCACCATGTTTTCCAACCTATCCATGAATATATCTGCTACAACCGGGGATATTGGTGATCCCGTGGTAACTCCCTCAGTTTGTTTGTATATTTTCCCTTGGAATTTAAATACTATGAACGTCAGGCATAGCTGCACTCCCAGCGTTATCTCCTCAAGTGGCACTTTTGCCCTAAATTCGAGTTCTCGGTCAGAAATTAGTTCGTTTCTGACTGCCTCTATAGCCATATTTATTGGTATACGTGTATATAAACTGACAATGTCAAAACTAACCATTTTTTCTTTATTACCTAATTTTAAATTATCTAATCTGTGTTTTAGTTCATAAGAATTTGTTAGCGTAGATTTCGACTAGTTTTTAAGGGGATTTAGTACCATGGCTAAATCAAGTAAATAATACTGTTTCGCTGCGTGATACACCTAATAAACAAGCTAATATGGTATATATTTCAATGTTTTCTTCTTGTTCATTGGTAAGTATTTCTGTAATATTAATTCTATTTTTTATGTCTCTTTATTTCAGCAACAGTTGGTGTTTCGAAGCATTGGGGGATTCGCTTCTTTTATGCATTTATTTAGCTTCATAAATGAAGCAATTACCACTACTACTTATAGTACTTATTGTATTCCTCACCAGTAGTATATTTACAGTTCCAGTGCAATTAATATTAATATTCATCATTTAATCTTGACATACGTATTTTATTAGTATGTATATTTGGCCATTATTATACAGCATTTATGTCTCAATAACCGGTAACACTTTTTTATTCGATTAATCATCGTTATGTTTTGCATTGCATTTTTTTCTTGTAATATTTTTGGCCGTATTTCTTTCTTTTTGATCACCTCAATAACATTATTGTATAACTTTATTTTTAGTCAATTATATTAATTTTTTTCTTTTCATCTTGGTTTGTTTTTGTTATTCAAGGCAGCCTTTTCGTCTTTTTTTAATAGTATGCTGATGTGTAAGTAGTCATACAGTCACGCACACACACCCACTGACACCAAATTCATTCATTCATAAATCGAGTAGTCCTGTGACAACAGAAGGGCCAGGCAACAGATTGTTTATTAAGGAAATCAACACATATTTATAGATTTTCATGTACATTATTATAGATTATTGTTAGCAGAAAAACACAGTCTTCTGATAGGTGGTTGTTTCTCACAGAAAGTTAACCTTGCATTTCTTTGTGGCTGTTTCTTGAATGTCAGTTCATCTATATGTTAACTGTATCCGCCTACGCAAAGCCTTTCTTCTCATTTCTCTCATGACCAATATTGGGGATATAAACATTGAAGATAAATTACTGTCCACCAATTTGACTGACAGCCAGCTCTCACCACAGTTCAACACTGGTTTGTCTTTTCAGTTAATTACTCTATTTATATACACTTATATGTGATGAATTAATATGCAGTAGTGTTCTAGCGCTATTGGTTATACCCCCATATATGTGACAATAATTAATTTTACAGTTAGTTAATGGTATGTGTCTGAGTTCGTTTCGGGCTTATAAAAATGAAGTACATTGTGTGTTTGATATATACACATGCGTATGCGGGAGATCATATGGCATATGCCGTTTTTATTCAAGTATTGGTTTGTAGGGATTTTGTCTGATTGGCTGGAAGATTTCATCATGAGCTGACATCAGTTAGAGAACCATTGCAAAGCCAGTAGGAGTACTGGACATCTGTTTCGTCCTAGTTCGGGACTCTTCATCACTACAAGGTGATATGCTAATTTCTCAATGTCCATAAAGCCACATATCATTCAAAAATCAATAAGTCATACAAGTTCGTCTGTATTGACTTTATTATTCTATGTACTGTTACATAGGATGAATTAATACGCAATGTTCTAGCCCTGCTTGGTCATTCTCACGTGTGAGACAATAATAAATCGTATGTTTCCAAGTATCGGTTTTGTAGGGATTTTTTCTGATTGGTTGAAGGATTTCATCATGAGCTGACATCAGTTAGAGAACCATTGAAAAACCAGCTCGGAGTATTGAACAGCTGTTTTGTCCTACTTTGGGATTCTTCATCAGTACGTACCCACGGGGGTTCGAACCCAGGACCTTCCGGTTGCAAGGTGAGCGACCTCGTAGATCACTAAGCCACTTGGACCAAATCCGATGGCCCATGAATTCTAACTTCTGCCAATTCATGACATAGCGCGACTCCTAGCCAATGTCTTCGGCGAGTATTTGTCCTCACAGCTGACCTGCTGCACCCTATTGGTCACGACTTCCCACTAGAACCCCAGGTAACTACCTACCGGAATAGGGCCAGTCACCAGTGGCGCTACGCCTTTATTCGGTGGATGTAACTCACCACAAAATTTTGCATTCATCCATTGTTTTTGAGGCTTATGAATAGTAATCTTTCCCTCCAGTATTGTATGTGATTAGATTTGTGAAACTACCTACACATAAGATTTATTATAAATGGTCACATTCTGAACTTCTTCACGCTTCTCAAAAATCTGATGGTGATGAAATGTTTGGATTACAGATTTTGATCTCGATGACCGACCTGTCTCTCAGCTGTGTGCGTGTGTGTGTATCTCCAGGTGGTCACGGAAATTACATCTGAGCGCTTGTGACTGCATCTGAATTGTGAATTCTTTTACACACATATAGGTTGATCTTATAAGGCCACTAAACTTCACTCTTCCTATTGTATTGGAATTTCTGGGCATGAGACGCTGAATGAATAAATGTTTTAGTTTGTCATAAGGGTGGGATCCAAACCTATTTGGGATTAGATAAAGTTTTTAGAATAACACTTTATTCCCACTGAAATGAGGAAAAAAGCTGTCTCGTTACAGTGACTAATTTTTTTGGTTGAACGAAATATTCCCTTATTGAGTCATAAGAAAAAAGGCACAAACAGCGAAGAAAATTTTCTTTTCGACGATTCATTTTCATGAGCTGTACAACCGTAATTATAGTTAACAAAGAAATCTTTAGACCAATCAGATACTGGTAAACTTTGTTCTTGAAAATTGTATTACGTAATGAAAGGTGTAAGAAGGGATGACTAATTGTAAGTTAGAAAACAGACAGAAGTTGGCATGACTTAATTTTTTTAGTAATACACCACTATTCAAATCGTTCTAAGTATTCCCTCAGCCTCCGGCGAAGAGCATTTAATAAACAATTTTCTTCTTGAATAAATTGCTCATATTTCTTCTGAACAAAAGGTAATATCCTGCTTGATCCTGCTCGCAATGACAAGTTTGCTACTTCTCCAATCGAATTAAGAAGTAATTTACCCGAGTTCAGAAATAACTTGAGCCTGTACCCAGAGTCACACAAGAATCATACGAATTGTACTAATAATCTTGTATTATTAGAATAACCGAAACCCAGTTACTCAGTTATTCAAACAACAAGCATGTATAGGGTGGCTTTATTCCGCATCCCTGCTAATTGTAGCGTCCTAGCGTCGCCAATTGTTATGCACTCGTCGAGTAGTTAATAGTCCTGACGTGAAAAGAGGGAAATCAGAAGACCACCTGGTTTACGATGATGCTTGTATTTTCCGGACAAGGAAAATGAATGTCACACAAGTGTGTGAGTGGAAGGGTAATTAGATGTACGAAAACGTGAGAACCAGAATAATAAAGTGAACAAGTGTCTAATACAAATGTGTATATGGAAATGGCTAATACACATGAGCCAATAAGACAGTCTTAACATGATTGGCTGTAATTTCATATGACAACAAGGTCATACATGTTTATTTAGTTAGTGGACAGACAGATGCATATTGTCAGTTATAATGGAATATCGATCCATATACACATAGCAAAATATAATAGACTGTCCAAACAAAACACACATCATGTGGGTACATATCATGTCCGCATCTCTGAACACATGCCAAAGAACCTGAGACTAACGGGCTCACAATCATTAAACAGTGCTATTGCACACCATCTACTCGACACTGGCCATGTTGTGGACAATCTGAATGCGTTCAAAATAATCAACAGACAGAAGGAACCTAGCCTGCTTCGTTTTCCTGAGGCAGTTGCTATCAAATGGCTAAAACCAAATCTATGTACTCAGGTAGAGACAGCGATGAATCTTGCTCTGTTTTTGTGATAACAAAGCGAAGAAATTTCACTATGTCACGTATTGTTCTGTTCTCAATATGACTCATCCTACTCCCTTTTTATGCCCATCTTATAAAAACCTGTTTTTTGTGTTTACGTAACTTATTACTTTTTATACTCTTTCTACCCACAAAAAATCTGTTGAAGTCTCTCCTTTTGTTTTCAAGCTTAGTCATGTAATTCTTCTATAAATAGTCAGTCCTTGTCACTCTTAATTATTTAACAACACACATCATTCCTGACCACTATTACTATTCGTTCTAATCAATTACTCCTTATCATTGTAAAAAAAAGCATGTTCAAATCTTTAGTTTAATTTATAATTATAGTATTGTTCAGGTTGTAACCAATCGAAAAGAATCCACGGTATAATAATGAAAAAAACAGTGAGCCCAGATTATCCTGGTACATTCGTCGTTCTTGCGAATCAAACAGAAGCCGTCCACGAGAAAAATCATTTTACTACATAGAAAGAACATACCTCAAGTCACTGATGCCTATGAATCGTCACAATCACTCTGATAGGACCCAGCATAAAATAGGATATCATCCTTTCTCACGAATCTTGTGATGGACTTACTATGTGAATGTATCATTTCTCACGGGTGCGTATTGTGATTTAGTGTGTGATCAATTCATATTCTTTTGTCTCACCCTGGTCTTTCTCGGATCGTCAACCAATCGGGAAAGAAGCAATAAAAACGATACATTCTCACGGGTGTGAGCCGACTTTTTTATGGTTAAGAAACTGTATAAAGATCATGTGTTGTATCTTAGACCATATTGTTTAGCATAAGATAACATCTTACAATCACAGGACAGCCTTTGGTTGTTTTGATATTTGCGTGGCTCAGTGAATCGGAAGATGCAACGGACAAATAGACGTATTAGCGTACCAGTTGAGTTCATTACCATTATAGCAATTAAAAGGCACAGATATAACAAAGTAGCGAACAGATGATTTATGCATTATTTCAGTCCAGTTCAGTTTTAATGCACTCCCATTCCACACTACATAAACTAAAAGCCGACAGAAAGATGGGGGAAAAGATCAATAACATATACACGACAAATCCTGTCAACTGTGAGAAACACTGTTAAAGTAACTGGATGTCCCTTTTTACATGGAATCCAAGACCACAACATGTATTCCTTCATATCAATGCATAGGGACAACAACATACACCAATTTGACTGAGAGAACATAACAATTTTAAGCAGAGAAGTTACTAAAAACACCACAGAATTCCTGGATCAGTGTGCAATTATTACTTCAAAATTATCAATAAATAAAGATAAAGACGTGGTAAAAATGCAAATATCAAATCAATGCCAGTACAAATGAACACAAGGATAAAACTACTGAATGGGTTTTTGTCATGTATCTAGTTATCAGCTAGCCGCATTGTATAAAACGATGATTATGCTAGTAATTTTTCAGGTTAGATAAAGTAGGTAGTATGGCATTTGAACCTTAGACGCAATGGCTGAAAGTCCAGTCTGTTAACTAGTGAAACACACCTCTATCTACGGAAGTTTTTTGGTGGTCAATAGTATTATTATTATTATTAAAACACAAGATTCAAAATCTGTCCTTTTCTCAACTAAAAGAATATGAAATTAGAACTTGTCTTGTGCTCTTTTAATATATTTTTCATCTATAGTTACGATGATAATACATTACAATAAATTAGGATAAATATTTTTCTTTAATAAACTCCATATTAGTTGTTGGAATGAAAAAATCCGTTACAGGTGCTTTAGTTCCCGTTTTATCCTTGTAATACTCACGATGCTTTTGAACTGCCTAAAAGAAGAAAAACAAATCACAAAATACAAACATGCCAGTTCTGATTTGCTTTTTTCTTTTCCTCATGACAGTTTATTCAATGAGAGAGAGAAAAAAAACAGTCTGTTAATGACAAATTATTACCTGAAATATCCGATGATTGTGGCATGCACTACTGATAACTTTCATCATCAGTAGTATATGAAGAAATGTTTACCGGCATAAAAATATCAACTAGCATGGAGATAGATTTGATGTCAGAGAAAGCAAATAATACAGCATTACGGAAAAAATTGGGAGACACGTGAAAGCAACACTAAGAAACGCAATGTGTGAAGGTAGGCCAGAATTAGCAGGCACAACACGGAAGATCTGTGCAAAAGTGATGATTTGAAAGATAAGGTGTGCAGAGTTTTGCTATATAGAGATAGGAAATTCCAAATAAACATTCATTTACCAAGTCTCTCGTCTCCTACAGTTACAACCGAAATGTTTTTATGCCGGTGAATTTCTGTTTATATACTAATACTACTAATTAACTTTATTAGTAGTACACGATATATGATGACTTCTTTATCGTGATTATTTTAGTGTTTTTGCATTGATATCTTGAAGCTTGTCTTTCTGGAGTAGATGATGAATGTTACCGACATCCATACTTACTCTCAATATACGGGTTAAATGTTTCAATTAATCTTCATTCATTTAGCTTTTACGCTTCAATTCATTCTCTCTTTTATTATTGGATTATTTCTGTGACTCAATTTTCCTCGTTTGGATTTGTTGAAAGGTTTAGGGATTTAAATATATTAACAATAAATTTATGAAAACAGTAGACTTTGTATGCGAAGAACTCATAAGACGAAACATTGATTTCGGCATATAAAAAAAGTGCTTGGTCTGCAGAGCAAGAGCGATCTGTTCTCATGAATGTCTTAATGAAGAGCTCTGTACTATTAAACAGCTCTTGAATGAGACCTGCTACTCAAGAAAATTTATCGATAAGAATATGAATCAAAAGTCAAGGCACAGACTAAACTACTAACAGTTCCCAAAAAGGCCTTGTTCTTACAACTTCACTACCTTGCGGATAACATTAGCGAGATGTTAGCAGAACACCTAAGTATTACCGTGAGGAGGGTATTCAGTGCTGCTGAAGTATGCTGTGTCTTCAAAAACCAAACATATTTTACTTTGGAAATTTAAAAACAAACTGCCTAATTTCACCTCTTTTCTGTGCACCTATCAATTTGACTGCTCCTTTGTAGCCAGTTAGTTGCCTAGGCCCTATAATTAGGCATGTATATTGTCAGATATATATATATATATATATATATATATATATATATATATATATATATATATATATATATATATATATATATCAGAGCGACAACACTGAGGTACAATTAATACAAATTATTTCGACTGTAATTTAATACATACCAAGTCGAATTGTCTAAGTTCATTAGATCTATGATCATCTTTATTATAAAGTTGACAATAGAATCTGTCACCATAACGCTGTCTACCTTGAATTCTTTTGTTAATAACAAGATCTGGATTATGCGATAAAAATGTTGGAAAATTTCCTCCATCTTCATACGGTGTCATTGATGACTGAAGGACTGTTGAACGATAATCTTGAAATTGTTTACATGTATATGCTCCATATGTTTGACCATAATCAAATTTTTCACCTGGACAGTGACCTCGATAACTGGTGACGACAGAAAAAAACAAGAGATTTGATGTGTTTTTTGTAAATTTCAATCCAGGAATTTTAAATAATTTCAATAAAACAAGAACAAAATATTTTGACAGAATTTTGTGGGTAAACATGAAGTTTCAGGATAGATATCAGTTAGAGAACCACTGCAAACCAGCTGAGAGTACTGGGCATCTGTTTCATCCTAGTCTGGGATTCATCACCAGCCCGCACTCACTGGCTTTCAAACACAGGACCTTCCAGTTACAAGGTAAGCGCGTATACCATTCAGCCACTGGAAAACGATTCAATGGCCGGGCCATAAGTTCTAACTCCTACCAGTTGGTGATTTTAGCGCATCCTCACTCCCGACAAGATGGACCCCACTGGTCACAACTTCTCACTAGAAATCCAAGCAACTTCATCCCTTAAAATCAATTCTTGAAAATTTAACTGTTGTTCGCTAGTGACTGGCTTCAGGAGGAAGTTGCTTGGGGTTCCAGTGGGGTCCATCCAGTTGGGAGTCAGGATGGAGTTCCCGCCGATCACATTGGACAATGATCGCGCTAAAGTCAATTTACAAATAAGTGAAATTGTCAACATGCTCAATCACTTTGCTCGCCAACTCTAAACTCGGAGTCTGTATTTTCATTAGCGTCTTCATCCAGAAGAACAACCTCATCATTATCATACTTCAGGCTAACAACACTGTCCACTTGTTACAGACTAATTCCTTAGTCGCTAAACTCGATTGGCGTCACATCAGTTATAATGTCTATGATGAAATTAAGCAAAAATAGAGGCATTGGACATTTCTTATCGCCATCACCGTTTATCATGATAAATTTGCATTAGCTGCGTGAGCTTGAGTACATGGCCTTAATGAGCATATTATGTTTTCTCGGCACTCACTATCCAGATGTCTCCAAACTACGTCTTGGTCGACGGAGTCAAATGCCCCCTTCTAGTCAAGAAATATGACAAGTGCTGAACGGCTAGATTTGTTTCACAACACAAAGATTGTGGCAAATGTAAGCAAATAGATTACAGTAATAACCTGCATATTATTATGCTAGTTGGAGCTGCCTTATTTAGTGTGCGCGGAAAGGATGAAGGTGGAGATGGAACCAGGATGAGAGGCACAACGAAGATATGACTTAAATAAATAACTTAGTTAGATTTAATTAAAATGTCCAGAACTTGTAGAAAATGAGATGGGTTAGTTATTGGTCATGTTTAAAGTAGTTTCAAAGTGCTGATCCTCAAGACCCAATCTAAGTAGTTTACTGTCCATTGCACCCTTGCTGAATTTATATGACTTTGCAGGTACGAGTATTCTGAAAACTCCATTTTTATATTCCATTTTTACATTATTGAAAAGAGCAAGAAGAAACAGTTGACGATATTGTAGTATTCACCATGATACGACTGATCTCTGTTCAACGAACTAAAGTATGTTAAACACTTTATCATAATGTGGTGTAATGAATATTATACGTTTTGAGCAGATGAAAAGAACTGTCAAAATAAAATGAATCCATGTTATTTTTCTCCAACTGTAAAACTCTTAGTGCACAATTAAATATTGTCACATGGTTAAAGTTAATCAACAACATAGATTTCACAATTATAAGTCAATCGTCAATAAGAAGACTCTTTTATACAACAATGGAGTCCGTCTCATTTCCATTAAAAATCTAATCTCAGTCACTAAGTGCTAAAGTTAGATATTTAAGTCAAAAGTGATTATTCAGCAAAAAATTGGCTCGTCTTTGCCTTTTTACTGTCAAGTGTTAACCAGTTTATTTACCTGATATTCAATGCACTGGTATAGATATGTTAATTAGTTAACTAAGTTAAATGATGTTGTACACTGTAGTGGAAATCTATTTTACTATTAAAGGTTTTGGACTAATAGACAATCAGGAAAAGTGTGGGCGAACAATAATGTTTTCAGTCAGGTCTCTTTAGTGATAACACGATGAATGCTGAATAAAACTTAGTCGTGGTGATCTGTCAAAACGACGATAAGATTCCTGAGCATCAGTGCTTCAAAAGTGATTTAATCCTTGCCACTGACTGACTACAAGATGAAGCTGCCTAGAGTTACGATGAGAACCTGTAACTACTGGAGCATATCCAGCCTTGGTTTGAGGACAAATACTTGCGGATGACACCAGCCGGTAGTTGAGTTATACATTGAGAATCATAAGAAGTTAGAATTCATGAGATCCATAATAATTTGCTTATTAGATATATCATACAGTGAAATAGTATTATTTACCAGATGATAGTTGTCATACAATTTATTGTTCGCAATCATATCAATTATGAGGCATTGGGGTCCGCCGTCCTAGATGACGATCAGACAACAAATTGAGCTGGCAGCCTAAAGGTTCTTCATTCAATTGACCGTGAGTCACAAACTAGTGTGAAACAACTGTCCAATATTCCCTGGTTTTCAATGATTCTCTAACTAATTTCAGTTCGTGTTCTTACCTATAAATTGTTCATTTAGCCCCAATAATAGCAGTATTAACAATCTAGAAATATGTGGTGAGGAAATAGTTAGAGTATGATCGGTTTTTTAAACTAATGTTCAAGTAGACGCTATATAAGGTCAGTAAAATAGACCCAAGTTTTATTGAAGACTGGGGAAAAGTCGTTGCTATAATAGGTAGTAAAAACACTGATGGAGGAATGAGTATATTTATGTCTTTCCTCGTCATGAAATGAGAAACAAGAGTTGAACAGACTTTCCTGAACGTGTAGTTTAAGATTATTCGTCTGAATGTTAATAGCCTCAGGTATGAATAGTAAACAAAGCTGGTAATTATTTGAAAGATTCTACAGGAATGCGGTGAATAAATCCCCTTAAATATTTTCTTCATGTTCATTGAGTTATAATTTTCAGTCAAAGCCTCAGACAGTTATTACTTCTCTATTTCTAGCCATTATCGGAAATGTCCTGTCTAATTTTTCTAGCCGTACGCTCAATATAACATTTTTCATAGGAATAGTTCAAATGATAAATTTTGAAGGATGCGGAAGTAGTTCAAGATAATTTATAAATGTTCTAGTCTACTTAATTACTTCATAAAGTACTATGGCTGTGAGACCTGGCCACTGAGAGTGGAAAACATGAAAAGATTAGCTGTCTTTGATCATAGGTGCCTGCGTTCTATCTCCCGTGTGAAGTGGCATAATAAGGTGAGCAATATTGAGGTTAGGCCTCAGTCGAGTGCTAGGTAGGTGGGAGGGGAAATCAATCGACGAGGCTGTGAAGCTACGTCGACTGAGATGGTTAGGATATGTGTTACGTATGCCTAGTCATCGCCTTCCTCGACGGGCAATGTTAGCGGATATAGGGTCAGGCTGGAAAAGAGCTAGCGGAAGTCAAACAAAAACATGGCCTCACCGGTCTATGAAATCTACAACAGCTAGTCTAAGCCACGTAGGAAGGTGTAAACTTCCTGACTGGTTGGGGTCCTAGAGACGATAAACAACACCAATGATTGGAAACAAAATCGTTCTCAATGGCCGGCTGACGCAGATGCATCCACTCCTTGTGACTTATGATTTCCAATGAAACTGTTTTGTTCTTCGTTATTACTCTTCCTTTGTCTCACACCTCTGCTTACTGTCTCTATTATGCATTTCTTCTACTTTCTTCTGTTGCTTTGTGTTCTACATGGAGTATGGCGACTTAAACTGCCGCAAATCGGTGCAAAAATCTATGTCGAAATTAGACAGACAGACAAAGTACTCTCCGGCAGTAAAAAAAAGTCAGGTTCAGTAATCATCATATAATATTGAAAAACCAATCTTTCATATTGAGATCAACTTACCCAGGCATTAATCTTGGATGTATATATGTGGCATGATGTGTTGATTTTACATTTGCTGGTAATGGACAAGTATGATTATGATTCATTTTCGGTAAATAATATAAAAGCCGACAATAACTATTACCAGCTAGATTAAATCTCTAGACTTGTTCACGTTCCCTAATACTGAAATGAAAATAGAAATTTAACATTATTTTCTGATGAAAATTATTCTTATTGAAGAAAATGAAAGATAATTCCTCTAGAAGGTTCAAAACTGAAGCAACACTATGGATACGTGATCCACATTTGCACGTATCTACATCTAATTTGATAGAATTATTGAAGAACACTTTGCTAACGTCAGCTTAAGAACAAGCGGAAACTCACTGTCAAAATAAATCAAGATATTCGAAACTCTCTTGATTCTGGTAGAAGTCGGATACATTTAGACCACTGTTACTGCTCTAAACAGTTTTGATAGACCCTGATACATGTAGAGTGTCAATTAAATTATACATGCAATGTATGGTCCAACAGACGTACTATTGAAATCAACGTGTAATCTTCCATCGTACATCTGTTCAGTGCATAGAAACCGATGGTATTGATTTTATGAGTGTTCCGTAACAATTTTACAGCCAAATCTCACTGAATCACTGCGAATTTGCGCAGTGTAATTGCATAAGCGCAAATTTTCGTCACCCAGCTAGCAATCATTTCGGGTGCAATGCAGAATGTTTGGGGCAGCTTTAGGGCGCACTGAAGAATGATATGGGCACTTGCATGAACATCAGTGGCTAGAAATCAACCAATGGGAGTAACCCATATCCACTTCGTCAACCAATGACAACTAACTTTGCTTAACTGCATTACAATGAATTTCGATTAGTCATTAGTAATACATAAATTTAAATAATAGGCTTTTATATATAAGTAATCAATGAAATATACTCTTTACTATCTGAAAACATCTTCATAGGCGTTTTTATCAGAAGTCGTTTACTGGACTGGAATCTGCATTGGAAAAGAAAAGGTTGAATTCACAGTTCGTATTTCTACTGTGGTGAGTAAGCTGCGTGTTGCCCAACCTCTTTATTTACGAATTTTTCTAAGTCATTTATTACATACTTCTATGTTTTATATTAGAACTATTACAGTACTGTCCATTTTAAAGATCATGTCAAGCGTATATGTTGTGTAGACTGCAGGAATCCGTTTGTTGACATTTTTTCAAAAATTTTCAGCTAACATGAGTTTTAACGGTTCTTCGTCCAGCCGGACTAATCCGATAAACGGCTTTATTTGCAGCAGACTACCAACTAATGTCGAACCATACCGCCGAAATAACCTGAGGATACGTAAGTTTATTTATCAATTATCTATTACGATGCAGAGGAAGCTAATTTTGATCTACAACGACATTAGAAAACGTTCTATCGAAGTCTAAAAAAATACAATCTGGAGTGGAAGAAGTATTTGGAAATTAAGTTTGTTGTTCCATATTAATGTACTCAGAATCATATGCGAAATCCCGTGAAATATAACCAGAGCAGGAAATATCTCCAGGAAACATGTGGACTCCCCAAAACATTGTCGTTCCAGTTGATGTCGCTTGTAATAGCATAGCATCTCCACCATCATTGGAGGAACATTATCCAATCGAACAATTGTCTGCAACTGAGAAAGCTGACCGGAGGGAGTGCACTTCACTGGATGCCATTCGCAACATCGTCTACAGATGCAAGCTGAATATGGCTAATACACGTATTGTGCTGGAAGAATTAAGTTCCGTGTATCGTGACCTGCCAACTGACCCTCGGACATTATTGAGGACTAAAGACGTTTTTCAAAGGAGAGCAGTTGGTCCCGGGATATATGTTCACATTGACCTTCGTCGTCAAATTCGGTCCCGGTTATGAATGATTGAATATGAAGTCTCTGTGCTAATAGATCGGCAGCCGAACACTGATGGTGCTCAACAACTCCAAATTGCAGATGTGGCACATAAAAGGGAAGTTACTGTTGTCTAACTGTGACAAGGTATTCCTGGTAGGTGTCTAATGTGGTTTATGTAAACCTTTAAGCATAGGCTTCCTTAAAAAAAGTTCATTTCCTCCTGACAATTCCTTTTTGGTGAGCAATACACCAAGAAATATTTCTGAAATCATTAACGGAAATCAGTTTAGATTTCGTGCCTATAAGAAATCCAAGGCTATTTTGAACACTCATTTGATTCTAGTGATATCGGAATATATCAGGTTGACAACTTAGAGGATGAGACAAGTATTCACGCTTTCAGTGAAATTCGGGCACAGTGCATTAGCTTAAGTCTTTTGCTTAACTCCGTTGTATTTCCATATTGCACACCTCTCAAGTGTCGTAACTTAATAACTACTCATTAACTTTCATGCAGCCACAGTTGACCGATACCAAGGATACAACGAAATGGTAAGTTTACTTTCGTACTTACTTGCTTCAATTACAAAATGCACATGCTTTTGTATCAATATACGTCCTGCAAGACTTCCCTTCTTCCTATGTCCCTATTTTCATGTCTACACCTTTTCATGCATGTTCCTTTATGTCTGTGATTTACTCCGAGGTAGTTATAACTACCTCGGAGTAAATGATTATTAGCCTAGGTTAATTAACCTGCTGGGCTAGGCTAATAATCATTAGGACCACACAAAAGCTAATAGGAAGACCGTACTTCACTGGGAATAAATAACATCCCTGTGTAAACTCAGCTAGCATGAACTCCGATTGCGTCGTCGTGTCGAGAAGTGTTACCAATTAAGAACAGGTATAACTAGTGTGATAAAGAGGAGGTGGGATATTAAATAACCTTTTGGAAAGTTAGAGACATTTTCCGTCTCTATAAAAATGTTCATCCTCCTAATCCATTTCCGAAGGAAGATGATCGGAAGTTAGGGAGAAATGATAAAACAAACGTAAGAAACGAATGTAGCAAAGAAGCATTAAAAATGACTGAAGAGATGGTAGGGATTCTCTCTTCAGTATCAAGTGGTAAAATTCTAGCTCACTGGATATAGCGTCTTTCCTTCCTATAAGTTAAAGCGGTAATCTTTATTTTGACACGGAAATTTACAGTAAGTATGAGTTAGGGCATACCTTACCATAATATAATGGCGTGTTAATTTTTTGGTATGAGTGTAGTGTGACAGTCACACGCTATTTGGATGCATTGGTGGTGTTTAAAGTATATTAAGACGTATAAGAATGTCTAGTAAGTGAATATAAATCAACAATAATTTCGATGCATTTAAGTCCAAAATAGGATGTATGCATTTTTGATTACTAGGTGAATATAATTTAACTACAATTTCTAAAAATTTAATGTATCCTTAATTAGTACACATGGATAAATGTATGTATTAACTAATCTACTTTTTTAAGTTGTCAGTTCAATGACCTGTGGGATTTGTGCATACTAGGTCAGCATAAATCAAGTAAATTTCCCTTCAAATGGCTGAGAGCGACAGCTTAAAGCATACTTTGGTTGATTGTTTCGTGATGAGAGCAATTTGGAGTCAGTTATAAATTACACCGATCTGTGTCTTATTCATACGTTTTTCAGCTGAGGATTTCCGGTTCATAGGATATCCTGAATATTTTTATATTTTTTATTACAGCTTGATTCCGCACCGTATTTTTGGTACAAGTATGGAATTTTCAGCATGGATATCGGTAGCCCAAATTTCGCAGGCCGACCATAGATATCAGGTGTGCGTCAACGTGTGCTTGAACCCCGGACCGTGTGCATGGTTGGCGAGAGTCCTAACCACTGTGCCACCGACGCACTGTGATTAATACGATTTATCACTTAGACCGCAGCACCACCAAGCTTAAAACAATGCTGAATTTATTCTAATCTATTCCTCGGCAATGCCTTTTTATGGTAACTGAAGATCTTATTTACCCACTATGTTCTAAAATGACACAGGTCGTGCTTAAAAATACAGCTGCGTGCTGAATCAAAACTTTCCGCTCTGGAGTAACGATAGTCCATGCATAATATGTCCTCCAATATCCAATATCCTGATTACGAGCTAGTATAAACCAGTGATTTCTTTGAGCTCGCTTCTTGATTGTGAGGTAGAGGTTCCAGATCTTCGGTGAGCTTCTGCGTAGTAAGTCCCGACACTCGACTGCTTTAGCTCTGGTAGACTCCAGGAGGAGTGGTGCGGGGATTGGTCGAGATGTGGTTTGTAGTATGCAGTATGTTAGGACTGTATTGCTGCCGTGAATGGAGTTTGACCTAACTCCCGTTGGTCATTCGGTGTAGTCATAAAAGCAGAATAGTAATAATAATAATAGGTTGTAGTGTAGATAATATAGGTTGAGATAAGTGGAATAATAAAGGTGACCTAAGGAAAAGATAGAGTGAGAGAAGGCAGAATAGGTCGTGGGGATTTAGTTTGTACGCTTATCCATTGACAGTGTGGTTTCAAGTTTTATGAGGATAAGCCATTGAGACACAAACCTTGCATTTCTGCATGATTGTCTAGCTTCCGCTTAAAAATCTCCAGAGATGGCGCTGTAGTCACGGCCGCCGGTAAAGCGTTCCAGAGACGGCAAACACGAAGCGAAAAGAAATGTGATCGCACTCGAGTCTTTGGTCTCTGGTGTGCTATCCTTAGCGGGTTACCTCGTGGAAGCCTATAATCACTTAATGGCAGGATGCTTTTATTTGGGTGGGCCTGGTCATTTAGGATCTGGTAGACGGTGATGAGGTCTCCCCTGTGCCTACGGTAACTAAGTGTGAAAAGACCTAATTTCTTTAGTCTTTCCTCATATGATTTGTTGCGGAGGCCGATCACCCATTTTGTCGCTCGTCTCTGGACACTTTCTAGAATGTTAGCATCCCTTTTGAGTAGCGGAGGTGCAATGATATTATGCACCTCAAGGTGTGGCCTCACATATGCCTTATATAACCTTAAGAACAGTTCGGGAGTGAGAGCTCCCAGCTGCCTATGCATAAAGTGTAAAGTTGCGTAGGCTTTGGCGACGTCCCTCGAGTAATTTCCACTGGTGTCTAGCTTTTCTGTTAGAATAAGACCTAGATCACGCTCTGATGGAACACAACTCAAGTTCTGGCCACCAAGGGTGTAATTTACACTCTGTGACCTGCCGGAATGAAGTTGCACTACTTTGCACTTCTTTAGGTTGAAAGGCATTCCGTTAGCCAGAGCCCAGTTTCCCAGAGTTTGCAGGTCAGCCTGCAATCTATCTGAGTCTTCCGATGAGTTTATTGCTCTCCAAATCTTTACGTCGTCAGCGTAAAGAAGCGCAGAGCAGTTTAGTTGGGAGGGCAGGTCGTTGATAAAAATCAAAAACATCAACGGCCCTAGGATAGAACCCTGAGGAACCCCTGATGCCGAGGTGTGCCAGGATGATCGGATGCGGTTGACTTTGGTGCAGAATTCTCTCTCGCCTAAGTAATCTTTCAGCCATGCGAGAAGTGCTCCAGAAACACCCGCCTTGCTTATTTTGTGAAGGAGCAGACCATGGTGAACTGTGTCGAATGCTTTCGCAAAGTCGAGAAAGATCACGTGGGCTGGTACCTTTTTGTCCCAGGATAGTGTCCAATCGTTCCAAGCTAGTAGAAGATTCGTCACGCAGGATCTTCCCCTCCTGAAACCGTGCTGTGCTTCGTGAAGAAGGTTAGTCCCATCGAAGTATTTTCTCATGTGGTCGTCAATGAGACTTTCCAATATCTTCGATATCACTGGAAGTAGAGCAACTGGTCTGTAACTGGTCGCATTCTGCCGGTCACCACCCTTGAAGATAGGGGATAGGATTGCTCGTTTCCATTCACATGGAAGTTTCCCTACATCAAGGGAGTGTTGGAACAGATCACTTAGGGGTTGGCAGAGACTTTCTGAACACTGCTTCAGGACAGATGGTCTGATGCCATCACAACCTGAAGACTTTCCCGAAGCCAACCTTCCCAATTTTGCAAGTACCATAGCCGGGGTAATTTGAAATGTACCCAGCAGGTTTTCGCGTGTTGGTTTTGCGATGTAATCTGGATGTTCTGTGGGGTAATATCCTCGTTACTGTTTAGTTGCCTGTGAAAGGCTAGGCTGAATGTCTCTGCCATTTCAAGACTAGTAAGAGATTTCCCATCAGAACCCACTAGATTGCATGCTCCCTGGTTGGTCGGTTTTCTTTCGGACATAAACCTGTATAGGCTTTTGGGGTTCACGAGAAGCTTATTGGCGAGGTCTCCCTGAAATGTCCTTCTATCGCTCCGGACTCGTATGTTACATCGATTCCTGAGTTCAAGGTACACTTCATGTTCGGGTTGACTCTTCGATCGTCGCCACGCAAACCAGGCTTTTCGCTTCGCCTGCAGAAGGCGTTGTGTCCCCTTTTTAGCCATGATCGTTGCTTCCTAGCTTTTGGTGTGACTAAAGGAACAGTGTCTGAGACCGCCTGGTGAATGATCTCCTTTACCACTCTCCAGTGTTCTTCTACTGTTAGCTCTGTCCATTTTTTAGGCCAGTTTGCTTCAGACAGAAGTCTTCGCATTTTGGTGTAGTTGGCTTTGTTATAACACAGATAGGGCTGTGTATTGTCCCACTGTAAGCGCTCGCGGAGGACTATGTCGAATACTATGACCGCGTGGTCACTACTACCTATGGGAGTCGTGATCTGAACGTTTTCCACTAGTAGCTGGTCACTAGTGAGCACGTAATCCAGTCTAGAAGACTTCCCATCAGGGCCCCATCTAGTATCCATCTTGACATTTTCAGTGAATCCAGCCTTCCTGATGGTATGCAGCAGATTTCGATCAAATCTATCATGGGCTTTTCCCGACACCAAGTTAAGAGATGGGGCATTGAAGTCACCAGCTATGACAATTTGATCATAACCCATGTCTTGAGTTGCTGAGATTGTATTTAGCAGTACCTGGTTGTGGTCTGCTCCACATGAAGGTGATCGATAAATGCTGCCCACTAGATATTTGCAGTACCCAACGGTGAAGTGGCACCATATGGAGTCAGGGAGCTCTGTGAGGGGAGGGTCCATCGCGTGAACACATCTGAGCTGTTTGTCGACGTATATGGCGACTCCACCTCCTTCTTTCAGGTCCCTATCTCGCCTGACTAGGACCATATCATTTATACTGACTTCGCTGTCTGCCACCGTAGGGGTTAGCCAGGTTTCCGTCAGTATTATGATTTTGGAGTTCAGTTGTGATTGTAGGTGTCTAAGTTCAGCTATTTTGCCTCTTAGCCCTCTCACATTACTGTACAGGCAACTGGTAGTCAGTCTCACCACTTCCCCGTATTGGGGGGTAGTTGACTTGATATTGGCTATCGGTTGAGGAGTTATCCTACGAACTAGTTGGCCGATTCCCCAGGAACCGGCCTGTTGGCGTTTTTTTCTTCTAGTTCAGTCGGAGCACTCGGATGACACTGGCTATCATCGTCCGTGCTGCACCGCTGTAGTGTGACTAGGGGTTGAGGATTTTTTTTAACTACGCTTTGTTCTCTCCTTTGAGTGCGAGGCCGGCTCTCGCAGCAGCGAATGTGTTTGCTGACCTTGTCCTTGGTCTCGTACCATCTATGGAGAGCGGTAGTCAACTGGTCTTGGGAGCTGAACTTGACAGCTAACAGACGTGGCGAGTTAATTGACATAAGATGAGTGGGTCGAGGCAGTCTATAAATAGAGACAGCCCCTGAACTTCCCAGGGCCATCTGGGATGCCAACCATCTCCATTGTTGTACATCATGACAATGCTTTTCGCAGGCGTTCCCAGTTACCAGTTCGGGAATGCCATGCACAACCATGGAGGCAGAAGGAATGAGCTCTGGCGACTCCCTCGCCATTTGTCTTTCCTTCCACGGCCTGTCTGGCTTAACACGTATGTTACAGGCCCTCCCTATAGAAAGGACTTGAGAAGCCAGTAACACTTTTTCAACATCCTCGGTAGAGCCCAATGTTACCCTCAGTGGGGATGGTTTGCCTTCAGGTGCAGCAGTGCCCCTATACAATCTGCATAGATTTACTGGTTGGATGTCCAAACCCAGTGTGCTACACAAGATGGACCACTGTTCCTGATCAAATAGGGCCCTATCTTTCAGCAGACTACTACTACAGTCTGGTACATTAAAGAGGATTACACAATTTGATCTACTAACCGTGGGCTTGGGCTCGGTCCTCGCACATTTGTGATCCCCTTTAAGACCGTTTTGTTTCCAATATCCAATATCGTTTTTACGAGCTAGTATAAACCAATTTGATTTCTTTGTGCTCGCTTCTTGATTGTGAGGTATAGGTTCTTGATCTTCGGTAAACTTCTGCGTAGCTTGTCCCGCCACTCGACTGTCGTAGCTTTGGTTGACTCCAAAGGGAGTAGTGCTGGGATTAATTATATGTGGTTTGTAGTATGAGGTATGTTAAGACTGTTACTACTGTGATTGGAGTTGATCCTTTCGCCAGTTAGTCCTTCGGTATTGTCGACAAGAGAAAAGAGATAGTAATAATAATAATAATAGTAATAATAATAGTAATAATAATAATAATAGATATAATTAGTGAAGCTATTCAGACTAAGAGACAGAAACGAAAATAGGAAACGCAACAACAGTCAGCTCATGAAGTTTGAAGAATAATATATATATCAGTAATAGTAATAATAATAATAATAATAATAATAATAATAATAATAATAGTAATTATAATATTAATAAGTTGTCAGGAGAGTAAGACGGGAGAGAATGTAAAGAAGTAAAATGACGACTGGTGCGACTGGGTATTTTTGTGTGTCTCAGTGCTATGGCCAGTATTACTGGCAGACGATAGGGGTCTTTTTCCAACGACGGAAACCCGTGGTTCTCCAGCCTCTGTGTCTGGAGCGGTTGTGTCAAGAGTTATAAGTTTAACCGGTGAGGATTTTGGTATCCCCGGTTTACGTGCGTTTGTACTAATTCCCGGATTGGTGGGGGTCCTGTTAGGGCTGAAACAACGTTGATAAGCAAACCCAGTAGGTTCGATTTAGTGCCACTCATGCTGAAAAACCAGTGCGCAGTTTCACTGTCAAACAATGGCAAAACAGTAAGGGAGTTTACTATTACTATTATTAGCATAGTCTATGTTACTATATTAGCATAGTATACGTTAATTAGCTCAATGATTGCAGGTTTACCATAATCCTTGACCACCAACATAATAACTGGGAACTTCAGGCTAAAAATAAGCTAAATAGTAACATCCAGTGACAAAAACTGACCTACACACTGCAAAATGAGCAAACATCCAGAAAAACCTTTACAATTCAATGGAAAACGAATTCACGAAAACATATAACTAGCCGACGCAGGAACTCATTATGACCTAGAAACTGACTGTAGCCTCTTTCATACAATAGAGAGGTTAGTCACTTCAAATTGTCGCCATTAGTTTCTATGACAATTGCGTATTCAATCCGATTTATAATGTCATCGTTGCTAGCAGGAGGAAACCAAATTGACTTTTTTGCTTGATGTTTATTTGTAAAGTAAAAGTTCCTGATCGTCGTTAAACTTCTGCGTAGCTCGTTCCGCCACTCGACTGTCGTAGTTTGGTTGACTCCAAAAGGAGTAGCGCTGGGATTAATTATATGTGGTTTGTAGTATCCAATATCGTTTTTACGAGCTAGTATAAACCAATTTGATTTCTTTGTGCTCGCCTCTTGATTGTGAGGTATAGGTTCTTGATCTTCGGTAAACTTCTGCGTAGCTTGTCCCGCCACTCGACTGTCGTAGCTTTGATTGACTCCAAAGGGAGTAGTGCTGAGATTAATTATATGTGGTTTGTAGTATGAGGTATGTTAACACTGTTACTACTGTGATTGGAGTTGATCCTTTCGCCAGTTAGTCCTTCGGTATTGTCGACAAGAGAAAAGAGATAGTAATAATAATAATAATAGTAATAATAATAATAATAGATATAATTAGTGAAGCTATTCAGACTAAGAGACAGAAACGAAAATAGGAAACGTAACAACAGTCAGCTCATGAAGTTTGAAGAATAATATATATATCAGTAATAGTAATAATAATAATAATAGTAATTATAATATTGATAAGTTGTCAGGAGAGTAAGACGGGAGAGAATGTAAAGAAGTAAAATGACGAGTATGAGTTAATCATTTCACCAGTTAGTCCCCGGTATCTTCGTCAAAAGAAAAGAGGCAATAATAATAACAGATATAATTAATGAAGTTATTCAGACTAACAATATCCAATATCCTGATGACGAGCTAGTATAAACCAGTGATTTCTTTGAGCTCGCTTCTTGATTGTGAGGTAGAGGTTCCAGATGTTCGGTGAGCTTCTGCGTAGTAAGTCCCGTCACTCGACTGCTTTAGCTCTGGTAGACTCCAAGAGGAGTGGTGCGGGGATTGGTCAAGATGTGGATTGTAGTATCCAGTATGTTAGGACTGTATTGCTGCCGTGAATGGAGTTTGACCTAACTCCCGTTGGTCATTCGGTGTAGTCATAAAAGCAGAGTAGTAATAATAATAGGTTGTAGTGTAGATAATATAGGTTGAGATAAGTGGAATAATAAAGGTGACCTAAGGAAAAGATAGAGTGAGAGAAGGCAGAATAGGTCGTGGGGATTTAGTTTGTACGCTTATCCATTGACAGTGTGGTTTTAAGTTTTATGAGGATAAGCCATTGAGACAAAAAAAGAAATAAAGAAAACGTAAAACAGACGGCTTATTAAATTTGAAGTTTATACATATATTTACATATAAATCATCAATGATGAAAAGTGTAGTTAAGGTTGTAAGGAGAGTAAGACGGGAGACGACGTAAAGAAGAAAAACGACGAACTTAACTGTATACCCCTGAGTGGTATATATGATTTTAAGGGGATGGGCCATCTGGACGCAGTCACTATGTCGCTGCATGGTTGTCCAGCCTTCGCTTAATGGTGTCCACAGGCGGTGCCATGGTTACATCTGCCGGTAGGGAATTCCAGGGGTGGCAAACCCGCAGTGAAAAGATTTGGGAGCGCACACGGGTCCTTGCCCTTTGGTGAGCTATCCTTCTGGGATTTCCACGGAAAAGCCTATACCTACCAAATGACAGAACACCTTTGTTTGGGTGATTCTGGTCATTTGTTATCTCGTAGGCAGTAATCAAATCCCCCCTAGGCCGACGGTAGCTGAGTGTGAACAGGCCTAATTTCCTTGGCCTCTCATCATATGGTTTATTTTGGAGACCAACCATTCTTTTTGTTGCCCATCTTTGGACTCTTTCTAAGAGGTTGGCATCTCTTCTAAACAGTGGGGTGAAGTGATATTATACACTTCGAGGTGTGGTCTGACTCATGTTTTGTACAACCTTAGAAAGAGCTTAGGAGTGAGTGCACCTAACTGTCTATGTCTTAATTGTATGACCGCATATGCCCTCGCTACGTCCCCCATGTAATTTACTCTTGTGTCTATTTTTCCGTTGGAGCAAGACCTAAGTCGCGCTCCAACGTTGTGCAGAACAAGCTCTCGCTGAACGGGGTTTAACCTGTATTTTGTAGCCTACCGGTGCGTGATTTCACTACTTTGCACATTTTCAGGTTCAAAGTCACACCGCTGGCCACCGCCCAGTCTTTCAGAAGCTTCAGATCTGCTTACAGCTTATCTGATTCTTGCGGGCACTTCATTCCCCCTCAAATCTTTACGTCGTCAGTGTACAGAAGAGTCAGACAGCTTGGACGGAATGGTCGATCTTTGATAAAAATCTAAAACATCGGTGGTCCTAGGGTAGGATCCTGAGACACTTCTGATGACGAGCTGTGCCAAGATGATCGGACTCGTTTGATCTTGTTGCAAAATTGCCTTTCACCTGGTTAGTCCTTTAACCATGACAGAAGTTGCTTACCTATACCTGCCTGGCTTATTTTGTGTAGGAGAATGTGATGAATAACTGTGTCAAATGCCTTCTCCAAGCCTAGGAAGACGACATGGACTGGAACATTAATATCCCGGCATGATGTTCAACAGTCCGAAGCTGACAGCAGGTTTGTTGTACATGATCTGCTTCGCCTGGAACCATGATGGGCTTCATGGAGTATATTAGTCCTGTCGAGGTACTCCTTGATGTGATCATCGATGATAATTTGCAGTACCCCTGGGAGTAGGGCCGCTGGCCAATAACTAGTTGCATTTTGTCTATCCTTTCTCCTGAAGGTTGAAGAAGAGATGGCTGTTTTTCATTTCCTTGGAAGTTTCCTCGAATCCACCGAGTGTTGGAACAAGTCGCACAGGGGCCTACAGAGAGCTTCGGCGCACTGTTTCAGAACAGATGTCCTGATGTCGTCATAAGCTGGGGACTCTCTATGTGTGAGCCTCTGTAGCTTCCCCGGTACTACTCCTGGGTTTATTTGTGGGGTAGCTACTACGTCTTTCTCCGGTGAAGTAGTGGTGCTGCCATTTCGGTCCGTATCAGTAATACCTACATAACTGTTTTACCGTTTGGCTAAGGTTAAACTGAATGTTTCAGCCATCTCCAGACTAGTGAGGTATTGACTGTTTGGACTTACTGGTTGTCATGCCATCTGGTTGGTTGGTTTTGTTTCCAACATGAATCGATACAAGCTTTTGGGATTTGCTAGATGTTTTGGGCAAGGTCAACCTGGAATGATCTCCTGTCGCTCCTAACTCTTCCGTTGCACCGGTTCCTGAGTCCCAGATATGCGCCGTGATCGGTCTGACCCTTGGTTACTCGCTATGTAGACCAAGCCTTCGACCTGGCCTGCATGACACGTCGCATGGCTCTCTTCAGCCATGATGACGTTGTTTTGGGCAGTGTTTAACTGAATGGTCGCATGCGAGATTGCCGTTTAAATAATCTCTTTTATTACCTCCCAGTGTTCATCCACAGATAGCTCATCCCATGCTAAGGGACATTATGTGTCGGACAAAATCCTCCACGTTTCACCATAGTCCGTCCTGTAATAACAGACATGGATGCGTAGCGTCCAATTGAAACTGCCCACGGAGAAATGGATCAAACCGTATGACCGCGTGGTCACTACTTCCTAGTGGGGTCATGATCTGGACATTTTCGATAACTAGTTGGTCACCAGTTAGAATACAATCTAGTTTCGATGTCTTTCCACTAGGGCCACACCTACTGTCGTCTCCAGCATTCACAATCAGTCCTGTATCTCGAATGGTCTACAGTAGATTTCGACCGAATTCTCCCCTAGCATACCCTGAGCCAAGGTTCAGTGACGGGGCATTGAAATTGAGATTGAACGTCATAGGTTTGTGAAAATCACAAGTTCACAACGCTCCAATGAATGTCAGAGGGGGCTTATGGCCCGGAAGTTCGCTGCCAAATGTGCTGTACTTCGTTTCCACCGACTGCAGAAGCCTAGGGAAAAAGGTGAGTAGTTGCTGCTTTTGATTGACTAGTTGCTGTAAGACTGCGCCGACTGTAGTGTCCCATAGATCGACTGAGATAGTGAATGGTGATGCTGGATCTTGATAAGTAAGTAGGTTGGCATCCATGGA